GCGTCCTGACATTTCTTAACGAGTCTCATTGTAAAGGTAAATCATCTTGATATGTCCTTATATATTAGAGATCGAGATTAGAGATCGTATACAATACATACAAAGATTATTTATATTTATTTTATTACCTAACATAGATTTCGGTAAATACCTCATTGTAAACATTTTTACATACAATTTTTAAATAAAAAGACATGCAATGATTATTATCCTTTCAAGGTAACCGAAATGTGTAACTAAAAGCTATTAAGATTGCCGAACGAAACACTCCCTCCTTATGTGGAGCATTTCAGACCTGTATTGAAATACGGTAAAGGAAAACATCACAACTTATAATTTCTAATTATATGTTTGAAATCGCCAATCCGCGAGCGCGCCAAGATCAAGCGATAAGCGTTTTTTGTGATAAGTGCTCAAACCTTCTCCGTGTGAGAAGAGACCTTTGCTTAGCAGTGGGCACATTATAAGCTGACGATGTACTGACTTACAACTTAAGAAAAATACAGTATCTGTCAGACACTCGCGCCGAAATATGGCTCCCACGCACAAAAAATCCCACACAACTTTCACTCATATTCTCACTTCGAGAAACAAGACAATAGTAGGGCACTAGTTATTTCGCTAGTATGTGGATCAGTAGGTAGAGATGCAAGAGGGTGCACTTTGGTCTCTGGTGTAGTTCCACTGGCTGAATGCGCGACAGAATATTATGTCGGTAAAGTTCAAGTAAATCGAGAAAACTTTTGTTTTTTTTTTAATGAAAGTAGTACAAAATGTTGTATTTTAAGGTAATAGGTCTTTACCTATAAAATTGCCGTTTCGCATAAAAAAATATAAACGATTTTTTTTATTTGAAATGCGATGAAAATGTAACACTAATCAATAAACAAATAATGACTACTTATGGAAAAATAATCCCATGTTTTTAAAACAAAATTAATTAGCCTTAGCCTAACAAAAACTATTTTGATTTGAAATGGCCAGTACTGCAGAACGGCAATTTCATAGGTAAAGACATATTATTTCAACTACATTAACGTTATTAAAAAAATACGATATTTTATTATTTTGTTATTAAGCTAAGTATGTACCTAAGTATTTTAATTTATTAGGAATTATTATGACTCTGATATTCTGACTAATATTTTTTTTTATGTTATAGGACGGCAAACGAGCAGACGGATTACCTGATGGTAAGCAATCAGCGTCGCACATGGACACCCGCAAAAAAGAAGGAGTTACGAGTGCGTTGCTGACCTTTTAGGGATTGGGATTTTGGGGATTTAGGCATTGGGAAGGGATTGGACCTCCGGTAACATCACTCACACGGCGAAACACAATGTTGTGGTTGTTTCACGCCGGTTTTCTGTGAGGCCGTGGTATAACTCCGGTTGAGCCGACCCATTCGTGCCGAAGCATGGCTCTCCCACACTTTTAAAAGTATCTAAAAATAACGACATTCCAGATGATTGATTTCATATTAGTATTTTTATCTAATAAGTAGGTACTTGCTTTTGTTCGCGACTTGGTTCGCGTGGTAAAATAGTGCCTTCCTGCAGATTTTTGGTATTAAAAACTATCCTATGTCCTTTCTCAACTTCCAAACTATGTCTGTACCAAATTTCACACAAATAGGTTCAGTAGTTTAGGCGTAAAGAAAAAATTCAATAGTTTTACTGTAAAAATGAATATAATTATAAAAACAGACAGCTGATCATCCGTATTTGTTTCCAATTTTCGCCGTGTTGTGCGCTGCGGTCGTTATCTGTCCGCCACTACTCGCTTTGCACATAGCCAATAGTTTGAACTGTCTACATCGACAAATTCTTAACAAGATAAGTCGCGGGGATAATGACACCCTTGCAAAGCGCATAGCGGAGGAGGAGAGAGGGAGCTTTAGGGGTTAATATTACGACACTTTGTTATGTAGTTATGTAGTGTCATGGTGGCCCGGAGTCGTGTCATGGTGGCCCGGAGGTTAAGAAGCCCGCTTCTCATGCATGAGAGTGTGGGTTCGAAACCTGGCAAGTACCAATGTGACTTTTTCCGAGTTATACATATGTACTTTCTATGATTATTTAGACACCTCTAACATACGGTGAAAGTAAACATCGTGAGGAAACCTGGACTTTAATTTCTAATTATAAGTTTGATATCGCCAACCCGCATTGAGCAAGCGTGGTGATTAATGCTCAAACCTTCTTCGTATGAGAAGAGGCCTTTGCTCAGCAGTGGGCACTGATAGGCTGATGATGATGATGATGATGATGATGATGATGATGATGATGTTATGTAGTTTAAAAATAACGTTTCAAGATGCAGACACATTAATGAAGGTGTGGGAGAGCCATACTTCGGCACGAATGGGCTGTCTCGACGGGAATGATACCACGGTCTCGCAGTAAACCGGCGTTACGTTGTGTTTCGCCGTGTGAGTGAGGTTAGTGTAGTTAGATACCGGAGGCCCAATCCTTCACCTCCCCCAATCCCTAATCCCCAAAAGATCAGCAACTCAGTCGTAACTCTTGTAACGAGCTGTTTTTTACCTGATGGTAAGCAATCAGCGCCGTCCATGGGAACCTGCAACTCCAAGGGAGTGACGATTGTTTTGCCGGCATTATGGGGATAGGTTAGGGGTTTTGGGATTCAAGGAGTGGGGATGGATGGGGTAGGGCAAGGTTTCGTTTTTCTGGTAACCTCACTAACACGGCGAAACGGTGTTCTGTGAATCCGTGGTATCACTCCGGTCAAGTCGACAGATTCGTGCCGAAGTATGTTGTAGACTGTTTTCATTGAACGTGTGGACTGGCCAACCGGCTACTACGTAGAGTTACGCGGATTCAGAGGGCCTACCATGACATGAGCATGATATGAGCTATAAAAGGCGTATAGTGCCATCCCTCTTTCTCACCCGAAAGATTCACGCTTTAAAACTTCGTGGTACGCCTTGTTCCTGCACCGAACTTTTGAACTCCTATTCCAACAATCGTATACATTCTCTATTTAGGAATTGTTTAACAAACTCCTTGGAGCGAGAAAAAATAAAATTTTTTTTTTTTAACTCACCGCTAGGTTTACCGCGCTAATTAACGGACACAACACGTATTTTATTTCACAAAAATCACACAAAATTATATATCTTCACGAATGGAATTATTATTATTTTTACCGAACTTTTGTTTACGTAGTTTTCGTTGCGTAATTTTAAAGATTTATATACTGACAGATTGACTTTGATTTATATTAAGTAGGTAGTAATTGTGATAATAATATATAGTGATATATATTTGACTGCACGGTTGGCGCGGTGGCTGGGCAACTGGCTGCCACGCAACGTGTCGCTGATTCGATTCCCGCACGGAACAACTCTTTGTGTGATCCACAGGTTGTTGTTCCGGGTCTGGGTGTGATGTGCATGTGAAATTGTATGTTTGTAAACGCACCCACGACACAGGAGAAAATCCTAGTGTGGGGCAACGTTTTTTTTAAAAAGAAAAAATAAAAAAAAGAAAAGAAAGATATTGCCTTATACTACTATTTTAAGTTGTATTGCAGTATAGGTAGTATTGTATATGTATATTCATAACGGCCTTGATGCCTTAAATAAATGGATAAACAAAAATTAACAAGAAAATAATTTACCTAAACCTATTAAACTGCTATCGTTGCAATATTTCTAGCTAAATTAACTAAAAATCGCGGGTTACGCGCGTCCGCGCACACTGCTCATTGAGAAAGAACCCCTTTGTGGTTCGAAACTAGTAGAGCTTTTCTCAGTACTATACACGTGAGTAACCCGCCATTTTTAGTTAGGTAATTTAGTATATCTCACAATAGTTATTATAAAAACATATTTCTAGCTTACAATCTACACAATCAAACCCTCATTTTTATATAAAAAAGCATGTACCCAGTCTAGTTTTGGACGCTGACGAACTAGTTGGCTTTTTTTGTGAGGGGAAAATCATCAAATGACTTCTCCCGCCCATTAGTGTCAGAATTATACTGACTAAAAACCCCTCTGTTCATTCTCCTGCTCTGGGCCGAGGTCGCGGTGCCTCATTGCGCTTACCCCGCAACCCCGGCTGAACATCAGCCCTCTAGGGCCACGTCTGTGGTGGTCTATTGGCTCTTTGAGGCGCGCGCGGAACGCTACGCGCCGTACTCTTGGGTCTGGTTCTGGTCGGGCGGCGAGCTACCCTTGAGGAGGAGGAGGAGGATTGCTCCCTCACGCGGGCCACCTCCCTCTTTGCGAACATAATTGCTTCACAGAAGAAGGAGACGGCGTTCCAGTTCCTCTCACTCTCGACTAAGGCCGGGCGCGAGAGGTCGCCGCCGCCGATCACCTTCCTGAGGACACGGCGGTGCTCAGCCCAGGCAGGGCATACCGCCACCGTATCCTCTAGGTGGTCCTCACAATACGAACTAGTAGGCTGATGACGATATTTTTATTTTTTATTAACTTGTACAATGTGCAGAGCGACATTTTGAAACTCATTTTGATTTGTACCTTTGCTTTCTTGCAAAAACATGTCAGGCCATGATAGCGCAAAATAATTTTACCCCAGACACCTTTATTACGGTCCCAAACATAAATTTTTCAAAGGGTCATCTCCGTAAATAAATTACGAATGTCGGGTCATTTATTTTGGGACAAAAGGTGAGAATGAAATATTGCATGTTTATGAATGGATGAGTTTTGTCATTATTTGTGTTATTATAGTATTTTTACGGGATTGAATTGAATTAGAAACCTATACTTAGAACTTCTTGATTATTTTATCCAAAAAGAGTAAACTACTTATTGAGAAATGCTATAAGGCACACACCTTTTTCCGTTGTTATAAATTACCAAAAAAATCTGTAACTAAGAAAAAATAATTATCTAGAATGAATTTTAAAATTGTGAAATCATTTTTTACTTTTATAAATCGGTTAATTAAGTATTTATTTCCGAACGATACGTTTCAAAAAAAACTGCTGTCAATGTCAAATTACATGACATTGTGAATGAGCGTTCCTGCTTGTTTGGGATAGGTAGCGACGGAAAACGCATTTGAAATATCAAACTTTCTCTATTAGTTTATTGAAAAAACACGAAGCTAATACCCCAAAATGGCTGTAAGTAATTTTAAATTACTGTAATTACAATTCCAATTCAAAATTCACTAATAAACCGGCATTCTTGAACTTAACCTATAAATTTTACACGAAATGTCATGTTTTTTTTACAAATTGAGCTTATAATATCAGTTTTTAGTTATTAAACTGTCGTTTTCTTTGTTTTAGTCGATAGCAGCAGCTCAGGTGCAAGAAGTGCGTTCGATAACTCGCATTGAACGTATCGGAGCGCATTCCCATATAAGAGGGTTGGGTCTAGATGATTCTCTGGAACCTAGAGCCGTGTCCCAGGGTATGGTGGGGCAGAAAATGGCCAGGAAGGCCGCCGGCGTCATCCTACAGATGATTCGAGAAGGTACATTATTGAATTAACAGTTGTCATGGCAACTGAGCTGTTTTGTTTAAACCGTGTCATCATACAAGAGTAGAATTGTGTTCTTATATCCAATCAAAATATTAGAGTCCTAATGTGGTCTTTATATACTTCTTTGCATCATTTAAATCCACCCATGATAATACCTTAGCTAAGAGTACTCTACATTGCTGATATCCTTGAGTATTCCAGATTTTTCTCATTATATTTCCATATCATCATAATTGTATGCACGAAGTAGATATAGTCACAAAGTGGACTAGTTCAAGGGAACCCATAGATGCAGATTACTTAGAACTGATTGATCTGAAAGTGTTGTGTTCGTAATGACAATTATAATTATTATACTCAGTTTAGGAAATAGGTTTTAATTGACTTGTATGTGTATAACACATAATGTATTGGAATATCCATTCCTTTTTAATAAGTATTTATTTATTTATTTACTCTTTATTGTACACCATACAAATATATACATAAAAGCTTGAGATACAATGTATAATGGGTGGTCTTATTGCTAAATGTGATTTCTTACATAAAACCTTATATTTGGATAATATATTAAGTAATTCCTGAAAAAAAAATTTCTTGTTGTCTATGATGAATACTTAAGATAAGAAATTTTTTTTTTTTTTGTTGGACTCTTAATTACTCAAGTTTTGCCAGTTACAAATACATTTAATGAATTTATAATAAATACTACTTGTTGACATAAGTACAATTTGCCACAGCAAAGTATGTCAGCCCCAAATGAGAAGATGTGAGGGGGAGGGACAAGGAAATGCATTGTGACTGTACTGAAGTACAACTACTTCACATTTCTTTCTATGAGGTGGATCCAAGACTCATTTTCCATCAAATATAAGTTTTAATCTTACTTATTGGCATGTTGTCATGGGAAAACATCATATAAGTGGCCACTGCTGAGCAAAGGCCTCTTATCACATGTAGAAGGTTTGAGCATTAATCACGATATTTGCTCAAAGTGGATTGGTGATTTCAAACTTAAATAATAACTAGAATCATAATCATAACTCTCAAGATTCTTCCCAATGTTTTCTTTACCATTTGTCAGTGGCAAAATATATTTAGATATAACCATATATGGGAATGCAATGTATCCGAATTTTCGATTGATTGAGTGAAAGTGTTTAGATGCATATCCAAACTATACAGGTGATGAGCAAGATAGCGACACATTTTTTTTATTTTAAATAAATGTTGCCCTACATTAGGATTTTCTTCTATGTCGCGGGTGCGGTTACAAACATACAATTTTACATGCACATGACACCCAGACCCGGAACAACAATTTGTGGATCACACAAGGGAATCAAACCCGCGACACGTTGCACGGCAGCCAGTTGCCCAGCCACCGCACCAACCGTGCAGTCCAGTCATCAATATTCTTATTCTGATTGTTATTTCTTCTGTTTCTAGGCAAAATAGCAGGTCGCGCAGTATTACTCGCTGGGCAGCCGGGTACTGGCAAGACAGCCATCGCTATGGGCCTTGCACAGGCCTTGGGACCTGACACACCGTTTACTAGCATGGCTGGTAAGTTCTTTATCAATTTACTCATAAAAATGACAAATATATTTAATCTAACTAAACCATAATACACATGACATCATCACATCACTACCAGCAGTCAGCAGCGCTTAACCAACTGGATATAAAGACAGTCATCATCATCATCATCATCATCATCAGGCTATAAGTTCCCACTGCTGAGCAAAGGCCTCTTCTCACTCGAAGAAGGTTTGAGCATCACACCACGTATGCTCAAGGCAGTGCCGGCGTTAGGGGAGGGGGGCGAGTTGGGGCGATGGCCCAGGGCGACAAATTCTGGGGGCGCCAAGGCCTGAAGTTGGAATCTCTTGCCTGGTGAAAACCCTCAGAACTGTGCTCTGTGCATATGCATATTTTTTATTATGTTTTTTTTTTTAATTTTACTTTTAACACTTGACATTGCATCCCACAAGTGGGCACCACAATATTTTCGCCCAGGGTGTCAGTGGCCCTTACACTGACACAATGCGGGTTGGCGATTTCAAACTTATGATTAGATATTATAAGTCCAGATTACCTCACGATCTTTTCCTTGACCGTATGTCAGTGGTGTCTAAATAATCATAGAAAGTACATATAACTCGGAAAGTCACATTGGTACTTGGCAGGTTTCGAAATCGCATTCTCATGCATGAGAAGCGGGCGTTTAACCTCTGGGCCACCACGATGTCTGTTTTTTTGCAGTGTCTTGTATTAAATTACGATTTATTTTCTTTTCGCTATCGACCCACGCGAAAATACTCCTCATCCCCATCATAAACATGGTTGGCATTCATCAACTGTGCGATTTTTCGCAAAACTTTCTGCTCCGCACAGCAAAGCTTTGGAATGATCTTCCGGCGGCGGTATTCCCGAACCGATACGACCTTCAAACCTTCAAGAAACGAGTGTACTCCTTCTTAACCGACTAAATGATGTATCAAAGAAATGAATCGTAAAACTGATTGAAAAAGAGTAACCATGGAGTTTCTTGCTCGTTCTTCTTCATAGGAATCTATACTATGGAACGAGCAAATAGCTTCACTAGAGGACAGACGGACAGACTGACACGCATAAAGTTAAAGCTCTTGAAATATTTTTTTCCTTTTTTTGCTTGACGTTCAAAAGTGCCTATTGTGGTCTAATTGAAATTAATGACTTTGACTTTAAAAGGCCGGCAACGCGCCTGTGACTCCTCTGGTGTTGCAGATGTCCATAGGCGGCGCTGATCACTTACCATCAGGTGACCCGTCTGCTCGTTTGCGTCCTATAACATAAAAAAGAAAAAAAACTACAACGTAATTCCTTTTTTTTTCAGGCTCTGAAATATTCTCACTGGAAATGAGCAAGACAGAAGCTCTCACACAGTCCATAAGGAAATCCATTGGTATAAGGATCAAGTAAGTTATTAAAATTATTCTTTACTTACTAGCGACCCCCTCCTGCATCGCTGCTGCGGCTGATGCTGATACAAAATTTTTCATCATCAAATTCAGTTGCGTAATTTTTGAGATTTAAACCCTAAATAGGGATATAGGGACAGAAATAGCGAATTTTACTTTATAGTAAATTGATTATAATTATTTTTCTCAAATAATAAACAATGTTGTGTGTGGACAAAAACTTCAAACTGGGGGTTTTTTAGCAACTACTTTGGTGATAGAACATTAAAAAAGAGAATACCTTACCTATTGAATAGTCTGCCGGCAGACATAAGGAGTGAAACTAATATAAAAAGATTCAAGCGTAAATTAAATTTTTTTAAGTTTTATATATGTAATTGCGAGTTCTTTGTCATTATACATATATATTATATATAGTATTTAGTTACAAGTAAATTTAATTGTTATTAAAGATACTCACTGACCCCACAGTCAAACCATTACGACGGTTTTGTGGGGCTTAGCACATAAGATGGCTACCTTTGTGATATAAGATAAATAAATAATAATAATAAAAATATTGGCAACTATCAACACAAATAATCACATATGGTTGTTTCCTAAGTCAAAAATAAATCACTTCACTGAATAGTATAAAACAAAGTCGCTTTCTCTGTCCCAGCTTAAATCTTTAAAACTACGCAACGGATTTTGATGGCCACCAAATAGCTTCACTAAAAGGACTGACCGAAAGACTGACACTTTATATCTTTAAATTTTGTTTGACGTTCAAAACTGCCTGTAAGGGTCTAATTGAAATAAAGGATTTTTTACTTTTTTTGTTTGATGCGTTTTTATTTATTGGTAATGTAATTGAAGAGGAAGGTTTATTTGTATAATTACATCCATTAAACAGTGGAGAAATTTAGTGTCAACATTGCAAGTGCGAAGCGGGGACTGGTTGCTAGAAATTTTATAGAACACTAGCGGCCCGCCCCCGCTTCGCACGGGTCCAACTATCTCGCTAACAATGAAAGGGTCCCTTTTCCCCCATATTTCCCTCTACTTTTCTAATATTTACTTTCATAAGAACCTTCTCCTGGCAATAATAAATACAAAACAAAAGGATTTGGCAAAATTGGTCCAGCCGTTTTTGAGTTATGCGCTTACCAACACATTTTGCGATTCATTTTTATATTAAAGAATATTGTTTTTATCTGATAAAATTGTCCAATTTTTATTTTATTTATTAATTGAGTGTGTTGTCGGCCTTCTCGGGATAATTTTTAAAGAGGATAAAAGTCATCAATCAATCAATGACTTCTCCCAGCCTTGGCGAGGCGAAAGGGAGTGTCAGATTATTCCCTGTCCAGCACGTCGATTCTATAAAATTTGTTTGATTTTTAATCGTGTTCGAGTGCGAAGTGAGCGTCGAAGTGACGGGTAAATTAAATTTTAGAATGCCACTTTTAACGTCATTTCATACTTTATCTTTCAAAATGATGCTGTCAATTTAGTTCAACTCGCAAGTGTAGCGCTAGTGTACTACTACTCACGGCGGATTCAGATTCGAAGTTTAGAATGAAGTCTTACAGAATCACACCCCTGTTCCTGGCCGGGTACCTCATTCAGCTTACACCCTCAACTTTGATCTCGTACCTGACATCATAAACCTTGGTCTTTGCAGAGAAGAATCAGAGATAATTGAAGGTGAAGTAGTAGAGATTGTGGTGGAACGAGCGGCCGGGGGTGGAGGCGCCAGGGTCGGACGCCTGACCTTGAAAACCACGGACATGGAGACCAACTATGACATGGGTGCCAAAATGATCGATTCGCTATTGAAGGAGAAGGTATGTCTATATTTCTATACTAATATTATAAAGAGGTGAAATTTGTAAGTTTGTATGTAGGGGGTAATCTTTGGAACCGCTGATCGGATTGCCAAAATTATTTCACTGATAGATATAGCTACAATGTTCCCGAGTGCTATAGGCTATAAAACATCACGCTACGATCTGTAGGAGCCGAGCAGCGGATGTGACTGCACGAGAAGCTAGTTTTTAACTCCCGACGGAAAAGGGGGGTGTTATAACTTTGACGTGTCTATCTGTCTGTCTGTCTGTGGCATCAAATCACTTCTCCGGCTCTTACTGACTAAAAACCCCCCGTTCCTTCTCCTGCTCTGGGCCGAGGCCGCGGTGCCTTATGGCGCTTAACCCGCAACCCCGGCTATCAAAGGAGTTTCGAGTACGTTGCCGGTTGCCGGCCTTTTGGGGATAAGGGTTTTAGAGATTAAAATATTATTAGGTAGAATGTAGTTGTTTTACGTCGGTTTTCTGTGGGGATGTAGGTAAAACCTTGAATTGGATAGTTTCCTAGGTCAAAAATTAATTAATTCGATGTTTCAATACAATAAAATATTGTAAAAAATATAAATGGTTTTTCTTTCTTTCTTTCTTTCTTAAAATAACTATACTTTCATTCATCGATCGATCGATACACTAAGTTATTTTTTAAGAAATAAGTAAGCTGTGTGACGCAAAAAATACTATAACGTCATACCTAGTATCGTTTATCAACATTTTGATAAAAGTATTGAATTTGACTAGTTGGAAACTAACGTATTAATATGTATTACTATTTCTATTCTTTATCTACAGGTGCAAGCTGGGGATGTTATAACCATAGACAAAGCTACGGGTAAGATCAACAAACTGGGCCGGAGTTTCGCCAGAGCGAGAGATTACGATGCCACTGGTAAGTCTTTTTTAGTAACTATGAAGGTTTTTGCTCGTTCAATACAATACAATATTGAAAAATAACTATACTTTTATTTATCGATCGATCGATACACTACATTTTGGATATTTTTTTTTTTGCTAATTTTTAAGAATTAGGTAAGCTATTTGACGTAAAAATTAGATGACGTCGTAACTCAGTTTTTCATACAATTTTCATAGAAAAGTATCGTTTTTGACATTTGGATAAAAGTATTGAATTTGACTAGTTGGAAACTACCGTATTGCCGTGGGATTAGAGCAACTTTATGAGGAATTGTGTTGAAAAAATTAATTGTGTATTTCCTACCAGGTCAGCAGGCCCGGTTCGTCCAGTGCCCGGAGGGTGAACTCCAGAAACGTAAGGAGGTCGTGCACACGGTGACCCTGCACGAGATCGATGTCATCAACTCCAGAACGCACGGATTCCTAGCGCTTTTCTCTGGTGAGTTTATCATTGCTCCGACACAGGATATTTCTTCAGTATTTATAACCATATAACCTGATGGTAAACAATCGGCGCCGCCCATGGACACCAATGAGTTACGAGTGCGTTGCTGGCCTTTTAGGGAGAGAAATTTTGGTTTCGGATTTTAAGTATATTGGGAAGGGATGGAGGAGGAATTGGGCGTCCGGTAGCCTCACTCACACTGTGAATCAATGCTGTGTGGTTACACGCCAGTTTTCTGTGAGGCCGTGGTATCACCCTGGTCGAGCCGACCCATTCATGCCGAAGCTTGGCTCACGCAGAAAAGGACATAGGCTACTTTTTATCACCATACCACGCGAGCGAAACCGCGGGCTGAAGGTAGTTGTATATAAATAATAAATAAATAAATTTACATCCACAGGTGACACCGGGGAGATCAAATCTGAAATTCGCGAACAGATCAACGGTAAGGTGGCTGAGTGGCGCGAGGAAGGCAAGGCTGAGATGATTCCTGGAGTCCTATTCATTGATGAGGTAACTTGGTTTTATTATTATTATTTTTTCTGTGTGTGATAGGACTGAAAACGAGCAGACGGATTACCCGATGATAAGCAATCAGCGTCGCCCATGGACACCTGCAACAATAGAGAAGTTACGGGATTAGGGATTGGCGAAACACAACGCTGTGTTTGTTGCACGCCAATTTTCTGTGAGGCCCTGGTACCATTCCGGTCGAGCCGACCCATTCGTGCCGAAGCTTGGCTCTCCCACACTTGAAGTACTTAGTTGGTTGGTGAAATAAAACAATCGGTAACCTTACTCTACCTACCCTACTCTATCTACCCTATTCTACCTACCTTACTCTACCTACCCTACTGTACCTACCCAACTCAACCTACCCTACCTAACCTACACCACTATCCTTTTTTTTTTTTTTTTGTCAGGGGAAAATCATCCAATGACTTCTCCCGCCCAGGGTAAGGCGAGAGAGAGTGTCAGACTCTTACTGACTAAAAACCCCCCCCGTTCCTTCTCCTGCTCTGGGCCGAGGTCGCGGTACCTCATTGCGCTTACCCCGCAGCCCCGGCTAAACATCAGCCCTATAAGGCCCCGACTGTGGTGGTCTATTGGCTCTTTGAGGCGCGCGCGAAACGCTACGCGCCGTACGCTCGGGTCCGGTTCTGGTCGGGCGGCGAGCTACCCTTACTCGCCGTCCGCAGACCCGCGCTTACGGTGGCCGGAGATCATCTCTCGATCCCCGACGTCCGGAATGTCGCCTTCTGCGGCGGCTGGGGCGCGAGGAGGATAGTTCCCTCACGCGCTCCGCCTCCTCCTTTGCGAGCATAACTGCTTCGCAGAAGGAAGAGATAGCTTCCCAGTTCCTCTCACGCTACACCATGGCCTCGATTAAGGCCGGGCGCGAGAGGTCGCTGCCGCCGATCACTTCCCTGAGAACACGGCGGTGCTCAGCCCAAGCAGGGCACTCCGCCACCGTATGCTCCACCGACACCACTATCCTATGTCCTTCTCCCAGTTCTTAGCTACCTCCCTACAAATTTTCACCTAAATCGGTTCAGCCGTTCTTGAGTTCACGACTTTCTTATTATATGTTATATATATTATAGATTATAGATAACGACTAACTTACGTGAATTCGTTGAGAAAGCTCAATTAGTTACAAGTTAAAACGTGACTGCGACGCGTACGAAGCTCATGAATAAGAGTCCCGTTGTTGTGATTCGAAACTAGTAGAGCTATAAAAAATTAAACTTTGACCATTAAAAGTAAAATAATTTTATAAATATTTGTAAAATTATGACAATTTTTGGTTATATTTTTTCTGATTAAATAAAAAAATATTATTTGTAAAACTACCAATCAGGTAGTTTTTAGTAAAACTACCATTACCATCTTAATACGGTAGTTTTCAACTAGTCAAATTCAATACTTTTATCCAAATGTCGAAAACGATGCTTTTCTGTAATTTGTATGAAATGTTTAGTTATGACGTCATAGTATTTGTACGTCAAATAACTAACTTATTTCTTAAAAATTTGCTAAAAAATATCTTAAATTTAGTGTATCGATCGATCGATGAATACAATTATAGTTTTATTTCAATATTTAATTGTATTGAAACGTCGAATTAATTTATTTTTCACTCAGGAAACTTCCCTAATGAGTACTTGGTAGCTTTTTTAACAATCATTGTTCGAAATTATTTGGACCATAAATCATTTTTTTTTTAATCTTCCACCAGGCACACATGTTGGACATAGAATGCTTCTCCTACCTCAACCGGGCTCTGGAATCCGAGACCGCGCCAGTAGTTATAATGGCAACGAACCGTGGAATCACCAGGATCCGAGGCACCAACTACAAATCCCCCCACGGGATCCCATTGGACCTCCTCGACAGGATGATCATAGTACCGACTTCGCCTTATTCACACCAAGAGCTTAGGGAGATTTTAAATATACGGTAAGTACAAGTCATAACCTTTAATTTGATACCCAACTTGAGCATATGTGCAAACATTCGGTTTTTCTTCCCCACTTTAACCCCCCATAACTTTTAAAAGGCTCAATAGATTTTCATCAAACATGTCTAAGAACACTCGCCCGTAAAACAACTGTAACACAAAAAAAAACTAAATTGAAATCGGTTCATTCGTTCAGGAGCTATGATGCAACGGACAGACAGACAGACATGTCAAACTTATAACACCCCTCTTCCGTCGGGGGTTAAAAAAGCATTACATAAGGCAACATATACATATAATACAAAAACATATATGAATACAATAAATATAACCTGCAAATACACATATAACATATAAATTATACTATTAAATATGGGAAGAATAGATTACGAATATATACAAGAAATAAAAAAACAATATGTACACTAATGAGTTGAATCTGTCAGTTTCTCTAGCAAATAATTGTGAACTTTAAATTTGAAAGATAGCCGACTGTTTGTCGTCCTGTTAACCGTGGGCAACGCTTTCCACAGCGAAAGGTTACCGGAAGCCCAATCCTTCCCAGACTGAAGTGCCTGTAAGGGTCCTAATAAAACGAGACAGAGTATAAAATAGACAGGCTGTTAAAAAAATATTAATGAATAGAGCGAGAAAGTGCAAAAAAAAAATTTTAAATTTGTATGTTTGTAAGTTTGTATGTAGGGGGTAATCTTTGGAACCGCTGGTCGGATTGCCAAAATTCTTTCAACTATAGATAGCTACAATGTTCCTGAGTGCTATAGGCTACAAAACATCACGCTACGATTAAATGGGGCCGAGCAGCGGGTGAAACTGCGTGAGAGTAGCTAGTGGAATATATGTAGGTGTGAGCAAGACAAAACATATGTTTCTTGTCCCTTTTTAGCGTATCGCTTTATTTTGTTTGACACCACTGTCGTTGGTGGCAGACATTGAATAGTGTCAAAGTAGTTTTGCGTTTTGTTTTGTGTAATTGTTTTTAAATTATGCTTTATTTTATTTTAATCGAACCAATACGTTTGCAATTAAGGTAAATTGCAGTGCAATTGGCTGTAAAAGCCGTAGTCAGGGGTCAAAAATGCAATTGCACTCTACCAATTTTAAAATGACCAAAACATCTTTGTAGAATAGAGTCAATGGTTGTGGACTGCTTTAATTTATAGCAAAGAATCTAAATTATTGAATAAACTGTCTGTGAACCATTGAACTTTTACTACAAAGAATTTTTAGTCATTTTGAAATTGGTAGATTGCAACTGCACTTTTGACCCCTGACTGTACATACTTATAATGTATATATGTCACCGGAAAATAACAAGATCCGTAAGTTTATCAATTTACTAGGAAGTTTATAAACTTTCGTAAACCATATTTTCGTAAATTGATAAACTTACTGAACTCGCTCGTAAAATAATAAGTAAGCAGTTAGCAAACGCTACGCGCGATCTGATTGGTTGGCTGTCACGTGTCACTTCTCCTTCCTCGCGGCTGCCATTGCTGGCCACGGAACATAAACAAACCGATTTGCTCGTGCGTTTTTATTAGTTTTGAATGTTGAACTGTGTTGCAACTGTAAAAAATAGCTTTATTTTGTTTAGATTATCTAGCAGTACCCATAATGAGTGACCTACAAGCTGCGACACAAGCATTGCTACTGTGAACATTAACTAATCAGAGAGCAGTGTGTTATTTTACGTATTTCAAATATCGTATATTTAAAAGAGTTTCTGTGATTGGTCGAACCATATAAAATCTTACGAATGGATATTCGTTAGTTTATAAATTTACCGTATGACGTCGGAAATTGATAAATTTACGAAAATGTGGACGTAAAATATTACAATTTATCTCCCGTTTAGAATCTTACGAAAGTTTATAAACTTCCTAGTAAATTGATAAACTTACGGATCTTGTTATTTTCCGGTGACATATATAAGAAATTTTTTATCTTACTTCGTATAAGCTATTAGCTTCTCTATACCCATACTCTCTCTACGTAATAAAATTAACGATTTTCACTTTGACTTTTGACAGATGCGAAGAAGAGGACTGCCAAATGTCATCGGATGCGTTGACGGTGTTGACCCGCGTGGCAACGGAAACCTCTCTCCGTTATTCTATACAATTAATCACCACTGCTTCACTCGTCGCCAAGCGGAGGAAGGCTACTGAGGTATGTAACAGACCCAACGATGCAATGAGGGTTTTCTGAAATGTTCCCTCCGTGAGATGGCAGCGCTGTAATGTCAGGTCCAACTACCTGTCAACATAAATACACGATTCATATTTAACGATCGTTTTTTTTTGGTTTATTCTTAAAAACGTTACAAATGGAGTATTGTTTTCCAAAATGTTACAGTGCAGTTGTGCAGTGCCTATATTGTGTGCAAATAAAAAAGGAGGACAAAAGTTCCCTACTGAAGATAAAAGCCGATTCAAACAGTGGCTTGTAGCAGCCATAATGAAATCAATAACACTTCCAAATACAATTAAAAATTACTTTAAAATTTGACTAAAATAATAATGCGTTCTGTAAGAATCTGTGCTATCTGATAGCTATTTGGACCTGACGCATACGAAGCGCTGCCTGGCGGCTGAAAAAGTATCGAAAACCCTCATTGGCAAGTTTCCTAGGTCAAAAATAAATTAATTCAACTTTTCAATGCAATAAAATATTGTAAAATAACTATACTTTTATTCATCGATCGATCGATACACTAACTTTTAGATATTTTTAGCTAATTATTAAAAAATAGGTAAGCTATTTGACGCAAGAAATACTATGTCGTCATTTTGACATCAACTGGCTGCTGTGCAACGTGTCGCGGGTTCGATTCCCGCACGGTAAAACTCTTTGTGTGAACCACAAATTGTTGTTTCGAGTCTGGGTGTGATGTGTAAGTGAAATTGTATGTTTGTAAACGCACCGACGACACAGGAGAAAATCCTAGTGTGGGGCAACGTTTATAAATAAAAGAGAAAAACCAAGAATTGGGTTAACTTCTAATAACTCGTTTTTATAATAACTATCTCGAGACATACTAAATTAACTAAAAATCGCGGGTTACTCACGTGTAAATATTGAGAAAAGCTCTACTAGTTTCGAACCACAGAGGGGTTCTTCCTCATGAGCGTGCGCGGACGCAGCCTACTGGTGACTTAGTTAATTCTAATAACTCTTTTTATCTTTATTTCAAGGTAAGCATGGAAGATGTCAAGAAAGTCTACTCCCTATTCCTCGACGAGCATCGTTCAGAGCAGTTCCTGAAGGAGTACCAGGATGAGTTCATGTTCAACGACGGATCTGGAGGTGAGATATTCATCATCATCATCAGCCGGAAGACGTCCAGTGCTGGACAAATGCCTCCCCTTTTTTTTAGTGTCAGACTCTTACTGACTAAAATAAAAACCCCCCTGTTCCTTCTGCTCTGGGCCGAGGTCGCGGTGACTCATTGCGTTGCGTTTACCCCGCAACCCTGGCTGAACATCAGCCCTATAGCGCCCCGTCTGTGGTGGTCTATTGGCTCTTTGAGGCGCGCGCGGAACGCTACGCGCGGTACGCTCGGGCCTGCCGATGGTCTAGGATACGAATTCGCATTAAAAAAAACGTAAATTATCGATATAACAAAACTAAAATGAATTATCGATAGTGTAAATAAAATCACAGTATTCTGATCAGATTTTTCTATTGTTTCAGATGCCCCGCAACTTATGGAAGTGTCGCAGTAATCGTATCAAAATATGTAATTCCAAATATTTTAATTCAAAACATTGTCGTCATTAGAATTTACATTTTTGTTGTAAAAGAAGTCGCCTCTAAGTTACTTTTAAGTTTTATTATGTAAGTTTATAAAATAAATGTGTAATGAAATTGCATTTTTATTTTGTTTTACTTATACTTTGATAATTTTAAAATAATTATTTTATATTAGTCGGTTATATTCGACCCGTATTGAAATTAGGAGAAAATTTTAAAAGAGTATGGCAACATTGTTGTAGTTACGTTCCAAACCTTACTATTTGGGAAAATTGAAAAATCGATTATTTAAATCTTTTCACGTACAGTTTGGATCCCATTCGCTGCATTAAGTAGGTACCGAATGAAATTTACTACGAGACAACGTAAGTTTAAAAGGATATTGTTCACTAGACCTTAAACAGTACAACGTACACGATAAAGAAGGCACAATAGGAATGTATTTACAAGCACAGGCACAGTATAAAGTTAGTGGAAGGATGAAAATGTAAGAATGATAGACAGAATTTACTTGAAAATTACATAAAATCAATTGTAAAACATAACTAACAGAAAGTCTCATCTAATTGGTGAAATAAAAGAAATAGACAGTAAAACGGCCTGAGAGTAGTATTACTGTGAAGTACATAACATATAAATTATCGAAATAAATTGTAACGCAGTCTACAAATCAATTTATTTTAATAGTGTTTTTTTTAGTGTCTCCTAAAATCGACTAAAACTGTCAATTTGACAGTTCCTGTTTCTGACCTTGTACTAGGTACCCCAGCACTAAACTGCCATTGATTTTTCACTGTATCGTGAATATACTTTGTGTCAATCTCTCACACAAAGTTAAATTTTCAATAAAATCAAAATGTTTGCCGTAAGGAACTTGTTCAAAGCCAACACCCAAATCCTGAAGAATGTAGCTCAGCACAGGAACATGAGCGTTATCGCTACCCCGGCTAGAAACAAAATTACCAAAGGCGTAAGTAATTTTTGTATTTTTCATTAAACTAAATAATATCGTCCAAGTTTTATACATATACACCTAACCTAACCTTCTACAGTAATTATTTCAGCTATTTATTCCCCATTCATCTTTTATAGGTCGTTTAAAAACTATTTTAAAATTACGTAATTATTTACGAAAAAGATAGGTTAGGTCTGTGTTTTCCAAATACGTAAGAATATCATAGCTTTAAAATTCCATATTTTATCGTAATGTACGACTTTTTTAGCATTAGAATGAATTCAATTTATTTTAATGTCTGAAAAACCTTTAAGGAGTATTTTATCTTATCTTTCTAGATCAGCTAGTAAAGTACTGTTGATTCGATAAAAAAAACCTATATAGCGTTTAAAGTGCAAGTTTTTAGGTTATTTTAAAATATTTACTAATCCATACATTCTCACAAACTCAATTTTATAGTATTAGTAGGACTAATCGTTATTTAGTAGGTCGACAAAATGGTAGTTGAGAGATCCATACAATGCTGGTCCGGTTCACAAGTCACTAAGTAGTCTAGTATTAAACAAAGTTGCTCTCTCTGTTGCTGGTTCTTCTCCATTGGAATCTACACTTTAGTATGAGCAAATAGCTTTACTAGAGGACTGACAGGCTCACACATAAACTTTTTGATATTAAGTTTTTGTTTGATGTTGAAAAAGTGCTTATAGTAGTCTATTTAAAGTCAAAGTCAAAATGATTTATTCCAATTATACCATAAATAGGTAGGTACTTTTGAAACATCAAAATAGTAAAGTCTGTCAGTCTGTTCGTCAGTGAAGCTAGGTGCTTGTTCCAAATTGTAGATTCGAATGGAGAAGAAAGAGCAACAAACTCCATTGTTACTCTTTTTAAAAAATAATATGTAAAAAAAGAACAAAGATTTGATTTTGACTGTCCCAATGGAAGCTTAAATCTTTAAAACTACACAACAGAATTTAATGCGGTTATGGAGTGATTGAAGAGGACGGCTAATATGCATAATAGCATCCATTAAATAGTGGAGAAATTTAGTTTGAAAACACAGGTCCGTAGTATATTTATAATACGGATCATAATCTGTTAGATATTTTTATTATAGAGTGAAAATCTTCAGCATAGTCTTGATAAGAATTTAAGTACATAGGGACATAAGTGAAACTTCTCACTTAGTAAAATACCTAATAGGTTAAAATTAATAACTTTTGATCCGACAGATCCACTATGTGTATAATTTTGTCTGACATTTTTTGTACCTGTTTGATCAATCTATATCTATACTAATATTATAAAGAGGTAAAATCTGTAAGTTTTTATGTAGGGGGAATCTTTGGAACCGCTGGTCAGATTGCCAAAATTCTTTCACTGATGGATAGCTACAATGTTACCGAGTGCTATAAAACATCATGCAATAATCAAATGGAGCTGAGCAGCGAGTGAAACAGCGCGAGAGCAACTAGTGATAAATAAAAATAATATTTGTCATTATTTTATTTGTTTACAGGAGATGGGAGTCCTGATCGTCGCCATGATTGCTGGCTGGTCCGCTGTCCCAATCTGGGTTCTGGTTAACATCAAAAACTACAGAACCAAGGAATAAATGTGTGTGTAGACAATTTGATTATGTAGTTACAGATCCATATGTATGTATTATGTTTAAGTAAAGAGTTAATTTAAATTTTAATGTCTTTTATTTTGATTAAACTCTCTTTTGAACTAAGGTCTGCGACGTGCCTTCCGAGCATTGATATTTTGGCAGACATGGCAGTCTTGAGCAAGCGTGGTGATTTATGCTCAAAACTTCTCCGTGTGGAAAGAGGCGTTTGCTCAACAGTGGGTACTTATAGGCTAATGAATGATGTGATGCAAGTTTGATAATAAAGGTGGTTTCTTTCGCGTATAAAATACGCATTTAGTGATATAGGTAGTTATATTAATTCCTCTATCTTACTGCGACAGATATAATAACAAAAACATAAAGTGTCCAAGTATGCTACCCTGAGGAACACCACATGAGTTATATGTTTTTTCTCCGATAAGGTAAGCCTTGAGATCTCTACTCATTGTTGTTGATTTATTGACATATATTTCAATATCAATCAATCCTAAAATAATTCAACTAGAGAGAAGTAGGTAACTTGTGATTCACGGAATCAAAAGCTTTCACATATCAGGAAATATTGATGCTATTGGCCTCTTGTGGTTTAAGCCTTTGACTGCCGACAGAAAAACGTTGAAGGCAAATCCTCCGCTATCGTAGGTCACCGGTGACCTACGTGGCGATTAACGTAATAATTTTCTAAAAAATTATTTTCTAGAAAATTATTACTAAAAGTAATACTTAATTTTCATTGAAGTAAAACATGCAAGATTTGTTTATTTTTATTTTCGGAAACTGAATTGTTTTTCTTTTAAAATCTAATACTTTTTTGTAATAGAGTGGAATTTATCATACGTAACTCTTTCCAATATCTTAGAAATGGTTTGGTATTAGGGTAATCAGTTGATAATGAATCAAGTACTTTTTTCTCCCTTTTTAAATAACGGCTTGACTATAGTTTATATGTTTAAGTTAAAACAAACATACATCACTACATTATCACAAATCTATAATCTTAGTAGGATTATTTATTATTATACAGACCACTAGTTTCACTATATCAAAAGGAGCTATCGTACAAGAGGTTTTCTACTGTCGCTGCACAGTATGTTGAAATGGCTGACTCGTGTAACAAAATTTTTCTGTATGCAAAGTTATTTTGCAAGAAAAGACCGGCCAAGAAGACGAGCTACATCGTAAGGATGTCTTGATCTCTACCCGACCGTACCTACAGCGTGTAGTTTTCCACGCGCCAAGTCCAAATGTGTAAAAGAAAATTTCTCAAACATTTGAATTTTAATTCTGTTGTCTGGGCTTGTGCTTATTTATGAATTAGAATAAGCGTATCCATCCGTATATTATTTTTATGTACACACGAAGCCCTGTGTTAACAGCTCAAAAATATTTACTTAAGGTAAATCCACTTAGGTAATAAACACTGTGTTTTTTATGTTATAGCTCGGCATTTCGGATTCAATCAGCGCCGCCCATGGACACCCGCAACAACAAAGAAGTTGCTGTAGAGTGCCTTGCCGCCCTTTTAGGAATAAAGGTTTAGGATATTTAAGGATTGGGAAGGTATGGGGAATGGCGAGTGTTAGAGCCTCCGGTAACCTCACTAACACGGCGAAACACAACGCTGTGGTTGTTTCACGCCGGGTTTCTGCGAGGCCGTGGTATCAATCCCGTCGAGCCGACCCATTCGCACCGAAGCTTGGCTCTCCCACGCTTGATAGCTATAATTATGTCATAAGAAACTACGAATAAGTATTTGTTATTCCTACTTACTAAATGTAAATAATCTTCGCATGTCTTTTTGTTTAAAAATTTTGTGTAAAAATGTTTACAATTCGGTATCTATTTACCAAAATCGATGTTAGCTAATAAACTACATTTATATAATCTCTGTATGTATTTTATACAACCTTTAATATAAAAAGACATAGCTACCAAGATTGTTTATATTTAGTCAACCACCTAAACTGATCGAGGATAATAAAAAATAAAACGAAACGTAACTAGTATATTCATATATTTCATGTAATTTTTTCATATGGACTTACATAACATTTTACAAAATATTAGGAAGACTTTTACAAAAAAGTAAAAATAAAACAATCAAGCGTCAAAAATACAATATACTTATTACAATTAAGTACTATAAAAGTATCATTTTATTTTATTTTACAATAATTTATTAATAACCTAACCAAATAACGACAGCGCTAATTCCCGCCAAAAACGGTGTCGAATTAACAAAGATGGCGGCATTACTGGCGCTACGTTTAATTGGCGCGCATTCCTTTTCTAACCAATCATAGACGTCCGTCAATTCTCTTTCTTTTAAAATAGGACCCAGCGTTTTGAACACTCGTTCGTGATAATCGTTTAAGTATTTTATCTGAAATAAAAAAACATATAAGTATTTCATTATTAAGATGTCTTTACCAATCACGGGACCTTAGGATCACAGTCATTAAAATTTGAGAGGCGTACAAGGGGCCGAAGCGCAAAGGCCCTATACAACTTTAATCTAAATTAAATGGGACACAAATCAGGGACTATCCCTGTATGCACTATGGATATGCACCCAAGGATAGTCCCCGGTTAGTGTAGGACTATTGCGGATACCTAATGGAAACAAGGGATAAGGGTGGGTGGTGGTTGCGATTTGCGATGGACTGTTATAATAGGTACTATGGACCCATGTCATTTTTACACATGAAAATGGCAGACTCGCCAACTCACCGGCTTGGCCCCCAGGTAATTATTAATATTAGAATATTTTTATATTGTAACAAAGTGTCATCGTTTTAAATAAAAACTCGTCAATCCGCAATGATACATAGTTATTGTTTTCCCATGTGAGAAAAGGCCTTTGCTAAGCAGGACAGTTACATAAGTACTAACGGTCACAAAACACCCCTTGTGAATTAAACATCCACTTTTTACCAATTGTGTTTCGCCGTGTGAGTGAGGTTACCAGAGGCCCAATTCTTCCCCTCCCAATTCCATCTCCAATCCTTAAACCTCTCCCTAAGTCTCAAAATGCCAGCAAAACACTCATCTAATGTTGCGGGTGTCCATTGGCGGCGCCGATTGCTTACCATCAGGTAATCCGTCAGCTCGTTTACCATAAAAAAATGATGACATAAAAATCTTAACTTATAACGTACCTCAAAATCAGTAAGTAGGTCTACATCCAGGCAGGCTACCTGATGTGGTGCTAAGGATATCGTGTGGAAGCCAACCGCACCGCGACCAGCGAAGTTACCCACCAAACCTGAGGCCTAAAGAAAATAAAGAGTAGGTACCATATTAAAATACAAATCAAAATCTTGATGAATTTATTATGCAGTGACAGTGACAGTGAAAAAGAAATTTTCAAAAGCAGTTGCAATTTCTACATCCGCTTTTATTACCTAACTTATTATTAAATGCAAGACTATGTTGACTAATTCTCTTTTTAGACCTTCCTGTCTCACTGTTGATAATATTCCAAGTGTCTTTGGTAACATTGGTACTGTTCTTTATCTTAGAGCTTAAGAATAGTGATTTAGCAATAGAGCAAACCTTTTTAAATAAATTAGAATAGTTTTTACATATTCACTGAATTCAACAGTCAACAACAGGCGATTTCTACTCTCATAAGTAGATACCAGTGGTTGCCCAATCACCGAAAGACACATTGCTATTAGCTGATATAGTTTTATCTGTAAAATTAGACTTAAACTCTGTTAGGTACATTTTAAAAAACTTATCATATAAAGTGCTAGAATTCCTATAACTCAACAACAAAGGCAATTTGTTGCTGAGTTCAGCTTTGAAAAATTCAATGCGTCTGCGTTTGCGTCTTAATGACTCAAGTTTTTTTTTATATACGGTAAAGAACGGATAACCTTGAAATGCGTTTTAGTAGATCTTATGGCTTTTCAGAAAAAAAACAAAAAAGAAGTGCCATTAGTAGTACCTAAGTTATGATGTCTTAAAGTGGAAGAACTGGTGCTAGAGATAATAGAAAATGATCCTTCGACATTAACGTACAATACATTATTACGTAATCATGATTATTAAACATTAGAGCAAAAATAAACTATGCACAATTTGTCTAAACTAAATTAATTTGCAAGTTTTTTTTATAAAAACTTTTATTTTTTGTCAATTTACTTTTCGTATATTTTCTAAATGACCTTCATATACTTAAATACTGTGACGGAAAAGTGGTTCAAACTCTTTGACATCATGACGTCAATGGATGGTTGTCAAACGTTGCCTAGAGATTGTAAATTTCGTCGTGAATTGTCAATACGAGTTGGTGTAATTGGTAAGGCGTGTGGATTACACCACAGAGACCCCGAGTTCGAGTCCCGCCGTAAACATGAAGTTTTTTAGTTGATGGAAGTTTTGTCGAACTTTCTGGAATTATTGTGTAAAAGAAATGAAAAATTAAAGAGCGAGAAGGAGAATAAATAAAAATGAATAACGAAATTATTGGAAGGTTCTGGAGGCATGACGATCAAAAAGAATAACGAAATTGAATGTTCCAGAACTTGACCGGGGGTATATAAGCGGAACTGCGGCTCACCGCTGGCAGTTGAGTTCTGAGTCTAAAGCGATTCGGAAGAAAAGGAAGAGGTGAAAAAGAAGAAAAGTGAGTGAAATAGTGAAGTGCAGTGAAATAGTGAAGTGCAGTCAGTTAAGTGAGTTAAGTCAGCGTGAACGGCAAAGTTGTGTCAGTCGGCCGGACTCTGCTGGAGAGGAACGCCGATAACTTAACTCCGTGGACGCTGTAACTTAAGTGCAATAGAAAGTCTGAAAACCGGTATTAGTGTTTCATTTCATCCAATCCCGTAACCCAAGCCCGCATAGTCAGGAACGTGACGAGGCACGTAACATTTGGTGTCAGAAGTGGGATTGGATAAAAATGCCGCTAGTGCCGCAGGACGTAAGAGGAGTGAGTACCCGTTCAATGTCAGAAGCGCAGCGTGTGAGGGAAGAGGGTGCTGCAGCTCAAACCAGCGATGCAGAAGCCAAGCCTGTGCAGGTGGATCTTCTGCTACAGCTGCAGCACATGATGGCAGAGCAAGCGCGCCGCCAAGAAGAGCAAGCGCGCCGCCAAGAAGATCAAGCGCGCCGCCAAGAAGAGCAAGCACGCTGTCAGGCAGAACAGCTGCGGGAGCTGAAAGAAGAGCAAGCGCGCCGCCAAGAAGAGCAAGCGCGCCGCCAAGAAGAGCAAGCACGCTGTCAGGCAGAACAGCTTCGGGAGCAAGCACGCTGTCAGGCAGAACAGCTTCGGGAGCAAGCACGCTGTCAGGCGGAACAGCTACGGGAGCTGAAAGAAGATCAAGCTCGCCGCCAAGAGGAGCAAGCGCGTCGCTTGGAAGAGATGCATAAGGATTTCACGAAGGGACTGCAAAAGGCTGTCGAACGGGTACAAGAAGTGGAGGAAGGGTTAGGCAAGTTGGAACATCGCGTCATGGCGATAGAGGAGAGAGTGAAAGAAGAGATCTCCAAAATCAAGCAGGAAGTGACAAGCCCAAGCCCTTTGAAGAGCCGAAGCCGTCTTGCAGCCGTTTTTGACGCCCCAAGTGTGGCCTCAAGCGCAACGAAAGGGCTCAAGATTCCCCATTACGACGGAACAACATCCTGGAACGCGTTCAAGCTACAGTTTGAGACACTTATGGAGGCTTATGGTTGGACTCAGAAGGAAGCACAGTCAGCCCTCACCCTGGCCCTCCGTGATCAAGCGCTCTCAGTGCTGGAAGCTATCGGCGCAAGTGGGGATCTCAGCTTAAGTGCCCTCCTCGACGCACTTGAGGCACGTTTTGGAGACAGCCACCTCGAGCACGTGTACAGAGCGCAATTAAAAGAGCGTACTCAGCGTGCTAATGAGAGCCTACAGCAATGGTCCGTGGAAATCGAGAAACTTGTGCGTCGAGCTTTCCGGTCGACTCCGTCAATGATTGAAGGCACGCTTCTCCAAGCGTTCATTGACGGTATTCGGGACCCCGAAGTACGAGCTGCTGTTCATCTGGGCCATCACAAGAACATGAAAGAAGCTCTGGCCCATGCATTGGAAGTGGAAGCTGTGCGTGGTAACTCCCGTACCTTATGTCTGCGGGAAATGACGACTACGGAGCAGGTACCTCCACGCCGTCGGAACTTCATGTGCTATGGATGCGGAGAGCGTGGGCACATGCGGAGCAACTGCCCGAAGAAGGTGAACCGCCAGGACGCGGCGGTCTCAACTTCTGACCAGCAGGGAAACTAATTCCAGCCAGGGCTGCGGGGTGGGCGCTGGCCGGTAGTGGAATAACCCCAACAATCTACATCAAGCAAACTAACGATGGAAATACTCTGGTGATAGACGGTCAAGTAAATGGGAAAAACAGTCAGCTAACATTAGATACTGGAGCTTCAAGGACGGTGATAGATGTTCGGCTGCTCGGGCAAAACATCAGGAAACACGTTAAACCAATTGTTGGCCTACGAATGAAATCAGCTACCGGCCAGTGGATACCGATAAGTGGAAAACTGCACGTAACAATCAAAATTGGGGAACGTGTTTATCGACATGAGGTTATTGTGGCCAAAATTCTGGATGACTGCATCCTGGGACTTGACTTCCTGCAAGGGCACCAGTGTAACATCGACTTAAAATCTGGAGTATTACTATGTGGAACTGAGGAAATTCCGATGAAGGGTGGAACCCTGGGAAAAGTTTGCTGTTTAAGAAGAACTGTTCTTGAACCAAAATCACAGACTCTCGTACCAATCGCATTACCTAGGAGGAGTGAAGGAAGTTTACCTCGAAGGTGCGCTGTGATTGATAAATCGGAACACGTAAACTCATGGCTACCGGCAAGGACTGTCGTGGGGTCATCTGATGTCAACCGCATTCCGGTATTCAACTTCAGTGATTCAAAAATTACGATTGAAGAAGGAGAGCCTGTGGGCGTTTTGGAAGAAGTGGCCTGGATAAGAAAATGCTCGGAGAATCTTGTGAAGAAGGACAGTACGGGAATAGACTTTGTAACGAAAATCTTAGACGAAAACAAAAGTCTGACAAAAGTGAAGACTATGAAAGCTAGAAATTTACTCCTTCGATTCTCTGATGTGTTTTCAAGAAGCGATGGTGATATTGGCCGAACTGGTTTGGTGAAGCATAAAATAAACACAGGTGATACAATGCCAATTCGTCAAAGGCCCAGACGTATACCATTCGCTCGTGAGAAAGAGGTTGAACAAATGATTGACGACATGAGGAAAAATGACGTGATAGAGCCCTCTTCTAGCCCTTGGTGTTCACCTGTCGTGCTTGTCAAGAAGAAAGATGGTTCAACGAGGTTTTGCGTAGACTATCGACGATTAAACGATGTAACCAAGAAGGATAGCTACCCGTTACCAAGAATCGATGACACACTTGACACACTGAGTGGCATGAAATGGTTTTTAACGCTCGATCTGAAAAGCGGCTATTGGCAGGTGGACTTGGATCCCAAGGACAAGGAAAAGACCGCATTCTCAACTGGGAAGGGACTCTGGCAATTTAAGGTGATGCCATTTGGATTATGCAATGCACCGGCAACCTTTGAGCGTTTGATGGAACAGGTGCTGGCGGGACTGCTGGGCGAAACCTGCCTAGTTTACCTCGATGACATCATCATTGTTGGACGGGACTTTGACGATCATCTAAGGAAATTGGAAAATGTACTGGAAAAGCTGCGTGGAGCAAATTTAAAGTTAAGTCCAAAGAAATGCTCTTTCTTCAAGCGCGAAGTGAATTATCTAGGACATGTTATTTCTGAGAGAGGAATTGAGACTGATCCAGCCAAGACTGCCGCTGTTAAGGAGTGGCCCACACCTAAAGACAAAACGCAAGTTCGGGCATTTCTTGGGTTGTGCTCGTATTATCGGCGGTTTGTGAAAGGATTCTCGGACATTGCCAAGCCTTTGCATCGATTGACAGAGGAGAAACGTGCCTTTATCTGGGACGAGGATTGTGAGCAAGCCTTTCGAGAACTAAAAGAACGGCTTTGTAACACACCAATTCTCGGATACCCCAGCGCGAAAGGAATATTCGTAGTAGATACGGATGCCAGCAATATTGGAATAGGAGGTGTCCTTTCACAACGCGATGGTGAGCAGGAGAAGGTTATTGCTTACTTCAGCAAGTCACTATCCAAGCCCGAGAAGAATTATTGCGTGACCAGGAGGGAATTGCTGGCCGTAGTCAAAACTCTGCACCATTTCAAGAAGTATTTACTGGGACGGAAATTTTTAATCAGAACTGATCACGCTGCTTTGAAATGGCTGCTTCAGTTTAAGGATCCTGAAGGCCAAGTAGCCAGATGGTTGGAACAACTTCAGGAATTTGACTTTGAAATCGAACATCGCGGCGGAAGAATTCATGGCAACGCAGATGCATTATCGAGACGCCCATGCGTGGAAGATTGCAAGCATTGTGCCAAGAAGGAAATTGCTTTTCTTAAGGTGATAAGGACTGATACTGTTGACGAGGCATGGGGAGATGATGCGATGAAATTAGAACAGGAAAGAGATGCGGATATCAAACCAATACTGGAGTGGCTAAGAAGTGGTAACAAGCCAAGTTGGAGTGACGTCGCCCAATATAGCGCGGTAACGAAAGGTTTATGGGCACAGTGGAAAAGCCTTACGCTGTATAACGGACTTCTGTGCAGGAAATGGGAATCAACAAACGGCAAGGACGAGCATTTGCAATTGGTGGTGCCTCGTTCAAAAATAAGGGATGTATTAAAAGCGTTCCATGATGGATCTTCTGGAGGACATTTGGGAATTAGGAGGACTTTGGTGAAGATCAAGGAGAGGTTTTATTGGTTGCATTGCAAATATGACGTCGAAGATTGGTGCCGGAAATGCACTAGTTGTGCAGCTGTCAAGGGTCCACAAACAAGAAGCAGGGGGGCGATGAAAATCTACAATGTTGGTATGCCTTGGGAGAGAATAGCCTTAGACATCGCTGGACCATTTCCAATCACTGATTCGGGCAATCGCTACGTTTTAGTGGTTATGGATTATTTTACAAAATGGCCGGAGGTCTTTGCCATACCGAATCAAGAGGCAGTAACTGTAGCCACGAAGTTGGTAAATGAGGTATTCACCCGATTCGGAGTGCCCTTGGAGATGCACAGTGATCAAGGGCGGAACTTTGAATCCCAAGTTTTTCAGGAAACTTGTAAACTTTTGGGAATCCATAAGACTCGAACGACCCCTTATCATCCACAGTCAGATGGAATGGTCGAACGCTTTAACCAAACATTGGAGCGACACTTAGCAAAGGTGGTTGACAGCCATCAGAGAGATTGGGACACTTACATACCTCTCTTCTTGCTTGCCTATCGGACTGCTGTACATGAAAGTACCGCAAAGACGCCTGCATTTGCAAATTTTGGAAGGGAATTGAGATTACCGGCAGATCTTGTATCGGGCTGTCCACCTGGCGACACTCGCACCGAGTTTAGCGATTACATAAGCGAGTTAAGGGCAAAAATGTTGGACATTTACGAGCAGATCAGGGAGGCCGGTCTTCAAGCTAGTGATCGCGCAAAAACGCGCTATGATCGACGAGCCAATTCTGTTGGGTTTGAAGAGGGGTCATTGGTCTGGCTTCATAATCCAGTCAGAAGGAAGGGAAAATCTCCGAAGCTGCAACCGAGTTGGGAAGGTCCTTATGAGATAGTCACGAAGATCAATGACATTACTTACAGAATTCGGAAGACTTCAAGGAGCCCTTTGAAATTGTCCATATAGACAGGTTGGCGAGGTATTACGGCAGCAACGATGCTCGGGACGAGCGAATCTAAGAGGGGGGCAGTGTGACGGAAAAGTGGTTCAAACTCTTTGACATCATGACGTCAATGGATGGTTGTCAAACGTTGCCTAGAGATTGTAAATTTCGTCGTGAATTGTCAATACGAGTTGGTGTAATTGGTAAGGCGTGTGGATTACACCACAGAGACCCCGAGTTCGAGTCCCGCCGTAAACATGAAGTTTTTTAGTTGATGGAAGTTTTGTCGAACTTTCTGGAATTATTGTGTAAAAGAAATGAAAAATTAAAGAGCGAGAAGGAGAATAAATAAAAATGAATAACGAAATTATTGGAAGGTTCTGGAGGCATGACGATCAAAAAGAATAACGAAATTGAATGTTCCAGAACTTGACCGGGGGTATATAAGCGGAACTGCGGCTCACCGCTGGCAGTTGAGTTCTAAGTCTAAAGCGATTCGGAAGAAAAGGAAGAAGTGAAAAAGAAGAAAAGTGAGTGAAATAGTGAAGTGCAGTGAAATAGTGAAGTGCAGTCAGTTAAGTGAGTTAAGTCAGCGTGAACGGCAAAGTTGTGTCAGTCGGCCGGACTCTGCTGGAGAGGAACGCCGATAACTTAACTCCGTGGACGCTGTAACTTAAGTGCAATAGAAAGTCTGAAAACCGGTATTAGTGTTTCATTTCATCCAATCCCGTAACCCAAGCCCGCATAGTCAGGAACGTGACGAGGCACGTAACAATACAAAGCAAGATTATCCATTCTTTATAAGTGTAAGCTTAATAATTAAATTTAAAATAAAAATTAAAAAAAAAACCCCGACACATGAAACATAAGCTACCTTTAAAAAGTAAATAATACTAAACTTAATTGAAATCCTTTCATCCGTTCAGGAGCTATGATGCCACAGACACACAGAAAGACACGTCAAACTTATTAGTTTCTGTTTTTTGTGACGTACAAGTCGTAGCCTTTCATTTGATACCCCACTTGAGCATATTTGCAGGCATTCGGTTTTTCTTCCCCACTTTAACCCCCCATAACTTTTAAAAGGCTCAATAAATTTTCATCAAACATGTCTACGAACACTCGCCCGTAAAACACATGTAATACAAAAAAAAACTTAATTGAAATCGGTTCATTCGTTCAGGAGCTATGATGCCACAGACAGACAGACAGACACGTCAAACTTATAACACCCCTCTTTTTGCGTCGTCGGGGGTTAAATATATATTTAAGGAGCCAATTCTGGTGCTTAAAAAAACAACTTTTTCCACAACACCAAACAATATGGAAATCTTAATAAATGTCTTACTTCTCCATGCAAAATGATCAATTAGCTGTTGCGATTTATAAGTATGGGGAACATTATATTTACGCGGGTATTAACGCGGAAAATTATAATTTGAATACCTAGAAATAGACGCAAGAAATATAAGCATTATTTACAGCCTCACTCCGCGAAAACAGCACTTGTCCATAAAAGTGTGTTTTGTATGGCACCTATAATATACAATAAAATTCCACATAATTTAAAAAATATTAATAACAATAATTTATTCAAAAGAGAACTGAAAAATTTTCTTATTAAACATTGTTATTATCGTATCAAGGATTTTTTAAATGATAATAGTTGATTGTTTCATATTTTTAACTTTAGTTGTCTCTTTAATAGTGTTTATTACCTAATTCTATTATTATTTTGTACGCCAACTGTGGCAAAACATGTTGAAACATTAGAGCTTTCACCTTACCATCTGCATTTGCATCTATATGTATATTGTTACCCACACATGTTTATACAAATAAATTTATCTTTATCTTTATCTTTATCTTTATCTTGGTAGGCTTGACGTTTCGACCCGGTTGCACAGGTCGTGGTCACAAGCAGACTGAAGACGCGATAATATAATGTTGTTAAGATGAAACGCGAAAGTTTAAAAGTTAGTATAAGTATGGGGAAATTACTTAAATTTATTTTTAACCCCCGACGCAAAAGAGGCGTGCTATAAGTTTTTAACTCCCGACGCAAAAAGAGGGGTGTTATAAGTTTGACGTGTCTGTCTGTCTGTCTGTGGCATCCTGGAGCCTGAACGGGTGAAGCGATTTCAATTTAGTTTTTTTTTTGTATTAAAGGTGACTTACGTGCGAGTGTTCTTAGAAATGTTTGACGAGAATTGCTTGAGCCGTTTAGAAGTTATGGGGGGGTAAGTGGGAAAGGGTAACCGAAGGTCTGCAAATATACTCGAGTGAGGTGTCAAATGAAAGCGCACTGAAAGGGAATGTTGATGACTTAATCGAGAGAAAATGATATAAAATACCTATAAAAAGTATAAATTAAAAAAATAAATTAGACCCCCACAAAATAGAAATATGTAGTTGATAATAAAATGTTTGGATCGGTTCCAGCCACGTTTTCTTTTAATTATTACGTTTTAAAGGAATATTACATTTTTTGTCGGTGAAATTTTAAATTTACAATTTTTGAGATTTCGATATTGGTCCCATGAAAAAAGTTGATGAACACCTAAATCTGCTCCTATCACTGTATACTTAAACGTTGCCCCACGTTAGTATTTTCTCCTGTGTCGTGGGTGCGTTTAAAAACATACAATTTCACATACACCACACACTAGACTAGACTCGGAAGAACAATTTGTGGTACCATGAATTATGACATAGGCTTTTTATCATTACAGGTAACACGCAAGCTATGCCAACAGTGGAAGCTAGTACATAATACAATTTACTCACAAGAATATGATCAGCTTCCCTGTTCATTTCAACGGTTTCCACCAGGTCTTCGTGACGGATACCATATTCTCCAACTTCATAATAACCCGGCTCTGGGAATAAAAATAACAAATAAATATTATTATTATCTATACTAATATTATAAAGAGGTAAAATTTGTAAGTTTGTATGTAGGGGGTAATCTTTGGAACTGCTGGTCGGATTGCCAAAATTTTTTCACTGATGGATAGCTACAATGTTCCTGAGTGCTATAGGCTATAAAACATCACGCTGCGATTAAATGGAGCTGAGCAGCGGGTGAAACCGCGTGGTGGTAGCTAGTTATTTATAATTTTAAGTGTGGGAGAGCCATGCTTCGGCACGAATGGGTCGGCTCGACCGGAGTGATACCACGGCCTCACAGAAAATCGGCGTGAAACAACCACAGCGTTGTGTTTCGCCGTGTGAGTGAGGTTACCGGAGGCCCAATCCTTCGCCTCTCCTCTAATCCCTAAAAGGTCGGCAACGCACTCGTAACTTTTCCGTTACAGGTGTCCATGGGCGGCGGTGATTGCTTACCATTAGGTAATCCTCTTGCTCGTTTGCCGACTTATTACATAAAAAAAACCTTTACCGATAAAACGATTGATAGAAGTCAAAGTTACACAGTTCTGTCAGTTACAGACAAAGTGTCTGTAACTGACAGAACTGTGTCACTGTGTGTGTTGAAGGTCAAACAAAGCTTAAAGGTAAAAAGTGCCAGTCTCTTGGTCAGTCCTTTTAGTGAAGCTATTTGCTCGTTCCAAAGTGTAGATTCTGATGGAGAAGAACGAGCAAGAAACTCACGACATAGCAGGAGGACTAAGAATCATTCTTAACTAACTGATACTAAAATTTCTCTACTATTTAATGAATGTTATTATGCATACAAACCCTTCAATCTTCAATCACTCTATCTATGAAAAACACGCATCAAAATCCGTTGCGTAGTTATAAAGATTTAAGCGTACATAGGGATATAGGGACAGAGAAAGCGACTTTGTTTTATACTATGTAGTGAAGATGAATGAAAGTGTAACTTAGATGGGGCATATCCTGCACGTCGAATCTATAAAATTTGTTTGATTTTGAATCTTGTTCGAGTGTCAAGTGATCGTCGAAGTGACGGGGAAATTACATTATAGAATGCCACTTTTAACGTCATCTCATACTTTATCTATCAAACTGTTGCGGTCAATTTAGTTCAATTCGCAAGTGTAGCGGCGAGTAACCAGCGGACAATTAAGACGTGCCTAATGATATGTCGAATTCTGATAAGTAGTTTAGAAGTTACGAGGGAACAGATGAACATACATACAATAGCCTGTCAAAATTGTAACCCTCCTTTTGCTTTACCGTAGTCGGGTAAAAATCACTCACCATTGCTGTAAATCATTTTGGGAGCAATCCCAGGGTCGTCAGCAGTTGGTCCGCTTAGGATCCAAATTGGACCTTCGTGGACATTAAGGAAATGGCCGACGCCGTGTCCTGTGCCATGGCCATAGTTTAGGCCAACATCCCAAAGGAATTTACGGGCTAATACCTCTATAACATTACCCTGGAATAAAGAAAAATATTATTGATAATTTATGTGTAACTTGCAGAGGACCTTAAAATAACTTTAATTCGGTAGTTTCCAACTACATAGTCAAATTCAATACTTTTATCCACATGTCAAAAATGATACTTTTCTATGACATTTGTATGAAAAACTGAGTTATAACGTCATACATAGTATTTTTGCGTCAAATAGTTTGCTCATTTTTTAAAAATTAGCTAAAAAATATCTAAAACATAGTGTATCGATTGATCAATGAATAAAAGTATAGTTATTTTTCAATATTTTATTGTATTGAACTCTCGAATATCAAATTAGTTACTGGAAGTGCGTTCCCAGCCTCTTGTGGATTCCCTCGGCGCTGGCTCCTGCGCCGATGAGCCGCAGACGAAGAGGAGCAGCGGCTGAAGCCCCAGCCGCATCGGCACCTACTCCGCCGTCTGAGTCGCGTGCTGGTAGCGAGTGGCAAGTGGCGGGGGAGGTGAGGAAGGTCGCCAAGGAGAGGAGGAAGCTCCGGAAGAAGGAGCAGCGGCAGCGGCGACAGCAGCGGCGCAAGGAGAAGCGCGCTGCGGCAATGCTCCTCGCCCCAAAATCTTCGGCTGTAGTTATCACACTACAGCCGGACGCGGCGAAAAAGGGGGTGACGTATGGCGAGGTCCTCGCCAAATTAAAGGGGGCGGTAACTCCCGCGGAGTTTGGGGCACCCGACGGGTTCGCAGTTAGGGTCACTGCCACTGGAGCCCGTCTCTTGGAGGTCCCCGGCGCGGCCAGCGGCCCGTCCGCTGATGCCCTTGCTCGAGAGGCTCAGGGCGTGCATTGCGGCGGACGAAGCTCGCGTGTCCAGGCCCACCAAATGCCTGGAGCTACGCATCATGGGCCTGGACGACTCCGTGACGGAGAATGAGGTGGCGGCCGCTGTCGCCAGGACGGGGGGGTGCCCTGCTGACCAGGTGAAGGCAGGCACTATCCGCCCGGACAATACGGGGCTGCGGACTGTGGTAGTCAGCTGCCCCGTCACAGCGGCCAAAAAGCTGGCAGAGGGCAAAAGGCTCCTGGTGGGCTGGGTTTCAGCGCAGGTGAAGCTCCTGGAACCCCGACCTTTGAGGTGTTTCCGCTGCCTCGTGGGTCACCACGTGGGTGCCAAGTGCACCTCAGAGGTGGACCGCAGCGACCGCTGCTTCCGCTGCGGTCAGCCCGGTCACAGGGCCGGCGCTTGTACCGCCCCACCGCACTGCGTAGTATGTGCGGCGGCTGGCAAGCCGGCCGATCACCGGGCTGGGGGCAAAACCTGCTCCCCCCCTAAAAAGCCCAGGAGCAAAGGTAGGCCCTTAGCCACCTCCACCGCTCCCACCGTCGCTCCCGCTGCCGCCGCAGTCGCAAATACTACTGCGACTGCTGCTGTCGCCGCTGCCGTCAGAGAGGAGGTCGTGATGGATACCCAATAATGGCTCCATTACGCCTCCTCCAGGCGAACATCAACCACTGCGTCGCTGCTCAGGATCTCCTGCTCCAGAGCATGGCGCAGTGGTCGATCAATGTTGCTGTGGTCTCCGAGCCGTACTTCGTTCCACCCAGGGAACACTGGGTGTCAGACCTGGACGGCTCGGTGACCATCATCTCGTCGGCCGCCGCCGGTACCCCAACCCCCGAAGGGCCTCAGCGAGGCAGGGGTTGCGTCGCGGCTCGGTTCGGAGAGATCGCTGTGGTGGGCGTGTACTTCTCTCCGAACCGAACTCTCGTCGAGTTCCACAACTCCCTCAGGGAATTAGTCACCGTCGTCGTCGGGTTCCGTCCCCTCCCCGTGCTGGTCCTCGGGGACTTCAATGCCAAGAATTTGGCTTGGGGTTCCCGGCTCACTGATGTCCGGGGAAGGATGGTCGAAGACTGGGCTCTGGAGACAGGCCTAGTCGTGCTGAACCGGGGTTCTGTCCCCACGTGCGTACGGATGCGGGGCGAGTCAGTTGTGGACATTTCGTTCGCTAGCCCCGCTCTGTCATCGCGTGTCGTTGACTGGCGCGTCATGGAGGAGGTGGAGACGTTTTCGGACCACCGGTATATACGGTTCGACGTTTCCGCCGAGTCCGCAGACCCGCCAGTCAGACAGGCCCCGTGTGGCCCGCGCTGGGCGCTTAGGCAACTGGACCGGGAGCTTTTCCTGGAAGCCGCAGTCGTGCAGGCCTGGGTGATACCACCGGTCAGGCCCGCCGACATAAACGAGGAGGCGAGATGGCTCCAGGACGCCATGTCAAGGATGTGCGACGTGGCGATGCCCCGCATCCGGCCGTGCCAACGCAAGCGCCAGGTGTATTGGTGGTCGCAGGATTTGGCAGACCTGCGCGGTGAGTGCACCGCGGCGCGACGCCGATACACCAGGCACCGCAGGCTCCGTCTCCGCCCTCTGGACGCTGAAGCCAGAGAGGCGGAGCTATACGAGGAGTACAGGGCGGCGAAGGCCACCCTCAGGGTGGAGATCCGGCGGGCCAAAGATCGGGCCCGCGAGGAGATGTTGGAGACTCTGAACAGAGACCCGTGGGGACGCCCCTACCGGATGGTGCGTGATAAGCTCCGCACCTGGGCGCCCCCACTGACTCAGAGTCTCCGGCCGGAGGTCGTGGACGAAGTGGTTGGGGCGCTATTCCCCCGACCACAGATGGGTTACACGCCTCCGGCTATGCCCCCGCCCCCTGCGGTGCCCAATGCGGGCTACAACGACGACGACGATGAATCCGCTCCGGAAGTGACCGAGGTAGATTTGAGAGTGGCGGTGCGCCGGCTGAGCGGCAAGAATACCGCCCCAGGACCTGACGGGCTGCATGCCAAGGTTTGGGTCCTGGCCTCGGAGGCTCTCAGGCCTCGACTACTTGGTCTGTTCAGCGCATGTTTGGAGAGAGGCCAGTTTCCGCTGTCGTGGAAGACGGGTAAACTGGTCCTCGTGAAGAAGCCGGGGCGTCCTGCGGACTCTCCGTCCGCGTACCGGCCCATTGTGCTGCTCGACGAGGTGGGAAAGCTGTTCGAGAGGATAATCTCAGACCGCCTCGTCGGGCACCTGTCTGGAAGGGGGCCGGATTTAGCGGACGGCCAGTTCGGCTTCCGCAGAGGGCGCTCCACGGTGGACGCCATCATGCGCGTGAGGGACCTCACGACGGGAACAGCGTTGGCCGGGAGGCGAGTCGTCGTGGCGGTGTCTCTGGACATCGCCAACGCCTTTAACTCGCTGCCCTGGAGCTGCATTTTGGAGGCACTCCGGTACCACCGGGTGCCTGCCTATCTCCGTCGTGTTGTCGAGGCTTACTTGACGGACAGATGTGTCATCTACCCCGGTCACCGGGGCGTGTGGAATCGGCGAGAGGTGTCGCGCGGTGTCCCACAGGGATCGGTCCTGGGACCTCTCCTGTGGAACATCGGGTACGATTGGGTGCTACGCACCGACCTCCCGAGCGGCGTCAGCATTGTCTGTTATGCTGACGACACGCTGGTGCTGGCGAACGGGAGGTCGCATCAGGCGGCGGCCGACCTGATGTCAGAAGCGGTTGCGACAGTCGTTGCAAGGATCCGGCAGTTGGGACTCGAGGTGGCGCTCCACAAGTCCGAGGCCATGTGTTTCTATGGCCGTCGGAGCGCGCCACCTCCAGGTGGGTCCCAAATAACGGCAGGAGGAGTTACCATCGGCGTCGAGTCGGCGATGAAGTACCTGGGTCTCGTCCTCGACAGCCGATGGAACTTCACGGAGCATTTTCGTCGTTTGGCCCCTAAGTTAGAACGGTCTGGGGCCGCGCTCAAGCGGCTCCTTCCCAACCTCGGGGGGCCAAACGCCTCCTGCCGGAGGTTGTATATGGGGATTGTGCGATCCATGGCCCTCTACGGTGCCCCTGTGTGGGCGCCGGCCTTGAAGCGGCGGCCGGCTCGTACGCTGGTCGCGTCCCAGAGGGTCATGGCTATTCGAGTAATCCGCGGGTATCGCACGATCTCCGGGGAGGCGGCGAACCTCCTTGCCGGATCACCGCCGTGGGATCTAGAAGCGAAGGCGCTCGCGCGCGTCTACAGTTTGCGCGCAGACGCGCGTCGCCGGGGCGAAGATCCTCTGCCGCGCCAAATTAGTGCGTGGCGGAATGAGCTCCGGCGAGATCTCATGGCAGAGTGGAAACAACGACTGTCGCAACCGAGGGCCGGGCACGCTACCATAGCAGCGGTAAGACCCCTCTTTGAGGAGTGGCTTGAGAGACGCCACGGCGTCCTCACCTTCCGTCTGACGCAGGTGCTTACCGGGCACGGCAGCTTCGGTAGGTTCCTGTTTCGGATTCAGCGGGAGGAAACGCCCGAGTGTCGTCATTGTGAGGACCACCTAGAGGATACGGTGGAGCATACGGTAGCGGTATGCCCTGCCTGGGCTGAGCACCGCCGTATCCTCAGGGAAGTGATCGGCGGCGGCGACCTCTCGCGCCCGGCCTTAGTCGAGGCCATGGTGCGGAGTGAGAGGAACTGGGACGCCGTCTCCTCCTTTTGTGAAGCAGTCATGCTCGCAAAGAGAGAGGCGGCCCGCGTGAGGGAGCAATCGTCCTCCTCACGCCCCAGCAGCCGCAACTGGCGACACTACGGGCGTCGGGGATCGAGGGACGATCTCCGGCCACCGTAAGTACGGGCCTGCGGTCGGCGAGTAAGGGCAGCTCGCCGCCCGACCAGAACCAGGCCCGAGCGTACGGCGCGTAGCGTTCCGCGCGCGCCTCAAAGAGCCAATAGACCACCACAGACGGGGCCCTAAAGGGCTGATGTTCAGCCGGGGTTGCGGGGTAAGCGCAATGAGGTACCGCGACCTCGGCACAGAGCAGGAGAAGGAACAGGGGGGTTTTTAGTCAGTAAGAGTCTGACACTCCCTCCTGCCCGGCCCTGGGCGGGAGAAGTCATTTGATGATTTTCCCTCACAAAAAAAAAAAAAGCCTCTTGTGGATTTTTTTATGTAATACTAGCTACTCTCGCGCGGTTTTACCCGCTGATCGCCCCCATTTAATAGTAGCGTGATGTTTTATAGCCTGAAGCGTTCAGGAACATTGTAGCTCTCTATTATTGAAAGAATTTTGGCAATGCGACCAGATGTTCCAAAAATTACCTCCGACATACAAACTTAAAAATTTTACCTCTTTATAATATTAGTGTAAATAAAGAAGTAGGTATAGATGTCAGCAAAAGAGCAGACGGATTACCCGATGGTAAGTAATAAGCAACGCCCGTGGACACCCGCAACAGGAGTAACGAGTGCGTTACCGACCTTTTTGGGTTTAGGGATTTGGAGATTTAGGGATTGGGAGGGGGGGGGGGGATGATTGGGCCTCCGTTTTCCCCCCGTTTTCTGTGTGGCTTTGGTATCATACCGGTTGAGCCGACCCATTCGTGCCAAAGCATGGCTCTCCCACACTTAAGTGGTCTATGAGGCGTCTGCGGGACGCTAAGTCGGAACGCGTCTTGTGCGACTGTGAGCTACCCTTGCTTGCCCTCCGCAGATCCGGTGGCAGAGTTCGAAAATTTCAACATCCATTATTATACTAAACAAAAAAAAAACTGGATTCTAACTTACTAAAGTGCCTCTTGGTACAATCGTGGTTGCCAAATTGATTTGTCCTTTTAAAACTCGAGTAAACGCTAGTCGCTGTTCAGGTGTGGGATTTCCAGACATATGGCGAGTTCTTGTTATATCTGTGGTACCGTCACTAGATTAAAAAAAAAAACAAAGAAAAAAGGATGATCAGTAAAGAATAGGTACTCTCATCTGTCATCTGAATATAATAATAAAAATAAAAACTAAAGCTCAATTACGACAAAAAACGACGCTGAAAAAGTATAAAACAAGATTTTCAGAATACTGAAAGGCGTAGTCACACGTTACATATACATACCTACCTACCGTAGCACTTTGACAACGTGTGACTACGCCTTTCAGTATTCTGAAAGTAGTTTTATTGTCGTAGTTGGGTTTTAGTTTATCTTAAATTTATTTTTTTTACTCTGAATGTTTTGTCTGCTAGAGGACGTCACATTAGATTTTGTGATACCCCATATAGCCTATAACCAGCGGACAATTAAGACGTTTCTAATGATATGTCATTCGACGAATTCTGATAAGTAGTTTAGAAGTTACGAGGTAACAGATGAACATGCATACATACATACATAGCCTGTCAAAATCATAACCCTCCTTTTGCTTTGCCGTAGTCGGGTAAAAATTTATTTTTCTTGAAAATATCTCAAAATAGAACCCCAGTGTGTGTGATATATTTTTGTAATCCACTCTTCAAACTCCATTTAACTATCAGAAGCACATACTGCTTTGAGAACTTTTTTAAATTATCTTATTCGATATTAGAGCCCCCATAGCTACACCATTGGTTTTTTAAGACACAACCATGCCTATGTCACCCGAGATGATATAAGAATTCCAACGATATCATCATCATCATCATCAGCCTATAAGTGCCCACTGCTGAGCAAAGGCCTCTTCTTACACGGAGAAGGTTTGAGCATTAATCACCACGCTTACTCAATGCGGGTTGGCGATTTCAAACTTATACCTAATTAGAAAATATAGGTTCAGGTTTCATCACGCTGTTTACCTTCACCGTATGCCTGGGGTGTCTAAATAATCATAGAAAGTACATATGACTCGGAAAAAGTCACATTGGTTCTTGCCAGGGCGCCTTAACCTCGGGGTACCACGACCTAACGAAATGCTATATGTATAATTTTGCCCTGACGTTTGGAAGTTACAGTGGAATGAAGAAAATCATATTCAAACATACATACATTAACCCTTAAATAATAACACTCCTTTTTTGGACAGTGTCGTGTAAATAATTATAAATTTAAAATTTGGAAAACCCCCGACAAAAACTCTAATATTTCTTTAAAAAGTAATAATTTAAAGAAAACGTGGCGTTGTGGACCGATCCATACATTTTATTATCAACTACATATTTCTACTTTGTCGGGGGTCTAATCTATTTTTTTATTTTATACTTTTTATATAATTTTCTATCGATTAAGTCATTAACATTCCCTTTCAGTGCGCTTTCATTTGACACCCCACTCGAGTATATTTGCAGACCTGCGGTTACCCTTCCCCACGTACCCCCCCCTTAACTTCTAAACGGCTCAAGCAATTCTCGTCAAACATGTCTAAGAACACGCGCACGTAAGCCACCTTTAATATAAAAAAAAACTAAATTGAAATCGCTTCACCCGTTCAGGCTCCAGGATGCCACGGACAGACAGACAGACACGTCAAACTTATAACACCCCTCTTTTTGTGTCGGGGGTTAAAAATAATACAACAAACATATTTGAACTTTTTAAGAAGTAGCACGTCGATTCTATAAAATTTGTTTGATTTTGAATCTTGTTCGAGTGCGAAGTGAGCGTCGAAGTGACGGGGTATTTAAATTTTAGAATGCCACTTTTAACGTCATTTCATACTTTATCTATCAAAATGTTGCTGTCAATTTATTTCAACTCGCAATTGTAGCGCTAGTGGACTACTTCTCTGTAGAAGTGAAGTCTTACAGAATCACACCCCAGTTCGCCTCCAATTTTGTAATCAGAACCGCTAAGGAGTGGAATTCTTTACCGGAGTCTGTGTTCCCCGAAGAATACCTGGCTGTCTTATTTTCCCGTGCGGGAATATAAACCGCGCACATTGCGCGACAGCCGTGCAGTCAAATATAAAATGGGCACTTACAAATACTGTCCTCCTGAGTCTACCAGCAGCATATCATCCGGTTTAATCACCCTCTGTGGCCCCGTGCTCTGGGGGCTGTAATGGATGATAGCCCCATTACTTCCCGCCCCGGCTATGGTAGAGAACGATGGCCCCACGAAATTCTTTTCATCACTGTAAAAAAATTGAGTTTTCTATACTTACTTCTATTATAGAGTCTGACACTCTCTCTCGCCTAACCCTGGGCGGGAGAAGTCATTTGATGATTTTCCCTTGACAAAAAAAGGATGTACCTAATCCATTTTATTATTATACCTACAAACTTATTTTACTTACCTTCTAAATTCAACCAATTTGTTTGAAAGATCCATCTCAGTGACTTCCTCGCCCGAGTTCACCATTTTCTCGACCCAGTGCAGGGCGCGGACCACTGCCACTCCATCTTTGATGTGAGCTACACGGAATCCCTGGTAAATGCAATAAAAAAAATATTTCACTTCTTCCTTAATCTTTGTGGAGTATTACACTTATAAACAATGATATTAATAAGTGTGGGAGAGCCATGCTTCGGCACGAATGGGTCGGCTCGACCGGAGTGATACCACGGCCTCACTGAAAACCGGCGTGAGACAACCACAACGTTGCAATCCATGGGCACTCGCAACAGGGGAGTTACAAGGTTACAAGTACATTGCCGACCTTTTGGGGATTAGGGAATTGGAGATTTAGGGATTGGGGAAGGGTCCGGGAAGAGGAAGGATTGGGCCTCCGGTAACCCCACTCACACGGCGAAACACAACATTGTCGTTGTTTCACGCCGGTGTTCTGTCAGGCCGTAGTATCACTCCTATTGAGCCGACCCATTCGTGCCGGAGCATGGCTTCCCCACCTTATTGATCTTCATCCCCTCAACCCCGGCTAGAATCTAATATTTTTTTTGTAAAAATATTTACCTCTAGTTCAATGTCGTTTTTCACGCATTTCTTCAGCGCAACAGGAGATATTGATGTCGATATTATATGAGCAGATCCCGCCTGAAATAAAAAAGAAAGTGAATATAATATTTTATTGAAACTTTTTTTGTGAGGGGAAAATCATCAAATGTGTCTCGCCCAGGGTGAGGCGAGAGGGAGTGTCAGACTCTTACTGACTAAGAACCCCCCTGTGCCTTCTCCTGCTCTGGGCCGAGGTCGCGGTGCCTCATTGCGCTTACCCCGCAACCCCGGCTGAATCAGCCCTCTAGGGCCCCGTCTGTGGTGGTCTATTGGATCAAGGCGCCCAGTTAAACAATAACAATGAAACATTGAATTTATTTTTGCAAATAGGCCATAAAACGGCAATTTTACACGTCTAAGTTAGTTAGTTCTCATATAGGCTTCATAGTACCTACATTCCAATGTTTCTTTTTCGGAGATACATGTACTTTCTATGATTATTTAGACACCACTGACATACGGTGAAGGTAAACATCGTGAGGAAATCTGGACTTGTAAGTTAGAAACCGCCAATCCGCCTTGAGCAAGCGTGGTGATTAATGCTCTAACCTTCTCCGTATGAAAAAAGGCTTTTGCTCAGCAGTGGGCACTTATAGTATGATGATGATGATGATGAATCATGTCTACCAGTTCATAGCTATTTTTCTACCATATTGCAAAACAGTCCTGCATCAACCAGGGATTGTCCTTGGGTGCACTTTTATAGTGCATACAGGGATAATGGCGGCTGATGTCTTAATAAGAGGTGTCTTAATAATCATAGAAAATACATATAACTCGGAAAAAGGCACATTGGTACTTGCCAGATTTCGAACCCACACCCTCATGCATGAGAAACGAGTTCCTTAACCTCCGGGCCACCACGACCATCCACCACCACCAGATATATTACTATGGAAATACTATGGCCCCTGCCCCTGATCAATATTGATACATACGGATAAATAGGAAAAAAAATATTTTTAATATTAATTGTAAAATTACCTCTAAAGCCATTAAGATGGCGTGGCTTGCTTCATCAGACAACCAGACAGTCTCTTCGGCATCAGTATTAGTCTGAAAAATAAAACAACAATAAATACCTATCTGTTTTTAGGGTTCCATAGTCAACCCATAGGAACCCTTAGGGTCCCGCCATGGTTGTCTATCAGTTTGTCGGTCCGTCCGCAGATAATCTTGAGTGTGTCAGACTCTTAATGACTAAAAACCCCCCCGTTCCTTCTCCTGCTCTAGGCCGAGGTCGCGGTGCCTCATTCCTATTGCCAAGCAACCCCGGCTGAACATCAGCCCTATAGGGCCCCGTCTGTGGTGGTCTATTGGGTCTTGGAGCTTTGCTCTTTCTCAAACTATCAGAACGGCAATTAACATCAACTAGCAGTCGAAAAGCACGACGGACGGCGCTGATTGCTAACCATCAGGTAATCCTACTGCTCGTTTGCCGACCTATTACATAAATCCAAACTAATTATTATAAATGCGAATGTAACTCTGCTTGTCTATCTGTCCTTTCTTCACACCTACACTAATGAACCGATTTCTGTGAAATTCGGTAGGTACAGACATAGTTTGGAACTCGAGAAAGGACATACTTAGGATAGTTTTTATACCAAAAATCTGCAAGAAGTCACTATTCCACGCGAACGGTAAAAGCTAATCTATACTATTATTAAAATTTGTAAGTTTGTATGTTTCTAAGTTTGTAAGTTTGTATGTAGGGGGTAATCTTTGGAACCGCTGGTCGGATTACCAAAATTCTTTCACTGATAGATAGCTACAATGTTCCTGAGTGCTATAGGCTATAAAATATCACGCTACGATCTGTAGGAACCGAGAAGCGGGTGAAACCGCGCGCGAGTAGCTAGTAAAATATATATTTATACTCACAGACATCATTCTAAGGAAACTAAATATATCTTCGTAAGGAAAAGAAGACAATATGATCCCTTCTGCCTCTGTAGTCAGGTGATTCTGGATGTTCTCAGGTAAAACACCTTTACCCCAAAATAAAGCAACTTCTGTAAAATTCTGAAAATCGAAAACACTGATTTTTAGTCATGTCATATATAGTTTTTGAGGAAGGACAATCCTCGTCGAGTTGTGGGAGAGCCATGCTTCGGCACGAATGGGTCGGCTCGACCGGAGTCATACCACGGCCTCACAGAAAACCGATGTGAAACAACCACAGCGTTGTGTTTCGCCGTGTGAGTGAGGACCGAAGGCCCAATCCTTCCCCAATCCCTAAATCTTCAAATCCCTATTCCCAAAATTCAGCAACGCACTCGTAACTCATCTATTACGGGTGCCCATGGGCGGCGCTGATTGCTTACCATCAGGTAATCCGTCTGCTCGTTCGCGGACCTAGCACATGAAAAAAGTTTGCGAGATCATTCCCCATCTTCCCATCCCTTCCCAATCCTTAAATATTGGGAAACCTCACCCCCAAAATGCTGGCTAGCAGCTGGTATGCAATCGTAACTCCTTTGGTATTGCGAGTGTCGATGGGCGGCGCCGATAGCTTACCATCAGGCTTACCATCGTCTTTTTAATCAAAGATTCCTGGCTCCATGGATAACGGAGTAGATTTTTTTCTTATTTTAAAAAGAACGTTGCCCCACACTAGGATATTCTCCCGTGTTGTGGTTGCGTTTACAAACATACAATTTTACATACACATCACACCCAGACCCGGAACAACAATTTGTGGATCACATCAGCGATGTCCCTAAGCTCAGTAACCGAAACTTCAGATATCGGATATAAAAAAAATATCCGTGATCGTAAACCAATCCGAAATAAAAGTTTGAGATAATAGCGGATAGGGGCGCAGCCTAATTGAGACACGTTATGTACGTTTGTACTTTACTTTTGGAATTCCTTTAAAATTTTAATATCCTTAACCCAAATTATCCGTACTAACGGATAATTTAAGTGTGGGACGAATGGGTCGGCTCGACCGGAGTGATAGATACCACGGCCTCACAGAATATCCCCTATCCCTTCGCGATCCTTACATCCGCAACCCTTATCCCCAAAAGGCCGGCAACGCACTCGTAACTCCTTTGGTGTTGCGGGCGTCCATGGGCGGCGCTGATTGCGTACCATCAGGTAATCCGTCTGCTCGTTTGCCGATTTGCACCATTTAAAAAAACCGATATAATTTAATATTGAAGACATGGGAGTTAGTGATAGCGTGAAAGTTGACAGGACAGAATGGAAGAAAAAAACATATTGCGCCGGCCCCAAATAAAACGGGACAAGGGCAGGAAGATGATGATGATGATCCGTAACCGTGTCCAGTATAATAATCATGTCTACATTCGTATCCAATTCGTATCCGAAATTTCATATCCATAACATCCCTTTTTTTTCAGGGGAAAATCATCAAATGACGACTTCAGCCCAGGGTTAGGCGAGTCTCGAGAGCCAGACGCTAACTGACTAAAAACCCCCGCGTTCCTTCTCCTGCTTTGGGCCGGGGCCGCGGTGACTCATTGCGCTTAACCCGCAACCCCGGCTGATCCATAACATCCCTGGATCACACAAAGAGTTGTTCGGTGCGGGAATGGAAACTGCGACAAGTTGCGTGGCAGCCAGTTGCCCAGCCACCGCGCCAAATTTACCGCGCCCACTAAATTAATTATTATGTTTTCGGCTTACTTACATAATAATTTGACGAGATATTCGACTCATTTTAGCACGTTTCACACGCGACTCGGCGACTGTCGCGCTGCTACTACAGTCGCCGCGTCGCGTGTCGCGGAATGCTGCTCATGAATATGGGCCTCTAGCATGGCTTGAAACTAGTCGAGTATCTCGTCAAATTATTACGTGAGTAAGCCGAAAACATAATAATTAATTTAGAATGTCTCATCATCATCATCATCTGCTAAGTGTGGGAGAGCCATGCTTTGGCACGAATGGGTCGGCTCGACCGGAGTGATACCACAGCCTTACAGAAAACCGGCGTGAAACAACCACAGCATTGTGTTTCGCCGTGTGAGTGAGGTTACCGGAGGCCCAATCCTTCCCCTTCCCGGACCCTTCCCCAATCCCTAAATCTCCAAATCCCTAATCCCTAAAAGGTCGACAACGCACTCTTAACTCCTCCGTTGCGGGTGTCCATGGGCGGCGCTGATTGCTTACCATCAGGTAATCCGTCTGCTCGTTTGTCGACCTATAACATAAAAAAAAGAAAACCGGCGTGAAACAATCTTTAAATCTCCTTTATCCTAAGCCTAATCCCTAAAAGGTCGGCAACGCACTCGTGACTCCTCCGTTGCGGGTGTCCATGGGCGGCGTTGATTGCTTACCATCAGGTAATCCGTCTGCTCGTTTGCCGACTTATTACATTAAAAAAAAAACATCATCATCAGCCTGTTGTCGTCCACTGCTGGACATAGGCCTCCCCAATTGCACGCCACTGAGCTCGATGTTCAGCTCTTCTCATCCAACCCCTGCCAGCCACCCTGCGGATGTCGTCAGTCCAGCTAGCTGGAGGGCGCCCTACATAAATGTCTCACGAAAGTTATAATAAAAATACACAGTACTTACTATTACTGAGTCAATCGCGGCGATCTCACGTCTTCGTATGAGGCAATAGGAAAAGAAAACAGGATTATATGGTATGTCTGACCCACGTAGGTTGAGAGTATCTGAAATAGGTACGATTATTTACATTTAGGGCTGACTTTTAAATAGTCAGATAAATGTTATCTGAAGAATAAAATTGTTGCTGTCACTGTCTTATGCAAACATTCTATTTGGATATTATTTATATACTAGCTTTTGCCCGCGACTTCGTTCGCGTGGATTTCAGGTTCGTCCCGTCTAGTCTAGTAATAAGTAAGAAATACGGTAACTAAGCACTGCAGAGCCCTAATCATAGGTCTATAGGTAGCTACTGCAGTATGCTCCTGTAAACTACATTTAACGATCTTTTTCCTTCAGCATAAACATGCAGATTCTTCGCTTTGGAAACGTAAGCGCAAAAAATGTGTTTTTTACGACCTCACATTAGAAACCTCAAAAATTGTAGCCTATGTGTTATTCTGATGTATAAGCTATATTGTGGTAAAGTTTCATTCAAATCCATTCAGTAGTTTTTATGTGAATGAGTAACAAACATCCATACTTACAAACTTTCGCCTTTATAATAGTAGTAGGATGTATATATATATATATCCTACATGTATTTTTTTATTGAAAAGAGTTGTTCCGTGCGTGAATTGAACCCGCGACACGTTGCGCGGCAGCCAGTTGCCCAGCCACCGCGCCAACCGTGCAGTCATACTACCTATATATGTATGTATATATAGACTTACATGCAATATCATCCAATGCAGTTAGAAGAAGCGCGGTGGCGCCTCTTTCTTCCATTTGCGAAACTAGGCCTAAAATCTTAGTACTCGCGAGTTCTCCTGAAATAATAATAATAGTAACGGTACATTATTTTTTTATGTAATAGGTCGGCAAACGAGCGGACGGATTACCTGATGGTAAGCAATCAGCGCCGCCCATGGACACCCGCAAAGGAGGAGGTACGAGTACGTAGCCGACCTTTTAGGGATTAGGGTTTTGGAGATTTTTTTATGGAATAGGAGCAGACGGATCACCTGATGGTAAGTGATCGGCGCCGCCCATGGACACCTGCAACACCAGAGGAGTCACAGGTGCGTTGCCGGCCTTTTAAGAAGGAGTACACTCGTTTCTTGAAGGTTTGAAGGTCGAGATTTAGGGATTGGGGAGGGATCTGATGAGGGGAAGGATTGGGCCTCCGGTAACCTCACTCTTTCAGCGAAACATAACGCTGTGGTTGTTTCACGCCGGTTTTCTGTGAGGCCGTGGTATCACTCCGGTCGAGCCGACCCATTCGTGCCGAAGCATGGCTCTCACACATATAACGACTTGCTTACGTCAATTACTGCTGCTGCTCTATTAGTCTCTAGTAGTTTTTACTTTAACAATACGTCGTTACGATGGGCACACTGCTCATGAATAAGAGTCCCGTTATGAATTGAAACTAGTTGAGCTTTTCTCAAATAATTCACGAGAGATAGTTTTCATTTTTTATTTATATTAATTTAAAAAAAACGTTGCCCCACACTAGGATTTTCTCCTTTGTCGTGGCGGGTGCGTTTATAAATATACAATTTCACATCCACATGACACCCAGGCCCGGAACAACAATTTGTGTTGTTCCATGCGGGAATCGAACCCGAGACAAGTCGCACGGCAGCCAGTTGCCCAGCCACCGCACCAACCGTGCTTTATTTTCAATAAATTTTATATCTCGCTATAGTTTACAGTAACTCTCTCTGCTTACATTTATGACGAGCTGGATTACCTGATGGTAAGCAATCGGCGTTGCCCATGGACAATCACAACACCAGAAGAATTACCAGAGCACTATCGCGTTTTAGAGATTTGAGGATTGAGATTGTAGACTTGACTCCAATCTCACTTACACGGCGAAGAACAACACAAGCGTTGGTTCACGCCGGCTTTTTAGAAGGCGTGGTATCACTCCAGTCGAGCCAAGAGAAGTATTATATAGGATAAAAATGTACTCACCCGTAAATTCTAAAGAGAGAGGTATAAGTGGATTGTTGGACCTCTCTGGAGGGCCATCATCCAGCTGCCTCCGAGCTTCATCTACCAAGTTGTCGTAGAAAGCAAGTAATCGTACATTGACAGCCTCTAACGCTGACTGCAAAGAAAAAATATAAATTAGCTAATGTGGTTTTAAAAATATATACCTACCAATATTTTGTCTGTTAATGTACGATATTTTTGTGGTTTGAGCGTAAAAATAATAATAAATATTTAAGCTTCCCCCCCCCTGTTCCTTCTCCTGCTCTGGGCCGAGGCCGCGGTGACTTATTGCGCGTACCCCGCAACCCCGGCTGAACATCAGCCCTATAGGGCCCCGTCTGTGGTGGTCTATTGGATCTTTGAGGCGCGCGCGGAACGCTACGCGCTGTACGCTCGGGCCTGGTTCTGGTCGGGCGGCGAGTTCCTCTTACTCGCCGACCGCAGACCCGCGCTTACGGTGGCCGGCGATCCCCGACGCCCTGGATGTTGCCTGTTGCGGCGGCTGAGGCGTGAGAAGGCGGATTGCTCCCTCACGCAGTTCGCCTCCCTCTTTGCGAGCATAACTGCTTCACAGGAGGAGACGGCGACCCAGTTCCTCTCGCTCCGCACCATGGCCTCGACTAAGGCCGGGCGCGAGAGGTCGCCGCATCCATAGAAACGCTAATACTCACTTCAAGAGTTCTCCATGCACTCCGAGTGTAGGTGGTGGGGTCCACTGCAACCACTGAATTTGGTGCCATGTTGCTGACAAGCCACTGCTGTAGGGATTCATCAACTCCTACAACGAAGGATAAAAATCGATGAATAAAAAAAAACTACGTTTAAAAAACAAGTTTCAAATAATTAAAATAGATATTTTAATACCACACTTACGTACGCAAAGCTAATACTTTTAATATTAATAATAAAACACTATCAATTCTATGTGCTACCCATTCATAGGTTTGAAGTCGGTGCCAAGCCTAATACATAATATAATAAGCATGATACATGAGTGCCTAAACTCGCCGGGTGCGTGTGAATTTATTTGATAGGATTTAAGAAATTTAATACCGATTTTCTAACTAGATGGCGTTAGCGTAGAATCAGAAGTGTATATGGTTTCGTTACCGGCGAAATTATATATAGCTTAGAAAGATATTTGGGTGAATTATGAATACTGAAAGTGTTCTCGTACTTTGGTTGTTAAAGTAGTAGTAGGTAGCTTCGTTCTTGGTTGGGAAATTTCGTCTTTTAGCGGTTAAACAGTCTTAATTCTCATTTAGATTTATTCTGTTTAGGGCTTGGCACCGACTTCAAACCTATGAATAGGTAGACAGATTCATACTGACTAATAACCATCCCGGTCCTTCTCCTGCTCCAAGTCGCCGCCAAGGTGGAAGCCAAGAAGGTATACTAACCCTGCTTCATCAACCACCAGAGGTTCCCGTCGACTTCCTCTTCAAACTGTGTCCAATATCTCGCGTCAGTCCAGACCAGTGCCAAATTGGCAGTCACCAGCGCTGTTCCTGAGGAACCACGGAGACCAGACAGCCATTCCCTCCTGGCATCGGCCGGAGATATGTATTGGGACTAAAGAAAATAAATATGTTTATTTTATCGACTTCATCATCAGCCGGTAGACGTCCACTGCTGGACAAAGGCCTCCCCCTTAGCTCTCCACGTCGAACGACAAGTTGCCACCTGCATTCATTGGCTCCCCGCGACTCTGACGATGTCGTCGGTCCACCTAGAGGGAGGCCTGCCCACACTACGTTTTCTGGTCTTTAATCGCCACTCTAGGACTTTTCGGGCCCATCGACCGTCCGTCTTTCGAGCGACGTGGCCTGCCGATTACCACTGTAGCCTGCAGATTTTACGAGCTATGTCGGTGACTTTGGTTCTTTGACGAATTTCCACATTTCGGATTTTGTCGCGCAAAGAGACCCCGAGCATAGCCCGCTCCATCGCGCGCTGAGCGACGCTGAGTTTAGCAAGAAGGCCAGAAGTTAAGGACCACGTCTCAGTACCATACGTCATCACCGGCAACACACACTGGTTAAACATCCTGGTCTTCAGGCACTGTGGGATTTTCGATGAGAAGACATCGTGTAACTTCCCGAACTTTATCGACTTATGTATATGAATTCAACTGTTAAGAAATTTTTTACTTGTACTAGCTACTCTCGCGCGGTTTCACCCGCTGCTCCTACAGATCGTAGCGTGATGTTTTATAGCCTAAAGCCTTCCTCAATTAATAATCTATTCAGCAAAAAAAAAATTTTCTATGTCGGCAAACGAGCTGACGGATTACCTGATGGTAAGCAATTAGCGCTGTCCATGGACAAGGACACCCGCAACGGAGGAGTTACGAGTGCGTTGCCGACCTTTTAGGGATTAGGGATTTGGAGATTTAGGGATTGAGAAAGGATTAGGGGAGGGGAAGGATTGGCCCTTCGTTAACCTCACTGACACAGCGAAACACAACGCTGTGGTTGTTTCACGCCGGTTTTCTGTGAGGCCGTGGTATCACTCCGGTCGGGCCAACCCATTCGTGCCGAAGCATGGCTCTCCGACACTTAATTATTCGTACTAGTAGTTCCCGAGCTTAGTGCGTTCAATCCCTAAAAGGTCGGCAACGCATTCGTAACTCCTCTGGTCTTACGGGTGTTCATTGGGCGACGTCAATTGCTTACCATCAGGTAATCCGCCTGCTATTGTACTTACATTATGAGCATCAGCAGTTGGTACTATGTAGGCGTCAACTCCCTTCGATTTCATGACTTCACGCACAGCGCTCAGTCGGCTGGCTGCAGTCACGGCACTCATCTTGGTGCCTGGAACACCGCTTACTGGAAACGTATTAAGTTTAAGGGTACAATCATCGAATGACTTCTCCCTCCCAGGGTCGGACGTGGAGGGAGTGAGACAAACTCTTACTGACTAAAAACGCCCCCGTTCCTTCTCCCGCTCTGGGACGTGGGGTAGGTAGGATAGGGTAGGGAGCGAATCCGAAGCTTTGGGGTCACGGGTGCATAGAGGGGGGACTCTAGGTGCTCATTCAGTGGTCCCAGGGAAGGCGGTGGTACAGTGGTCACGTACCGCCGTACACAGCGAGGCTCGTACTCGAGGGATGTGCCGTCACAAGCGTCTCACCGTGGGGGTTCAGGAGCAGGTCTCTTGTAGAGGACCCGGTGCCCCTTACGGGTGATGAGGGTGGCCACCGGGGTGGTTTTAGTGAGGTAAAAATCCCACACTCCCTAGTCTTTCTCCCCAAAAAGCTCTTTTGAAGGTTTCCCCCCGTTACCAAAAAAAAAAAGGTAGGGTAGGTAGGGCAGGGTAGGAGTAGGTAGGTAGACCAATGACGGAAACGAAGCCGCTGGCGAAATCTAGTGATTGATAGAAATATTACTGCAAAGTTAGCTTAGTCGAAATCATTAAAAAACGTCTATTGAGTTATTGGGAAAAATTGTAGTTCGAGAAGAATTAAGAAATAATCGTTTCATACCATATGCTGGTGCGTCGGGCTCGGCAGAGTTGTAGTAAGGAATGTGACTCCATACTGCGTTGACTGACAATCTGAAAGTCAAAACAAAGCGATTACGATCAGTTTATTTTTTCTTGTGAGAAATGACTTTTCTCGTGCAGGGGCGGGCGGAGGGAGCGTCAGACTCTTACTGAGTAAAAACGCCCCCGTTCCTTCTGCTCTGGGCCGAGCATTGCGCTTGCCCCGCAACCCCGGCTGAACATCAGCCTTGTAGGGCTCCGTCTGTAGTGTTCATTCTGGTCGGGCAGCAAGCTACACTTACTCGCCGTCCACAGACCCGTGCTTACGGGGGCCGGAGATCATTTACGGGGCGTGAGGAGGATAGTTCCCTCACGCGCTCCGCCTCTTCCTTTGCGAGCGTCACTGCTTTGAAGAAAGAGGAGACGGCTTCCCAGTTCCTCTCACAACGAACCGTGGCCTCGACTAAGGACGAGCGCGAGAGGTCGTCGCCGCCGATCATTTCCCAGAGGACACGGCGGTACTCAGCCCAAGCAGGGCATACCGCCACCGTTTGCTCCACAGTGTCCTCTAGGTGGTCCTCACAATGACCATACATGAGCGTTTAGATAGCTACAATGTTCCTGAGTGCTATAGGCTATAAAACATCACGCTACGATTAAATGGAGCCGAGCAGCGAGTGAAAAAGCGCGGGTGTAGCTAGTTAAAAAAATTAATGACAGAGCGGTAAGTGACTTTATTTTATACTTGACTAGGCCCTAGCTTCGGCCGTTTGCAATGCTGATACCAAATTACTCCACTATTTAATAGATGTTATACATATAAATCTTCCTATTCAATCACTCTATCTATTAAAAAACACTGAACCAAAATCCGTTGCGTAGTTTTAAAGATTTAAGCGTACATAGGGATATAGGGACAGAGAAAGCGACTTTGTTTTATACTATGTAGTGATAATTGTAGAATTTGGATATTAATTTTATTATAAGTAAGTACTTACATGAGAAATAAAGAATAAATCCAACTTCGTACGACGGCCATGATAGTAACAATAATTCTGATAAAACATATTATTTATCAAAACGTGTTTTATTATAGCGTTTATCAATACAAATACTATTTATCATTTTTATTTGATAAAATAATTGATTAAGATATAATTTGTATTATTGGATTATGTGAGTCAATATTAAATTGGTTGATAATTGCCGGATTTGACAATGAATTTTAGAAAATCATGCTTTCACAGAAATTAGGTACCGAAGGCAGATCCGGAAGACCGCCGCAGTATGCGACACTCCCGGCCGTCGGAGATGATCTTGGACCACCGTGAGCGCAGCTCTGTTGACGGCGAGTAGGGTAGGGTAGCTCGTCGCCCGAGCAGAACCAGACCCTAGCGTATAGCGTTCCAATAGACCACCACATCATCATCATCATCATCATCAGCCTATAAGTGCCCACTGCTGTGCAAAGGCCTCTTCTCATACGGAGAACGTTAGAGCATTAATCACCACGTTTGCTCAATGCGGGTTGGCGATTTCAAACTTATAATTACAAATTATAAGTCCAGGTTTCCTCACGATGTTTTCCTTCACCGTATGTCAGTGGTGTCCAAATAATCATAGAAAGTACGTATAACTCGGAAAAAGTCATATTGGGCCAGGGTTTCGAAACTACAACCTCATGCTTGAGAAGCGGGTTCCTTAACCTCCGGCCCACCATGAACAAAGACCATAGACCACCACAGTTGGGGGCCAACAGGGCTGACGTTAAGCAGCGGTCGCGGGTCCTGCGCAGTAAGTTGTCGCGGCCTCGATCTGGTACAGGAGAAGGAACGGAGTAGGTTTTTAGTCAGTAAGAATATGACACTCCCTATCGTCATATCCTAGGTAAGAGAAGTCGTTTATTATCACTCTTAAAAAAGACCCAGGAGAAGTGAATGCGGTAGTTTTCAGCCAGTCGGATTATGAATCTGATAAGTCTCTCTTACATCCCACCCCGGAAGAATTAAATGGATGATCTTCCCTCCTAAAAAGGAAAGTTTTAGCTGCAATGGGCCGACTCGAGCGTACCAACTTAGTGTGGGAGAGCCATGTTTCACATTCATGTCATGACACGAATAGGTCGGCTCGACCGGAGTGATACCACGGCGTCACAGAAAACCGGCGTGGAACAACAACAATGTTGTGTTTTGCCGTATGAGTGACTTTACTGGAGGCCCAATCCCTAAATCTCCAAAACCCTAATACCTAAAAGGTCGGCAACGCACTCGTAACTCCTCCGTTGCGGGTGTCCATGAGCGGCGATGCTTGCTTACCATCAGGTAATCCGTCTGCTCGTTGGCCGACCGATTGCATAAACATTTTTTTTAGAAATAAATGTAGTTAATAATCAGTGCACAGTTGACGCGGTGGCTGGGCAACTGGCTGCCACGCAACGTGACGCCGTTTCCATTCCTGCAAGGAAAAACTCTTAAGTGATCCACAAATTGTTGTTCCGGGTCTGTGTGTGATGTATATCTGAAATTGTACGTTTGAAAACGCACCCAGACGACATCGGAGAAAATCCTAGTGTTGGGCAAAGTTCAAATGTAATCAATCATAGATAACTAAAGTAGTCGAAGGTTCAATAATAAAATTATAAGGCGATATGCGATCAATAAACGTTTTTTTATCATCTTTTCCGTCATCGTACCACCAGGCGATGCAAAGAGGGAGGCGGCCCGCGTGAGGGAGCAATCCTCCTCCTCACGCCCCAGCCGCCGCAACAGGCGACACTACGGGCGTCGGGGATCAAGGGACGATCTCCGGCCACCGTAGGCGCGAGTCTGCAATCGGCGAGTTAGGGTAGCTCGCCGCCCGACCAGAACCAGACCCGAGCGTACGGCGTGTAGCGTTCCGCGCGCGCGTCAAAGAGCCAATAGACCACAACAGACAGGGCCCTATAGGGCTGATGTTCAGCCGGGGTTGCGAGGTAAGCGCAATGAGGCACCGCGACCTCGGCCCAGAGCAGGAGAAGGAACAGGGGTGGTTTTAGTCAGTAAGCAGTAGCCCTGAGCGGGAGAAGACATTTGATGATTTTACCCTTACAAAAAAAGCGAATTCAAACGAAGAACGAATTCATTTGATGATTTTCCCCTCACAAAAAAAGCGAATTCGAACGATCATTTCCTCAGATTGGCTTTTTTGACTCCGTTCTTACTCCTGCACCAGGCCGATGCCGCGATACGTAATTGCGCTTACCCTGCAACCCCGGCTAAACATCAGCTGTAGTGGTCTTTTGGCTACTGCAGGAGCGCGTAGAACGCTATACCTACGCTGTAGGAAGTAGTGGAATTCTTTCTTTTCCCAGATTCTGTGTTCCTCAAAGGGTATCTGTGTGTCTTCAAGGTCCGAGCGTAAAGGTTGGTAATAGGTAGGTGTGCTCCATCGAAGGTCGCATCATCGCTTACGACCAGGCGTGATAGAGGCCAAGCACCAGTATATCCTTAGCTTAATTTCATCGTCTTCTCTGTCCCTATATCCCTAGGTACGCTTAAAGCTTTAAAACTACGCAACGGATTTCGATTTTGCTTTTTTTAACACACAGTGATTACGATTGGTGCGTTTGACTGCACGGTTGGTGCGGTGGCTGGGCAACTGGCTGTCGTGCAACGTGTCGCGGGTTCGATTCCCGCACGGAACAACTCTTTGTGTGATCCACAAATTGTTGTTCCGGGTCTGGGTGTCATGTGTATGTGAAATTGTATGTTTGTAACAGCACCCACGACACAGGAGAAAATCCTAATGTGGGGACATGTTTTTTTAAAACGAAACAAAAAAACGATGCCTTTTTTAAGAGACACATAAAATAGTGAAGGAATTTAGTATCAGCATTGCACACGTGCAAAGACGGGTCGGATCGCTAGTCTATACTTCTATACTAATATTATAAAGAGGTAAAATTTGTAAGTTTGTATGTAGGGGGTAATCTTTGGAACCGCTGTTCGGATTGCCAAATTTCTTTCACTGATAGATAGCTACAATGTTCCTGTGTGCTATAGGTTATAAAACTTCACGCTACGATTAAATTGAGCCGAGCAGCGGGTTAAACCACGTGAGAGTAGCTAGTAGTATTTATGTATGTTATTACCAGATTTGCCACTCGAACCCACACAAAGTCACCAAACTAGCTAAGAAACCCTGAAAAGAATATTCACACAAACATAAAAAATAAAATAAGTATAACTTTTATAGGAATCCTATTTTATTTACATAAACAATAATAACACATGTATACTAGATTTATTAAAACTGACGACTTAGGGCTGATTTTTCAATAGTCAGATAAATGTTATCTGAGGAATAAAATTATTGCTGTCACTGTCTTATGCAAACATTCTGACGCGACAGCATCACAATTATTGCCCCGGTAACTTTTATCTAACCATTGAAAAATCAGCCCTTATTCACGTGAATTATTTGAGAAACATTTATATAGAAGCATTCTTAAAGATTGTGAGTACGCATATGTGAAAACCATGTCCGAGACGACAAAGGATAAAATTTAATGATAGATCCCATCATTAGTTTTTTTTACATTTTGTCTTGTTCTCACGTAAAGGTACAATAATGTATACTAAATGTTATATTAGGGAAATTGAAAAAAAAAAAAAATTTTAAAAGAGTAACGATGGAGTTTCTTTCTCGTTCTTTTCCATTCGAATCTACAATTTGGTACGAGCACCTAGCTTCACTGACGAACAGACTGACAGACTGCTATTCTATTTTGACGTTTCAAAAGTACCTATTTACGGTTTAGTTGGAATAAATGATTTTGACTTTGAAAAGCTCTACTAGTTTCGAATCACCACGAGAGTCTTATTCATGAGCAGCGTACGCGGCGACGTATGGAGCAGACCAACTAATTTTAAATCATACCGTTCCTCTATAGCTTAAAACTTGTAGAGGTTTTCTGAGTTAATTCACGTTGGTAAGTCGTTAATTTTAATCAATTTAAAAATATATACAATATAAACACATTTTTAACTGTAGAGGAACTTCAATTATATACACATAAACTTACATTAGGTATAAACATATTTCCATTAAAAAAAGAACACCATAAAAATACATTTTTATTACTAAAAAATTCCACATAAAACAAAATGATAAAGTTTTCTTCGATTATAGTAAGGCCTTTGACAATAATATTTTCGTTACACATACAAAATTCACTAAGGGTCGATTCTCATTTAAGGGAAGAATCTTCGCGTATCATCGGTCGCCATAACAGACCGGTATATAATAAAATATTAAATCTTTCAAACCAAGAGAGATGGGAGAGCCAAGCTTCGTGACGAGTGGCTCGACTGAACTGATACTACGGCCTCACAGAAAACGCGCGTGGACCAACCACAGCGTTGTGTTTCGCCGTATGAGGTTACCGGAGGCCCCTTCCGTCCCCCTTACCCCATCCCTTCCCAATCCTTAAATATTCGAAATGCACTCGTAACTCATTTGGTGTTGAAAGTTGAAAATCGGTGAATTAGTTTTTAGTTAAAAGTTTTGTTAAAATTTTTGTATTAAAAGAAAACTTCTTCCTACTCTACCTACCCTTTTTTAGTGTATGGGGAAGTTCTTATCAACTTTGTCAACCCAAACATGCAGTTCACCTACCATATCTTTTCACTTTACGCAGTTGCGTGGTCCTTTTCAATCGGTGTTCCAAAGGGAGCTTATTTAGGACCAATTTGGCGACGACTTGAGACTCAACCACGGAGCTAATTAATTTAGTAATATATATTTAAGAAACTTATTTCGATTTAATAATGAGCACCAATTGTCTTTTAACTTAAAAATATATTCCGTGACCATGGCAAGGCCTTTGATAATAATAATTCCGTTATAGATACAAATTTTACTTAAAATTAAACATCTCACTCCTCAGTCTACTTTGTTTTAGTAAACGGGGAAGTTCTTATCGACTTTATCAGCCCATGCATGTAGTTCGCCGGCAATATCCTTCATTCTTGCCCGGTGTGCCGCAGGGAGCTTATTTAGGACCAATTTGGTGACGACTTGAGAGTCAACCACGGAGCTAACTAGTTTCGCAAGAAGGAAATAATAAAAACTATTTATTTTGCGCTGAACACACATGAGCTTAAGAACTACAACAAAACATTTATATAGAAAACGAAGGAAATCAGGAAAACATCACTTAGTAATAAAATTAAATATTTATAAACTTACATTAGCTATAAACTTATTTCGATTTTATAATGAGCACCAATTGTATTTCAACTTAAAATATATTCCGTGACCATAGCAAGGCCTTTGATAATAATAATTCTGCTATAGGTACATATTTCACTTAAAATTAAACATCTCACGGCTCAGTCTACCCTGGTTTAGTAAACAGGGAAGTTTTTATCGACTTTCTCAGCCCAAGCATGGAGTCCGCCGGCCATATCCTTCACTTTTGACTGGTGTACCACAGGGAGCTTATCTAGGACCAATTTTGCAGCGACTTGGGAATCGTTGCCACGACGACAGATGAATATTACTGAAAAGATAACATGATCAAGTCAAGATCAAAATACTATTAACATTACAGACGCGAAAGTTTTAAACTATGTGTGGATTAGGATGATGATGATTTCACGTAAAAACTACTGAATTGATTTGAATGAAATTTGGTGCAGAGATTGTTTATAATCTGGAATGACACATAGAGTAGGGTTTACCATGGCAACAGACGAAGACGCTGGCATAAGCTAGAATAATTATTATTTTCGAAACAGTTGTTTTTTTACTTATTAGTTTATAGAGAATTTCGAAAATATTCGAGTCGGGGGTCGAACCTGGAATCTTATTCTCATCTGTTATTAACCCCTTGCTAATTTAAGACAACAAACACACTCTGATGAGTAGAGACTTGATTCCTTCTACATCAATTGAGGTATCAAGGCTTCGATTCCCGTTTGTAACATTTCTTTCAACATCAACTGCTGTATTGCCAAATATGAAGTCTTTTAATCGGTTATACCACAGCCACTGGGTTTAAGCAGGGTTAAAAAACTAATAGGTTAGGTTACACCATTAATATTTATTTTAAAAAACTCACCAGGTGTCTGACTCTCTTCGACCTGTCCCACGAGCTTATCCAAATTAGACCCTCGTATACTATCTATGGGCCAATTCTTAGTCCCGAATATATGGCACATCTCAAACTCAGGTCCAGCCCTAACGTCGACTATTAAAGGCATTTCCATCTTCATTAATTCCGAAACTTCAGTCGCTGTAATTCTATTTTCTTCAGGAAGAATTTTCAGGGATAAATCCTAAAAAGAAAAAAAAATGTTTTTTTAAAAAACGCTACGAAAATCGATTTTATTTTCGCCTGTGTCGTAGGTGCGTTTACAAACATACGACTTCACATATGTACACTTTTTTTTGTTAAACATCAAATGATTTTGCTTCGAGCAAAAATGTATCGTTGTGTGATCCATCACATGAAAAGTTGTTCCGTGCGAGAATCTCATGGTTGCAGACAAACTGGGCCAACCAAACAGCTATGACACAAACAATTAACCAACTGTAAAGTTGAGTCCCGATGTGACTTGAAACTAGTAGAGCTGTAGCGACATCTATCGCACACACGCAGTATCACATAAATGGAGAAATAATTATCAACAGATGGCGTAACACACAATAATCAACAGATGGCGTAACAGGTTCTACATCGCGCAAGTGAAGTTTACGCGCTAATAAGCACAATAGAAAGATCCCAACAACAACAGTCGGGCAGTAGCCCACCAGGTACGAACACCTCGCCTGGTCGGAGGATCCTCCCTTTTCAATGGAGGATGAGGAACTTTCCAACCTGTTTCTTTTTTTTTAATAAATCATTTATTATGGACCAAACATGTTTTACTTACACCCACCAAACTGCGTAATAGATTGTCGGCGGGATAAGTTCTCATACCTCTAAAGAGCTGTCTTGAAAAAGAACCACCGTTACTATGGTTAACTATGGCATCGATACCTAGATCCGTGCAGTTTCCCAGTTGTGACATTTGATCAAAGGGGCCATCATATAATTGCTTCCACCACAGAGGGGACCCTTTTTTTGTCAGGGAAAAATCATCAAATGGCTTCTCCCGCCCAGGGTTAGGCGAGAGATATTGTCAGACTCTTACTGACTAAAAACCCCCCCGTTCCTTCTCCTGCTCTGGGCCGAGGTCGCGGTGACTCATTGCGCTTACCCCGCAACCCCGGCTGAACATCAGCCCTATAGGGCCCCGTCTGTGGTGTTCCATTGGCTCTTTGAGGCGCGCGCGGAACGCTACGCGCCGTACGCTCGGGTCTGGTTCTGGTCGGGCGGCGAGCTACCCTTACTCGCCAACGCAGACCCGCGCTTACGGTGGCCGGAGATCGTCTCTCGATCCCCGACGCCCGGAATGTTGCCTTCTGTGGCGGCTGGGGCGCGAGGAAGATAGTTTCGTCACGCGCTCCGCCTCCTCCTTTGCGAGCATCTCTGCAAAGACGGGGCCCTACATAGCCGATGTTCAACTGGGGTTGAGGTTCAAACGCAATAATGTTCCGCGTCCTCGACCGGGAGGGGTTTTAAGTCAGTTAGTTTAGTCAGTAAGAGACGTCCACTCCACACAGGGCAGAAGAAGTTATTTGATGATTATCCCGCATAATAACTTCTTCCACGACTCAAGACTTACTTCTGTACTATACTCGGAATTTTAATTGGATTCCAGATTTGATTAATTTTATAAATTCTCACCGTCATCGCTATCGCTTTCACTGTTAGTTTCTGTAACATTTATTATGATTTGTGTCTGTGATATTTATTGTCAATTAACATATCTAGCTTACTCATTTTTTCCTCTTCTTTGACAACATGGGATACGCATTTAGACCATTCGGTAGCCGTAATTTTTTAAATGTCTTCCTTAAACTGATTCACTGATTGTTTATCGGTTTTTGTGTTCATCACTACACTGTTATATGTGGTATCAATATTTCACAAAATGACAGTAGCTAATGTCAAATCTGGAATCGAATTAACATTCTGACTATAAACGACGTTATAGACATGACATTTCAGGGATTAAGAATAAAATAAATTAGTTTATAAAAAGTATTGTTTATTTAGTATTTACTAATATATTTCAAATATAAAATACAATATAATATAATATTTAATATTAAAGCTAAATTATTTATTGTTCTTTTATATCTACACTAGCGGACCTTTCCCGAAAACTCCTACATATCAAATTTGAGCGAAATTCTTAGGGCCGTTTCCGAGATCACGTGCTTTTTCGAGAAATCAGTGCCATCTGCCGGGCTGATTTGCAAATCTAAACCATCCAGGGCGCCACTCAAAAGCATACAGATTTTTTTTTTAAATCGGAAAGGCCATTTAGGAGAAGTTCTATGACATACACACGTTACCGATTGCTTACCATCAGGTAATCCGTCTGCTCGTTAGCCGACTTATTCCGTTAGAATATCAAGTCCAATGCCCTTCCAAGTCAACGTTCCGATAAAAATCATCATCATTAAATGGATAATTAATTAAATTATGCTCCTTAACTAAATCGCAAACATCCCTATCATTTTTAGGCTTAAATATCCTCAAATTCTTAGCCAAAAGTACTTTTGAGAAGGTCTTCCTTGAGGTCGGTTTTATATTTTTCAACGAAACTTCTTTTACGTACATGCGATATAAATGAAATTTATTTTTAACATTCAAATCTATATATTTGACATTCGATTCTGAATTCAAACAAAGGTGACATTTCGAATCGATTATCGGTAACTTATCGATATAATCGACTAAATCTTGGCACTTAAATCGATTCTTTCTTGTTCTTTTTATCGGTTTCTTCGCCAACCAGCACCTGACCATGGCTTCTTTGATGCCTAGGGTGTTCAAAAACATTAGTCTGCAAACTTGAAGATTTTCAGAATTGAAATGTAAGAAGTAATCTTTGGATTGTTCTTTTCTACATTGCAAATTCTTTGAGGACACTCTTCTGCGTTTAATCGGCACAAAATCAATTAAAGAACGAACATAATTCTTCTTTTCTTCCCATTCAAGTTTCCAGAAACTCTGGAATATCTCCATTCTATCCGATTCCGTGAACTTCTTACAATGTCTTCTGCTGCTTCTAGAACAGAATTCGGATTTACAAGAAGGTCCTAATCTTCTTTCAGATTTTTTGACATCCTGTATCCATTTGTTCTTGTTTCCTTCTCTTTGGGTTCTGAAGCCAAAATAACTTTGACCAGTCATCCTTTTTCGTTTTTCTTGTATTCTGCTTTCTGTTCTCAATCTCGCTTCGTGTTTCTTCTGTGGAAGAAGAAATAAGAGCTTAATTATTATCGATATTTAAGCATGAATAGGCTGGCTCGGTACGGTATGTTGGCCCGAAGGTTAAGGCGCCCAATTCTTATGCATGAGGGTTCGAAACTTGGCAAGTACCAATGTGAATTTTTCCAAGTAATATGTACTTTCTATGATTATTAAGACACCACTGACAGACGGTGAAGGTAAACATCGTGAGGAAACCTGGACTTATAATTTCTAATTATAAGTTTGAAATCGCCTATCTGCCTTAATAAAGCGTGGTGATAAATGTTCAAACCTTCTCCGTGTGAGAAGAGGCCTTTGCTCAGCAGTAAGGCTGATGATATGATGTGATATATTGGACTTGACTGATATCACGGCCTTACAGAAAACTGGTATGAAACAACCCTTAAGTTTTGTGTAACCTTGCCAGCAAGTTAAGCAACTTTAAAAATATACCAATTAACACATTCAGTGCCCCCGACGCGTATGTGCGTACGCACATACGCACATACGCGTCGGGGGCACTGAATGTGTTAAAAAGAAAAAGTCAACACCGCGAATGTTGCCATAAGAAAAAAAAATACTGCGTAAGCCAATTATGAGCCAGTAATGTTGCCAGCAAGCTAAGCGACTTCAAAAATAAACATACTTATTAAAAAGAAAAAGTCAACACCGCGAATGTTGCCAGAAGAAAAAAATACTGAGTAAGCCAATTATGTACACAAAGAAAAAACAAAATTTGGAAAAAAAACTTACCTTATACATTCGCAGTTTTGAATTTTCTTTGATTTTTGTACACTTTTTTTAAATATAACTCATGCATTTACTTAAATAAGTAATAATTAGAAGAAATAAATATAAAGCTGAAGAATTTGTTTCTTTGAACGCGCTAATCTCTGAAACTACTGAACGATGGAGTTTCTTGCTCGTTCTTCTCCATTCTAATCTACAATTAGGAACGAGCACCTAGCTTCACTGACGAAATAGAATAGTAGTCTGTCAGTCTGTTCACTGACAGACTTCTATTCTATTTTGACGTTTCAAAGGTACATATTTATGGTTTAGTTGGGTAATTTAGACTTTTGACTTTTTTGACTGGTTCGAATTGAGCAATTCTCTTCGTATTGGATAGTCAATTTTATCGAAGAATAAAACGGGCTATAAAACATCACGCCACAGCTAATAGGCGCCGAGTAGCGAGTAAAACTACAGAGGAATAGCTAGTTATCTATACTAATATAATAAAGAGAAAAGTATCTGTCTGTTCGTCTGCATTGATTAGGCTCCTAAACTAACCACAAACAAGAGAAGTAAATATATTCCTACTAATATTATAAACGCGAGAGTTTGTAAGTACGGATGGATGTTTGTTACTCTTTAACGTAAACACTACTAAACGGATCTGAATGTAATTTGGCACAGAGATAGATTATAGTCTGTAAACAATTATAGGATTACTTTTTATTTCTTGGAACTTTTTTTTTTAGAGGAAAATCATTATATGACTTCTCCCGCCCAGGGTAAAGCGAGTGAGAGTGTCAGACTCTTACTGACTAAAAACACCCCGTTCCTTCTCCTGCTCTGGGCCGAGGTCGCGGTGCCTCATTGCGCTTACCCCGCAACCCCGGCTGAACATCAGCCCTATAGGGCCCCGTCTGTGGTGGTCTATTGGCTCTTTGAGGCGCGCGCGGAACGCTACGCGCCGTACGCTCGGGTACTTTGTGGTACTGCGAGCAAAACCGCTAGAGCCATAGTATGGCGTGAACCAACCACAGCGTTTTGTTTCGCCGTGTAAGTTAGGTTCGTTCCACTACCCAATCCTTAAACATCCGAATTCCTATGGCTGGCAACGCACTAGTAACTCCTTTGGCGTTGCGGATGTCCATGGGCAGCGCCGATTGCTTACCATCAGGTAATCCGTCTGCTCGTTTGTTGATTAATAATAATAATAGTATAGTATTACCTTATCATTGGCAGGAGCTGAGCAGTAAGCTTCATAGTCGACTAGTTGTGTCACGGTAGGAAGGTCAGAGCATGTTGCACAAGCAGGATTACGTTTGCGAAGACGAACTGAAAATATTATACGATAAAAAATAAATAGTGGTGTAGGGCCAGATATTAAGACTGCTTAGATTCTCATGCATGAGGGTTCGAAACCTGAGAAGTATCAATGTGACTTCTTCTAAGTGATATCTTTTTTTTTATGTAATAGGTCGGCAAACGAGCAGACGGATTACCTGATGGTAAGCAATCAGCGCCGCCCATGGACATTCGCAACGGAGGAGTTACGAGTGCGTTGCCGACCTTTTAGGGATTAGGGATTTGGAGATTAAGGGATTGGGGAAGCGGAAGTGTTGGGCCTCCGGTAACCTCACTCACACGGCGAAACACAACGCAGTGGTTATTTCACGCCGGTTTTCTGTGAGGCCGTGGTATCACTCCGGTCGAGCCGACCCATTCGTGCCGAAGCATGGCTCTCCCACACTTACAAGGCCCTCCCACACTTACATGGCTCTCCCACACTTCCAAGTTCACTTAGACACCACTGACATACGGTGAAGGAAAGAAACTTTGAAAATTTTTGTGTATAGAACCTCAAAAGTAAGTACAGTATCGCAAGTGGATTCTTTCAGACATTTAAGAGTACTGCTATATACAAAAATTCTTTTGCTTTTTGCTTTTTGTAGACGAATAATTAAAAACATCATATATATCATCCTGTGTGAGGGAAAGAAAAAAAAAATTACAAAGGAAGAAAGTGAAAGGCAGTTAGGTACAAGAAGAAAGAAAGGGAAAGAAGAGAAAGAGGTAAAGAAGACTTTTTTACTTCTTTTTCATTTTGTCTTCCGTTCCTCCTTCCTCCTTTCAAACGGAAAAGGATAGAAAAAATAGTAGATGGTAAACGAAGAAAGCTAAAGAAGGAAAAGAAAGAAAGAGTAATACAGAATAGAAGGAAAAGTAAGAAAGGGAAAGGAAGAAAAAGTTAAGTGTGGGAGAGCTATGCTTCGGTACGAATGGGTCGGCTAGACCGGAGTGATACCACGGCCTCACAGAAAACCGGCGTCAAACAACCACAGCGGCGTGTTTCGCCGTGTGAGTGAGGTTACCGGAGGCCCAATCCTTCCCTTCCCCCGATCCCTCCCCAATCCCTTAATCTCCAAAACCCTAATCCCTAAGAGGTCGGTAATGCACTCGTAACTCCTCCGTTGCGGGTGTCCATGGGCGGCGCTGATTGCTTACCATCAGGTAATCCGTCTGCTCGTTTGCCGATCCATTACATAAAAAAAAAATTGTTTCAACTACTTTACTCACCAGTTCTAGTGGTCATATCTTCAGCGTCGAATATTAACATCCTTTCAACCAGTAACTTATCTGGTGGCATGTCCAGAATTATTTTCAACGCCTCCATAGCTTGCAGAATACCTGAAGCAAAATAATAAGCATAGGTACAAAAAGGAAAAGAAAAATATTTAAAAAAACAACTAGTTAGTGAATTGAAGATTCAGATATTCGAGGAGGGGAAGGATTGGGCCTCCGGTAACCTCACTCAAACACATTATATAAATTATTAACAATTAATGTCGTGGTAGCCCGGAGGTCAAGGCGTCCGCTTTTCATGCACGACTTTTTCCGAGTTATATGTACTTTCTATGATTATTTAGACACCACTGTCATACGGTGAAGGTAAAGATCGTGAGGAAACCTTGACTTATAATTTCTAATTATAAGTTTGAAATCGCCAACCCGCATTGAGCAAGCGTGTTGATTAATGCTCAAACCTTCTCCGTGTGAGAAGAGGCCTTTGCTCAGCAGTGGGCACTTATAAGCTGATGATGATGATGATGATTAACACTTACTAATACAAATATGGGAAGATACCTTACCTATGACCCCTGGCACAGGTCCAGCGACACCATGAGCTGAGCAAGACCCAACTACATCCGGGGATGGGGGTGTGGGAAACACACAGCGGTAACAAGGCCCCCTGTATGAGACTCCCTAGAAAAGAAAAAAAACTGTTCGTACGGACAACTAACATTGAAAAAGTTTTTTTTTATGTAATAGGTCGGCAAACGAGCAGACGGATTACCTGATGGTAAGCAATCAGCGCCGCCCATGGACACTCGCAACGGAGGAGTTAGGAGAGCGTTGCCGACCTTTTAGGGATTAGGGATTTGGAGAATTAGGGATTGAGGAGGGATTGGGGAAGGGGAAGGATTGGGCCGGTAACCTCACTCACACGGCGAAACACAACGCTGTGGTTGTTTCACGCCGGTTTTCTGTGAGGCCGTGGTATCACTCCGGTCGAGCCGTCCCATTCGTGCCGAAGCATGGCTCTCCCACACTTAAGTTTCTATAGTCTATCGGTTAACGTGGTTAACTAATGGTAAACAATATTTGGTATGTTAATTATTATGTTTTCGGCTTACTCACGTAATAATTTGACGAGATACTCGACTAGTTTCAAGCCATGTGTTTAGTCGCAAACGCAACGTTGGTTCTGACAAAAAAATATAGATGGCGTTGCGCTGAACGCACCGTTGCATATTGTTTCCCAAGCTCTACCATAGATGGAGTTGTGCATTGACCTTGATTTTCTGTATCGCGGTGTTAAGATTCTCCGCTGGTTATATAAGTGCTTGACGGTTCGAAGTAAAGTTCAGTTCTCTCAAGACAAGCAGTTGTTTCATTTGTACCCTACGGTAGTGGTTCAGTTCAAGTGTAGTGTAGTGCGTAAACACCATGCACATATTTGGCACTTGGCACTATTATGTTCCAATTACGCGAGTAAGCCGAAAAAATAATAATTTAATTAGAATATCTTACGAAAGTTATAATAAAAATCTTGGTATGTCTTTTTAATTTAAGAGCTCGTATAAAATAAATAAAAAATTATTAAAATTTAGTTTATTAGCTTACATCGATTGAGGTATTTTTTATGGTATAAATAGGTCAGCAACCGAGCAGACGGATTACCTGATGGTAAGCAAGCAATCAGCGCCGCCCATGGGTGTCAAATACCAAAGGAGTTACGAGTGTGTTGCCAGCCTTTTAGGGATCGGATATTTAAGGATTGGGAAGAGATGGGGGGTAGGGGAGGGTTTTTTTACAAAACGTTGCCCCACATTAGGATTTTCTCCTGTGTCGTGGGTGCGTTTACAAACATACAATTTCACATGCACATCACACCCAGACCCGGAACATTGACCGGATTGGATTGGATTTGAGCTCACTGACACGGCGAAATACAACGCTCTGGTTGTAAGATAAGTAATCACGAAATCTTAATAAAAATCTTACCTTGTCATCCTTATGAGTTTCGTTTCTATATCCGTATATAGTTAATTGTCCTTCCATTTTGAGAGCACTGCCCGATATTAGAGGTTTCTGTAATTAAAAAAAGATAATATCAAAGTACCGGGTAAGTTCGGATTACCTTGACCCTGCGGGGTAACTTTGATCCAAACCCTTTAACCAATAATAACTGAGAACCAAACATATATTAGTTTTTCATTGGTTCGGAAATTTGGATCAAAGTAACCCGAACTACCATATTAATTAACGATGTTTACCTATGATATACTGTGCTTTGCACTATTATTTATTTATTCATTTTCAAACCCCGACGGCAAAAGAGGGGTGTTATAACTTTGACGTGTGTCTGTCTGTCTGTCTGTGACACCCTGGAGCCTGAACGGATGAAGCGATTTCAATTTAGTTTTTTTCGTTTCAAAGGTGACTTTCGTGCGAGTTTTCTTAGACATGTTTGACGAAAATCGATTGAGCCGTTTAGAAGTTATGGGGGGTAAGTGGGGAAGGGTAACCGAAAGTCTGCAAATATACTCGAGTAGGGTCTCAAATGAAAGCGCACTGAAAGGGTATGTTGATGACTTAATCGAGAGAAAATGATATAAATTACCTATAAAAAGTATAAAATAAAAAAATAAATTAGAACCCCGAAAAAATAATAAAATATTAAATTATTACTTTTTAAAGGAATATTAGATATTTCGCTTTTTAAATTTTAAATTTATGTTTTTTATTTATGTATTTAAACTTCATGCACAGTGGGTACATAGGCGGACTTAATGCCTAAGGCATTTTCTACCAGATGAGCCAATAATATGTACCTTGGCGATTAATTGTTATACCAGAATATGTAATCTATACTAATCTATACTTATACTAATATTATAAAGAGGTAAAATTTGTAAGTTTGTATGTAGGGGGTAATCTTTGGAACCGCTGGTTGGAATTCCAAAATTGTTTCACTGATAGATAGCTACAATGTTCCTGACTGCTATAAGCTATAAAACATCACGCTACGATTAAATGAAGCCGAGCAGCGGGTGAAACCGCGCGAGAGTAGCTGGGTAAATACTACTGTATTAAAATTAGAAACATGTGTTGATGTAGTCATACCTCTTCGTAATAAAATATAGGTAGACATAATCATAGCTAATTATAAAATATATCCACCAAACTACGCTATGATATGCTACGCTACGCTACGCTTTTGCAAAGCTACGTTTTTCTACGCTATGATATGCTTTTTTTTGTGAGGGGAAAATCATCAAATGACTTCTCCCGCCCAGGGCCGGGCGGGAGGGAGTGTCAGACTCTTACTGACTAATAACCCCCGTTCCTTCTCCTGCTCTGGGCCGAGGTCGCGGTGCCTCATTGCGCTTACCCCGCAACCCCGGCTGAACATCAGCCCTGTAGGGCCCCGTCTGTGGTGGTCTATTGGCTCTTTGAGGCGCGCGCGGAACGCTACGCGCCGTACGCTCGGGCGGCGAGCTACCCTTACTCGCCGTCCGCAGACCCGCGCTTACGGTGGCCGGAGATCATCTCTCGGTCATAATCATAGCTGATTTATTTATTTTATTTATATATACTTTATTGCACACATACACCAAGTAGCAATACAATGGATACAATGACCGAAAGTTGTTGTTACAATGGGCGGTCTTATCACACAAGGTGATTTCTTCCAGACAACCTTTAGATGGAATGTATAAGAAATTTGGCCATGGGTAGTGTAGTGTACGGTTGAAATAAGTACTACATAAATAAGATATATTATAGAAATAAAGAAATGTGTAAATATAGTTATATCATATATACACACACTATATATATATATATATATATATATATATATATATATAGTATACACACACTATATATATATATATATATATATATATATAGTGTGTGTGTGTGTGTGTGTGTGTGTGTGTGTGAAACAGAAGTCTATAGCGCTAGATAATACTCCTTCACAAGTCTTTTAAACTGAGACAGTGACTGAGCACGACGCACTTCCACAGGTAAAGCGTTCCACATTCGTGCAGCCTGAATCGTAAATGACCTGTCGTAAAAAGAGGTGGTGTGCTTACAGATACTGAGCTTAAGATTCTCTGATGATCTCAGGAACTTAGAATGTGTGTCACCAAGGAACTGAAAACGTTCTTTTAGATAAAAAGGGGCTGCAGGATTGAAGAGTACGTTATACAGTAGAGAAAGAATATGAGCGTTCCGGCGAAGGCGAATTGGTAGCCATTTGAGCTTAATACGAAATTCAGAAATATGATCATACTTGCGCAAACCAAATATAAATCTGAGACATAAGTTTTGAAGTCGCTCAAGCTTATCCAATTGTTCTTGGGTGAGATCTAGATAGCTGGCATCAGCATAGTCGATTATTGGTAGAAGAAGAGACTGAGCAAGTGCAATTTTGGTGTGAGTGGGTAAGAAATTTCGAAATCGCCTTAAGGCACCTGCCGAAGCAAACAGTTTTCGACTGACCACTTGCAACTGTTTATTCCAGGAAAGGCTACTGTCGATATAAATCCCCAGGTTCTTAACGTCACGGGAGAAAGGAATAACGGTGTTAAGAAAAGAAACCTGAGGAAGATTCGCAAAGCTGATTTTAGATACTGCACGCGCACTGCCGACGATAGTCACTTGTGATTTAGACGGATTCACTTGCAAACCGAATTTAGAGCTCCAGTCAGCTATTCGAGCCAAATCAGCGTTAATTAGTGCAATAGCATTTGATACATCCTCAAGCGATGCCTGTGCGTAAATCTGAAGATCATCTGCATAAAGGTGGTAGGAAGAAGAGAGATCTTGAGTAATAGAATTAATAAATAATGTGAATAGAAGAGGAGATAACACGCCACCCTGGGGCACACCGGCAGCAGTGGAACACCATGAGGAATAAGAATCATCAAGGTGAATACGCTGACGGCGGCCCAACAGGTAACTTCGAATCCAGTCAATCACCGAAGGAGACATGCCAAAAGAACTGAGCACGCCAAGCATTAAGTCGAAGTCAACGGTGTTAAAAGCATTACTAAAATCTAGGAGCACAAGTACCGTTAATTTACCTGACTCCATGCCCGACCGGATATCGTCTGTTATATTAACAAGTGCCGTCGTAGTGCTATGCCCCGGTCGAAACCCAGATTGGAAGGGACTAAGGAGGTTGTGCTTGGATAAAAATGCGCTTAGTTGTTGGTGAGCCAGCTTTTCTAAAATTTTTGATAAGAAAGGAAGTATGGAAATAGGGCGAAAATCGGCAAAGGAAGTAGGATTAGGTTTTTTGGGAAGTGGGATTATATAAGCCTCCTTCCAAATCAGAGGGAAAGCTTTATCAGTAATGGAAGAATTTAGAACATGAAGGATTACAGGAATAATTTCATCAAGAATGGGAATGAGCATCTTACGGCTAACACAATCACTACCAACGGCATTTGACGTAGACGACAAAATGCTTCTCCTAACATCCCCCTCGGAAAACTGACCGAAAACAAAGGAAGGAACATCAGGTATCGGAAGGTGAGAAAGATAAAGTAACTGATTGTACAATATATCCACCAAACTACGCTATGATATGCTACGCTACGCTTTTTTACACTATGATAGCTATGCTACGCTACGCTTTTGTACGCTATTATACGCTACTCTGTAAGCAAGGTACTAACCTTAGTGAAACAGCTTAGATCGCTCAACATATACCGCGTAGGTACATTGTCAGTACAATCCAATATAATATCGTATTGCGATGCGATTTCCATAGCGTTCTTGGAGTCCAGCTGCAAGTTATAAGGCGTCACTTTGATACGCGAGTTTATACTGAAAAGTAAAACATAAAAGTTTATGTGAATAAATAAAAAAATAATCTCCTTGCTAGCGTGCATGGTATTGACACGACCTTATAGAAAACCGGCGTGAAACGACGCTTGATTTGTGTTTTGCCGTGTGAGTTTTAGACAGATTGATATCACGACTACACTGAAAGCTAGCGTGACACAAGCTAAGCGTTTTGTTTGACCTCGTGAAGCTCGACCGGAGGGATACCACGGCCTTACAGTGCACTGGCGTGAAAGTTAGCTTGCGCTGTGTTTCGCCGTGTAATAGAGGTTATCCAGCATATCATAATAAGTGTGGGAGAGCCATGCTTCGGCACGAATGGGTAGGCTCGACCGGAGTTATACCACGGCCTCACATAAAACCGGCGTGAAACAACCACAGCGTTGTGTTTCGCCGATCCCACCGCCGACCCAATCCCTAAATCTCCAAAACTCTAATCCCTAAAAGGTCGGCAACGCACTTGTAACTCTCTATCTCTGTTACGGGTGTCCATGGGCGGCGTAATTGCTTACCATCGGGTAATCCGTCAACTCGTTTGCCGACCATTTACATAAAAAAAAATATCTTTACGGCAATATTATTTATTAAAATTCATTGAGTATAGTTTTCATGTGAAAGAGTCTTGGAGGGATGATGGAACAGGGTGGAATGTTCTTCGACCAGACGTGTTTTATGTCTGGTGGGCTACTGACCGACGGATTTTTGTATCGGTTCTAATTGCGTTGAGTTCTCAAATCACTCTTTTATACCGCGATGTAGAATCTTGAACGTGATTGGTGCTGTCGCTGCGTCTTGTGCGGTAGATGTCGCTACAGGGTTGCAATATCGATCCACACTAAACTTTCGCATTTATAATACTAAGTAAGATTTATCTTATTGCATTTTTACTAGTTTTTGCTAGCGACTCCGTTCGCATTATTAGTATAAAAACTGCCCTATGACCTTTCTCGAGTACCAAACTATGTCTGCACCAAATATCAAAGAAATCAGTTCAGTAGTTTAAACGTGAAGAAAAGACAGTCAGACAGAGTTACTTTGGCATTTATAATATTAGTTTGGATGATATTGATAGATTTCAGTGAACTACAAGAAAATAAATACCTTCTGAGCGTTGAAGCAGCGGATTCAGCTTTGCTAACATTTTCGTCCTGTTCAAAATGCAAGACCTGTCGATGGATATTTGTTATTTCCACTACATCATAATCTATTATACCGATTTCACCTGAAAAAATAATTATAACCACTACATACATAGTATAAAACAAAGTCGCTTTCTCTGTCCCTATATCCCTGTGTACGCTTAAATCTTTAAAACTACGCAACGGATTTCGATGCGGTTTTTTCTGTAGATAGAGTGATCGAAGAGGAAGGTTTATATGTATAATAACATCCATTAAATAATGGAGACATTTAGTATCAGTATTGCACTTAGGTATACGAAATCGGGAAGGGTCGCTAGTAATCCTTCCCCTCCCCCAATCAATAAATCTCCAAATCCCTAATACCAAAAAAGGTCGGCAACGCACTCGTAACTCCTCTCTCCGTTTCCATGAGCGGCGCTGATTGCTTACCATCAGGTAATCCGTCAGCTCCTTTGCCGACGTATCGCATAAATAATAACATAGGTAATAATTTATTAAGTTTGCCAGTCACCCCCTGCCTGTTTATCCGTACGTATCAATATTGGTTAGGGGCAGGGGCCATAGTATTTCCATAGTTATCATATCCACCAGTCCATAGCAACCCATACCCATAACCGTTTCAATTATTACCACATTTCGCAATAGTCCTGCATCATCCGTGGGTGCACTTTCATACTCTTATCCAATTGCCAAAAACGATACTTTTCTGTGAAATTTGTATGAAAAACTGAATTATGACGTCATAGTATTTTTGTAATTAGCCACAAAATATCTAAAACTTGGTGTATCGATCGATCGATGAATAAAAAAGTAAGTATACTTATTTTTCAATATTTTATTGTATTAAAACGTCGAAGTAATTTATTTTTGCTACCTAGGAAACTACCTAATTGCCGGGTGATGTCCCATTTCACTTAGGGCAACAAAAGGGCACAAAGGGTCTTTGCGAGTTGGTTTCAGCCCCTCCAAAGGTCCGGCATCCTGAAGTCCGTAAGTGGAAAGGAACATACGAAAATAATAATAACAGCTATAACTCCTCACTTACCGACACCAGCGGCAGCTAGGTACATGGCAGATGGACATCCAAGACCTCCAGCGCCTACAATCAGCACCTTGGCTTGACAGATCCTAGTCTGACCTTGGACGCCTATATCTTTTAGTAGGATCTGTCTGCTGTACCTGTGGCAATAGAATATAGAACTGGTCTTCTTCATTCATCATCATCAGCCTATAAGTGTCTACAGCTATGCGAAAGGCCTCTTCTCACGCGGAGAAGGTTTGAGCATTAAACACCACGCTTGCTCAATGCGGGTTGGCGATTTCAAAACTTTAAATGATAAACTATATATCCACGTTTCTTCCATATGCGATCTCTGGCGAAATATGTGTTGGTTTGCGAACGGCTAGCAAGGGTAGATCGCCGCCCGACCACAACCATACCCGAGCGAAAGGCATGCAGCGGTCCGTGTGCGTCTCAAAGAGCCAATAGACTACCACTGATTGAACCTAACAGCGCCGATGTTCAGCCGGGGTTGCCGGTCTAGCTTAATAATTAAGGAACCGCGACCTCGGGCCGCAGCAGGAGTGTGATTCTGTAAGGCTTCATTCTAAACTTCGAATCTGAATCCGCTGTGAGTAGTAGTACACTAGCGCTACACTTGTGAGTTGAACTAAATTGACCGCAACATTTTGATAGATAAAGTATGAGATGACGTTAAAAGGGACATTCTATAATGTAATGTCCCCGTCACTTCGCACTCGAACAGGATTCAAAATCAAACAAATTTTATAGAATCGACATGCAGGAGAAGAAACGTAGTCAGTAAGAGTCTGAAAATGACTTTTCCAGCTCTTAGAGTCATACTCTTACTGAGGAAAACCACCGATACATTACGTGCAATATTGTATTTTACCTGCTCTGGTGGTACTATTATCATCTACGGGGTTCTGTATAACATTTCACATCACTAGAGAGAAAAGTCAGTCTTAAAAAAACTGTCTTTGTATCTAGTATTATACAGCGGTAGAGTTTGTTTGTTCGAACACACTAATCTCAGGAACTACTGGTTTGAACTGAACAATTCTTTTTGTATTTGTTAGTCTATTTATCGAGGAAGGCTTAAGACTATAAAGCATCACGCTACGATCTATAGGAGCCGAGCAGCGAGTGAAACCTTGGTACAGTAGCTAGGAAATAATAAAATTACTAACCTTTCAATAGCCCATTTGGGCAGTGTCCCACACTGCACAGTGGGCTCTGATGAACTATTCAGCTTACCCTGACCTGGAATCCAAGCTCTTAAGTCCCCTTGGCCCTGAAATACAAGCATCGACATTATTACCATCTCATTGAAATTTTATATGATTTTTTATGGAATAGGCAACAACCAAACGAGATTGATCACTTGGTGGTAACTGATCAGTGCCACCTTTGGACACAGGGGAGTCATTGGTGTGTTGCCAGCCATTTAGGGGGGTAACAGGCGTATTAAAAATTTTCTGGGCCAAACAGGGACTTTTTAGAAAAATCACAGAGTTGTTTGTCAGACGAAGACCAAACCGAATGATTCCTCAGCATTCCGCTTTTTGAGAATGGAAAATCATTAGATAACTACCTCTACTACTGTTACTTTTGCCCATTCTCATGACGTTAAATTGAGGAATCAAAGTTTTAAAAGTTGTATTATTAGTGGCAAGAACTACATTCAATAATTGAAAGTAAAATAATACATCGTAACACTATTTTAGCATAAAAAGAATAAGTATAATTAGCAAACAACAAAACCAGTTATTGCAAATATGCGAAATTTAAAAAATGAAATACAATTTGTACAGGTGATTATAAGAATATTAATTAAAAAGCGTTGTAATAAACTAAAAAAATTTGTTGCCGGCATTTCGTACTAAATATTATTTTAAGATTTTCTTTACGAAAAGTGACATATATATACAGAATACGCAAATATTTATATCATTCACACCAAGAGTGTTACAAAAATAAACATAAAACTTGTATATTTGATTCACAATGTTATTAAAATACTTACGCCAAATAACTCCCGACGTATTTTATTCATTTCTTCCTCCTTTTCTTTCAGTTTTTGTCGTAATTCTTTGATTTCATTCTCTAGTGTATATAGTTGCTCCATATTTTTAACTCTTAACTGTTTGCATAAGCTGAAATACGTGTAAAAATATAATTTTAATGAAATTATAATTCTCTTACAGAAAATAAACAATGCACGCTTCAGGTTAAGTTGTGAAGAAAACATTAAAAATACCATTGACATCAGATAGCTATATTGCTTTTTAAAAGGTGCGAATGTGACAACAATACTGAACAATGCTTACTTAACCGATTTGCATGAATGTAACGCGCAGACTAAATTGACGTTTTTAGTGACCTCACTAATGGATGTTGAAATATCGATAAATAAAAAATTTACCGGTAACCGTTCAAAGTAAGCAATACCAGAATTCGTATTTAGCATATTTTTTCAAACAATTATTTCTGTTTCTTCTCTTTAATTTGATTTGTCTAATCTTATTATTGTATAAAATTATATTTTTAGTAATAAACAATCATTACATAAGTTTTGTTTCAGTTACTCTTCAACATATTAGACCCTTTACATGATATTCAGAAATATTAATTAAGAATATTTTATTCTTGAATCCATTTAGAAATTGTATGATTTCCCCGAAATACTATTTTGTCTTCTCTTGTTACTGATAAGCAAAAGGCTGTTAATGCAGAACAGCCTTTTATACGGGGAAGTCCGGCAAAATCTTAAAGGTGAGTTTAGGGTTCTAACTGAAAAAATATTTAGCTGAAATGGTACTTATTTTGCTTCAACAGCTTTTTTTGTAATTAAGTTACAAAAGATTGTTATAGTTTACAATTAGTTGGTTGTAATCAATTTTTAAAAAGAAAAGGATCCCCCTTTGCAAGTAGCTGCATACATATTTGTACTTCAGAGGGGGTCAATTTCTCTGCAGCTGACCATACCAGTATTAGAAAATAGAAATGACAAACAATCGTAACTAAATGAATTAAAAGAAAAAGTCATTATGAATTTTTATTTTGTATTTGAAATACTTACTTTCATTTTGTTTTGTTTGTGATTTTGATTCCGTTAATTTTTATATCACATGAATTTTATTGAAAAGCTATCATTGACCAAAAAGTAGTAAGAAATGATTTTACATTAATGGGATTTACCTATTTTAGTGTAAATGTAGGTACATGGGATATGAGACCAATTGCATAAATATTCTTATTAGAACGATTGTCTGCCATTCCAACAAGAACATATATTCGTATTTACGCAATTTTTTAAGGTCTTTTTAATTTAATATTTTACAACGAGCTACTGATTGCTTTTTAAAAAAGTAGATTTATCGAACTACCAGTCACCAACACTATCCTTTGGCGTTTCTGTTGTCTGTGGCAAAATTTGACACTGACGTTGAAACTGACGTTTCAAATTCGCTTCCCGTTTTTGCGGACTCCGGTTGTGAAGCTATCGAAAAATATTGTTTGTTTAACAGAAAAACGATAAAATTTGTATTCTTATCGTACTGTACGTTTACAATTTACTACGGCGACATTTATGGCGGTTTAATACCGGCCGCTTTCTGCTAGATCTTGTGTTTTGAAGCAGTTATGTGATTCAAATTATGTTTCGTTATTATAAGATCATATTTCGGATTTCCAATAGCTATTTCTTTGATTGTTTCGTGAGAAACGAGGTGTCGTGTTCGTGTTTTACCGGATAGTCGTCGCTACGTGCTTGAAACGTAAGTAATGGACGAGTTTAAGTATGTATTGTTACAATGTGTAACCGATCGGAATACATTGTTTTACGGTTGTTATAAAATGGATTTTCTTCTAATTTGGTTGTTGATTGTTTGTCGTTACGACTACCCTGGACGACGGTAATGTTTTCAAGCCCGAATAGTCAAAAGTACTGTCGGATTTTTCGATTACGATAGTAATTATTTTCGTATTGTGCTAGGTGAGTTTAATTTATCCTTGTTATCTAATAAAATGGGGTCAATAACTCTGTGAATATGGTTTGGCAACTTTACTAACGTAAGCCTTAATATTTGCAAGATAAATTGTGTGATTTGGCCAGCCCATATCTCTCCAAGGGTTGGTGATTGATGACTGATTGGCCAGAAAAGTTGTGTCTGTGGATAGTACCTTCTAAGTGGATAGGTAACTTAATCAGTATTGTATGTAGCCAATGAATGCAAGGGACAAGTTGTCTTGTAAGAAGGCAGGCCTAGGTCTAGGGCTTCCAGCAGTTAATAATGCTAAATCCTTTCACAAATATCAATATTTTTTTTCAAATAAAATTCAATAATGCTTTCTATGTATTGTATCTATTTCGTCTTGTCTCATATAAAATTAAGTCTGTTTGCTTCTCTTTGCTTCCAACACCCAAGGCTTGACTGGTAGAAAATGCCTAAGGCATTAAGTTCACCTATATACGCATTTTGCATGAAGTGTAAATAAATAAAAAAAAGTATCTCTAAGCGCCATCCGCAAACCGCTTACAGTGGTCAGAGATCTTCTCTCGATCCTCAACGCCTCAACGCTTTCCGCCTCCTCTAGAAATCCAACCTAAAACTGTTTGGTAGTAGTAATTTACCCCAACAAGCCTTTTTCTATTTAGTCCTTTTAACTTTAATTCTTATTTATTTGCAGGAGATGATGATGGACGCCTGTTGTTCCCGCTTCACGGCTGCAGAGGGCGGGGCCCGACTCGCCGCCGCAGCCTCAACCAAGAACATCCTCGCCGTGGAGTACGCTAGCTTCATTCCGGTCCGATTACTCTACGAAAAAGCCCACCAGATCCGCGGGTGTGTTATCCTATTAATATTATAAAAGTTTCTAAGTTTAGTTCGATCTTTGATGCTCTTTGATGTTTTTTTTTTAATGTAATAAGACGGCAAACGAGCATACAGATTACCTGATGGTAAGCAATCAGCGCCCCCATGGACACCCGCAACAACGAAGGTGTTACGAGTGCGTCGCCGACCCTTAAAGTATTGGGCCTCGGTAGCCTTACTCACACGGCGAAACACAACGCTGTGGTTGTTTCACGCCGGTTTTCTGTGAGGCGGTGGTAACACTCCGGTCGAGCCGACCCATTCGTGCCGAAGCATGGCTCTCTTACAGTTAAGTAAATTATTTCTTCTCTTCTTTCCCAGATCTCTCTTTGAAGGCAGTAAGCGCTCCATATACATAACGCGAGCCTCCCGGGTACAAGTGGTAGCCTTCGAGCTGAAGATTCTGACAGACCTGGGTACAGTAGCGGCGCAGACTTACGACGATGTCTTTGATTGGATGGCTGAGTTGGAAACTAAGGAGGTGAGCGAAAAAAAGAATCGTTATCTTTTTTAAGTTGTAGAAAATACTGATGTGCTTTTGTTTTATTTTTTTTGTGAGGGAAAAATCATCAAATGACTTCTCCCGCCCAGGGCCGGGCGGAAGGGAGTATCAGACTCTTAATGAATAAAAATACCCCTGTTCCTTCTCCTGCTCTGGGCCGAGGTCGCGGTGCCTCATTGCGCTTACTCCGCAACCCCGGCTGAACAACAGCCCTATAGGGCCCCATCTGTAGCGGTCTATTGGATCTTTAAAGCGCGCGCGGAACGCTACGCGCCGTACGCTCGGGCCTGGTTCTGGTCGGGCGGCGAGCTGCCCTTACTCGCCGTCCGCACACCCTCGAAATACTGATGTGCTGGATAATGTAATTTTGACTGCACGGTTGGTGCGGTGGCTGGGCAACTGGTTGCCGTGCAACGTGTCGCTGGTTCGATTCCCGCACGGAACAACTCTTTGCGTGATCCACAAATTGTTTTTCCGGGTCTGGGAACACTGTGGTATTTTGGCAAACAATATTCCGTTTGTAACGTTTTTAAGAAAAAATAAACAAAAAAAAAAACGATCGAAAAATATAAATCATGCATGTGTTTTGACAGGTAGTTGAACCTGACGTTACAGCGCTGCCATCTCACGGGGGGAACATTTCGGAAAACCCTCATTCACAAATCTACTTACCTTCATAACATTACGTTTGTTTTCAGGTGGTCATATGTACTTCAACGGTTCTGAAACGAATATTACAAGAGGAATTATTATCCATGTCTAACATAAATGTTTTTATAGTGGACAGTTGCCATCTTATATACAAGGATGAAGATTTGAAATATGTAAGTTCACTATATAAACTTTTTTATTGACGGATTACCTGATGGTAAGCAATCGGCGCCACCCATGGGCACTCGCAACAACGCAGGAGTTACAACTATGTTACCGGCCTTTTGGGGATAAGGGTTTTAAAAATTTATGCTTGAGGGGGGATCGAGGGAGGTTTGAGCCTCCGGTAGCCTCAGTTACACGCTGTGGTTGTTTCACGCAAGTTTTCTGTGAGGGCGTGGTATCACTCCGGTCGAACTGACCCATTCGTGTCGAAGCTTGGCTCTCGAACTTTCACTAAAATTATTAAGAGCCGACTTCGAAGTATCGAAAAGCTTCTTTGACAGAAACCAGACACCTTTTCATAAACCTGAACTTTTTAAACTATGATCTCCATCTCCAATGGAGATTAGAGAAAATGTTAATAATAATTTTCAAAGCCAAAAGTCAAAATCATTTATTCGAACTAAATTATAAACAGGTACTTTTGAAACGTAAAAATAGAATAGTAGTCTGTCAGTCTGTTTGTCAGTGAAGCTAGGTGCTCGTTCCAAATTGTAGATTCGAATGGAGATGAACGAGCAAGAAAATCCATCGTTACTCTTTTAAAAAAATAATATTAAAATAGTTCTCCTTTTTTCCACAGATTATGCGTATATATAAGGAATGTCCGCAAAATAATCGACCCATAATCTTAGCATTAACATATCCACTATTCAACTCAAAAAAAGACACGGAAGACAAGAAAGAGACAGAACATAACGAGAAAGAGAAAGAAGACACAATTTCTATAAAAGAGAAAGAGACAGCAGATGATTTAACAACTCCGTCTTCGGATGGTGCGAGCGAGACAGGGCGTCGTGTTTTCGAACGTGCGAAAGGGACGGAGGTAGAGGAGATTGGTGTTTACAAGAATTTGGATGATTTTGATATGTATGAGAAGTTGGAGTGGAAGATTGAAGAGTTGGAAAAAGAGTTGTGCTGTCAAATGGATCTGGCTGAAGATATTGATGGTGGAAAAAGGTGAGTACAATACCGCCGCCGCAGTATCTTGGCGAGTCTGAAGTTAGCCGATTAGCTGCGCAGTACACAATTTTGTTCCTAAAAGATCCATTGCGCAGACAAACGGCTAACTTCAGACTCGACAAGATACGTCGGCCGTACTGTAAGTTTTTTTTGTGATAGGTATATCCAACTGGATTTGAGTAGACGGATTACCTGATGGTAAGCAATGTTAAGTCTATACGACCTTCAAGAAACTTCCTTATTCTTCTCTTTAAAAGGCCGGCAACGCGCCTGTGACTACTCTGGTGTTGCGTGAGTCCTTGGGCGGCGCCGATTGCTTACCATCAGGTAACCCGTCAATAAAAAGCCAGTGCCAGCTATGTCTTAAACAAGCAAGGGAGTTACCGTGGTCTAGACTTTGGGTCTTCTACAGCAAATGTAGCAGACGTATTACCTGATGGTAAGCAATCAGCGCCGCCTATGGTCACCGGCAAAACAGTGGAGTTACGTATGCGTTGGTAATCCGTCTGCTCGTTTGCCGATTTACACCCGGTTTCTGAAAGGCTTGTCAACGCTAAAATTAACTAATCTCCTGTTAAATCTCTTGTCAAGTCATCTGATTGGTTGTTGATAATTCAGTCAACCAATCAGATGACTTGACAAGAGATTAAATTGATTTTAACATTGATCAGCCATTCGGAAACCGGGCGTTAGCATAAGAAAATGGGTAGGCCTGTTTCTTTTTTTCTGGGTGGCAACCCTGGCTTGTCATCACCTCTCCTCTGTTTCAGAATGTCAGCATCAGTAAGCAAACCTCGCGAGCTAATAATAGAATACGATGGTAAACGGACAGACGAACAATTGTCCGATATATATAAAGATCTGGACAAATACATGAGGGATACAGTGCAAGACGCTTTGGACTTCATTGAGGACCATAGGTGAGTGGAACGCAGGTTGATGTCGCGTTGGGTCTGTGGACGGCGAGTAAGGGTAGCTCCAGAACCAGACCCGAGCGTACGGCGCGTAACGTGCCGCGCGCGCCTCAATGAGCCAATAGATCACCACAGACGGGGCCCTATAGGGCTGATGTTCAGCCGGGGTTGCGGGGTAAGCGCAATGAGGCACCGCGACCTCGGCCCAGAGCAGGAGAAGGAACAGGGGGGTTTTTAGTCAGTAAGAGTCTGACACTCCCTCCCGCCCGACCCTGGGCGGGAGAAGGCATTTGATGATTTTCCCCTCAAAAAAAGAATTGGTTGATGTCGCACGATGCCTTTTTGGTGTGGTTTAATGTCTAGGGAACATTTTTATTATAACATTCGTGAGACATTCTAAATTAATTATGATGTTTTCGGCTTAATTACGTAATAATTTGACGAGATACTCGACTAGTTTACCTAGAAGCGCGACAGTCGCCGCGTCGCGTTTCGCGGAATGCTGCTCATGAATATGGGCCTCTACCATTGCTTGAAACTAGTCGAGTATCTCGTCAAATTATTACGTGATTAAGCCGTAAACATAATAATTAATTTAGGGAACATTGTTAAAAACTAGCTACTCTCGCGCGGTTTGTTCTGCTCGGCTCCATTTGATCGTAGCGTGATCTTTTATACCCTATAGCACTCAGAAACATTGGTCTATCAGTGAAAGAATTTTGGCAATCCGACCAGCGGTTCCTAAGATTTTCCCCTACAAACAAACTTACAAATTTTACCTCTTTATAATATTAGTTTAGATAACGATTTGAACACGTGAATGGACTTAGTTAAGCTTTTTTATGTAATGGCTCGGCAAACGAGCAGACGGATTACCTGATGGTATGCAATCAGCGCCGCCCATGGACACTCGCAACAGAGCAGTTACGAATGCGTTACCGACCTTTTGGGGATAAGGGAAGGATTGGGCCTCCGCTAACCTCACTCACACGGCGAAACACAACGCTGTGGTTGTTTCACGCCGGTTTTCTGTGAGGCCGTGGTATCACTCCGGTCGAGCCGACCCATTCGTGCCGAAGCATGGCTCTCTCACATATAAAATTTGCTTTTCAGACACGACCCCACGGAAATTTATGGCGAAGAGTTGTATGATGAGTTCATGAGCATTCCAGACCCCACGATTGACCCCAAAATGGTGTTTAAGAAGTTTTTATACGTTTTGGAGCAGTTAGGTATGTGTTTTACGTACATATCATCAACTTATAAGTGCCCACTGCTGAGCAAAGGCCTCTTCTCACACGGAGAAGGTTTGAGCAATAATCACCACGCTTGCTCAATGCGGATTGGCGAGTTTCCCAAGTTATATGTACTTTCTCTGATTATTTAGACACCACTGACATACGGTGAAGGAAAACATCGTGAGGGAACCTGGACTTACAATTTCTAAATATAAGTTTAAATTACATCACATGATATATATTATTATATTTTAAATAATTAATCTATTAGTGACAACAGTTTGATTCTCATTAATGATTTCTGTATGGTATAGGTCGGCAAACGAGCAGACGGATTACTTGATGGTAAACAATCCGCGCCGCCTATCCAAAAGAGTTACGAGAGCGTTGCCGGCCATTTAGGGATAAGGGTTTCGGATATTTAAGGAATAAGAACTGCATGGTTGGTGCGGTGGCTGGGCAACTGGCTGCCGTGCAACGTGTCGCGGGTTCGATTCCCGCACGGAACAACTCTTTGTGTGATCCACAAATTGTTGTTCCGGGTCTGGGGGTCATGTGTATGTGAAATTGTATGTTTGTAACCGCACCCACGACACAGGAGAAAATCCTAGTGTGGGGCAACGTTTTTTTTTTTTCAAAAAAAAAAGGGAGCGGTATTGGATTTGGCCTCCAGTAACCTCACTCACACTCATCTTTTCGAAAAAGATTTTTTCGTTTCATTGTTAGCTAAGGGACGATTCGCTCAGCAGTGGGCACTTTTATCTATAAGTACTTATCCCAGTTCAAGTATTGATTTGGATTTTTTATATCTTATTTAATGTTATTTTTAGGACCCTACGCAGCGGACAAAGCAGCGTTCTGCCTTCTAAATAAATTAGAGAAATTAAAAATAAAAATTCCATATGAAAGGCATTTTATACTAATGTGTCTTTGTACTACAGTTTTTATTAAAATACGATGTTATGCCGAATTAGTATTTAATACGATAGAGGACGAATGGACGAGAATCAAGACATTTTCGACGCCGAAAATATTGCGATTCGTCGAAATTTTGGAAAAATTCAAACCACCCGACACTAAAAATCCCGCAACTATCCGCCCGGATTCTGATAGTTGTCCGACTATCCGCCCGGATTGTGATAGTCGGGATACTAAAGAAGAGACGGATAGTCCATGTGATATACCGAAAAGTAAAGAGGATAACGTCAAAAAAATGCTCAAAGACATCGAAGGATGCGATTTTAATACTCTAGGCAATAAAATACAAGACAAAGTCCACATATACGAAACTAACTTAAAAGAAATAACCGAAATCAAGACGGATAGTGAAGAAAAATACGACACATCGCCGGATAGTCCGAAGACCGAATCGAATAAAGAATCAGACGATCCGAAATCTGACTATCCCGATGACAAGCCGGATAGTCAAGCGGATAGTCAAGCGGATAGTCAGCCGGATACTAAAATCGGTATGGATAGTAAAGGGAATGAGTTTTTATTTCAACAAAGAGGACTATTAGGGTTTACAAGGAGAGCTGGGAATAGGCTTAGGGGTAAATCTAGAATGCAAAGGAATAATGCGGCTCGAGCTCTTCAGATGCAGCAAAATCCTGACGCTCTATGCGGCATTGTCTTCATGAAGGAACCACTGATAGCGAAGATCATGTTCATGGTTATCGTGGTAAGTTGTTTTAATTTATTTATTTTAGAAAGAAAGAAAGAAAGAATTCTTTTTTATCGATAGGTCGGCAAAAGAGCAGACGGATTACCTGATGGTAAGCAATCAGCGCCGCCCATGGACACGGAGGAGTTACGAGTGCGTTGCCGACCTTTTAGGGATAAGGGATTTGGAGATTTAGGGTTTGAGGAGGGATTGGGGGAGGGGAAGGATTGGGCCTCCGGTAAGCTCACTCACACGGCGAAACACAACGCTGTGGTTATTTCTCGCCGGTTTTCTGTGAGGCTATGGTGTCACTCCGGTTGAGCCGACCCATTCGTGCCTAAGCATGTCTCTTAATAACATTGTTTTAGGATTTTAAGTATTGTAATTGTAAAACTAAAAGGCTGCTATATCTTAAGTACTTTATTATAACATAACACTAACATTGTACATTTAATTTGCACTAATCGTTTTGTTTTTGTCTTTTTCTTTCAGGACATGGCCCGCTGTAACCCTAGTCTGAGTTACGTGTGCGTGCAGTTCTGTGCGACGGAAAGTCCGGCAGATCCGGAGACTGAGCCCCGCGAGTGTCTGAGACAGGGGAAGAAACAGGAAGAGGTTCTAAAGAAGTGAGTTCTAGCAATCCTACTAACATTATATGTGAAAGTTTGTGAAAATGTGGGAATGAACACGGCCTCACAGAAAACCGACGTTATATAAACAGGGCGTTTGGTTTCGCCATGTGAGTGAGGTTATCGGAGGCCCAATCCTTCCCCTCCCCCAATCCCTCCCAAACCCTAAATCTCCGAATCCCTAAGCCCTAAAAGGTCAGCAATGCACTCGTAACCCCTCCGTTGCGGGTGTCCATGGGCGGCGCTGATTGCTTACCATCAGGTAATCCGACTGCTCATAAAAAAGGATGTTTGTTTGTTGCTTTTACGCAAAAACGGCTGGAGCGATTTTATTGAAATTTGATGGGTAGATAGGTTGACCGTGACTGAACGGTTGGTGCGGTGGCTAGCCAACTGGCTGCCGTGCAACGTGTCGCGGGTTCGATTCCCGCACGGAACAACTCTTTGTGTGATCCACAAATTGTTGTTCCGGGTCTGGGTGTGATGTGCATGTGAAATTGTATGTTTGTAAACGCACCCACGACACAGGAGAAAATCCTAGTGTGGGGCAACGTTTTTTTAAAAAAGAAAAAAAAGAAAGATAGGTGATACCCAGTGCGAAGCAGCGGGCAGAAACTAGTAGTACTATGTTGTTAAGTGTAGGCCAATAAGCCATACTTCGATACTACTTGACCATCTCGGTCGGAGTGATATCAGGGCCTTACAGAATACCTAGAAAACCATAGGGTTGTGTTTCACCGCGTGATTGAGGTTGCCGGAAACACAATCCTTTCCCCCATCCTTACTACTCAAATTCCCTGTCCTTAAATCTATACTAATATTATAAAGAGGTAAAATTTGTTAGTTTGTAAGTTTGTATGTAGAGTGTAATTTTTGTAACCGCTGGTAGCTACAATGTTTCTGAGTGGTATAGGCTATTAAACATCACGCTACTATTGAATGGAGACGAGCAGCGGGTGAAACCGCGCGAGAGTAGCTAGTCCCTAATATCCCACAAGAGGCCGGCAACGCACTTTTAATAACTTCTCTAGTGCTGCCCCACATCCATGGGCGGCGCCGATTGCTTACCATCAGGTAATCAGTCAGTTCGTTTGCCGAGCTATGTCTTAAAAAATAATGTTCTCTATTTCATTTATAGGTTCCGAATGCACGAATGTAATCTGCTACTGGCTACGTCAGCTTTGGAAGAGGGCATTGACCTTCCCCGCTGTAATCTCGTCTTGAGATGGGATGTGCCGCCTTCGTAAGTATATACCAGTATACAAGTGTGGGAGAGCCATGCTTTGGCACGAATAATATTACACTAGATGGGTCGTGATGGCCTGGAGGTTAAGGAGCCCGCTTCTCATGCATGAGGGTGTGGGTTCGAAACCTGGCAAGTACCAATGTGACTTTTTCCGAGTTATATGTACTTTCTATCATTAATTAGACATCACTGACATACAGTGAAGGTATACAACGTGAGGAAACCTGGGCGTATAATTTCTAATTATAAGTTTGGAATCGCCAACCCGATTTGAGCAAGCGTGGTGATTAATGCTCAAACCTTGGCTGTGTGAGAAGAGGCCTTTGCTCAGCAGTAGGCCCTTATTGGCTGATGATGATGATGATGATAATTATGATAATGATGATGATGATGATTCAAGCAGTCATCAATACTCACGTGTATCATACGACGTTTTTCAACACACTTCTGAATAAAATAGTAACTTAACGAGTTGTGAAAAATGTTTCGTAATGGCGGGAAAAATTAATCAGTTTTACCAAGCGCGCGCATCGGCCATAGACTAAAAAGTTTTTGTTTAATTTTTAGATTGTTTGTTCAATTAAAGGTGTATAGCTCGATCCCTCTTTCTCGCCCGGAAGATTGACGCTTTAAGACGTCGTGATAGGTGGTATATTAACACACTTCATGGGTTGAGTTTACATTTTCTTCCAGGTACCGATCATACGGGCTGTGCCGCGGTCGTGCTCGCGCCCCCAGGTCCGCGGCAGCCCTACTCTGCAGTGACAGCCCTGATACCACCGACATGTTACTAAACAACGTCGCCACGTACAGAGAATTGGATCAGGTATGTGCTGCGTTTACGAAAAAAGTGAAAATTAACTTAGTCGAATTTATTTAGGTCAAGCTCGAAAAGGTCAAAATACAAAAATAGAAGTCAGAGGTCAAATTTTATGAAAAAAGTAATATTATATAGATTCTAAAGAAATTTATTTGCCAATGACACTCTGACAACGAAAGACACAATTTTTTTTTAAAACGTTGCCCCCCACTAGGATTTTCTCCTGTGTCGTGGGTGCTGTTACAAACATACAATTTCACATACACAGGACTCCCAGACCCGGAACAACAATTTGTGGATCACACAAAGAGTTGTTCCGTGCGGGAATCGAACCCGCGACACGTTGCACGGCAGCCAGTTGCCCAGCCACCGTACCAACCGTGCAGTCAAAACGCCTGCACGGTTGGTGCGGGTGTTTTTTAATGTTGTTTTGTAATAAGGGGACAGAAGCCATTACGAAGAAAGGCACTCGACCAATGAAAGAAGGTGCCAATAGACATGGACGATACTGATTGAATGGTGTATTTAAATAAATTTTTACTTTTATTTATTAAATACTACTAACATGTAAAAAGTTAAGTGTGGGAGAGCCATGCTTCGGCACGAATGGGTCGGCTCGACCGGAGTGACACCACGGCCTCACAGAATACCGACGTGAAACAACCACAGTGTTGTGTTTCGCCGTGTGAGTGAGGTTACCGGAGACCCAATCCTTCCCCTCCCCCGATCCCTCCCAATCCCTAAATTTCCAAAACCCTTATCCGTAAAAGGCCGGCAACGCACTCGTAACTCCTCCGTTACGGGTGTCCATGTGCGGCGCTGATTACTTACCATCAGGTAATCCGTCTGCTCGTTTGCCTACCTATTCAATAACAAAAAAAGTCTTGTTGATAAAAAACATTACCTTTCGCCTTTATCACGGGGAGTGTTCTGAGTAATTGTTCGATTTGATCCCCGCCGCATCATTTCGCTATCGTTTCACGCGAAAAAATGTTCATCCCCATCACATAGACGGTTGGCAGTCAACAACTGTTCGATTTTCGCGTAATTTTCTGCCCCGCACAGCAAAGCTTTGGAATGATCTTCCGGCGGCGGTATTCCCGAACCGATACGACCTTCAAACCTTCAAGAAACGAGCGCACTCCTTCTTAAAAGGCTTGCAACGCACCTGTGACTCCTCTGGTGTTGCAGGTGTCCATGGGCGGATCGCTTACCATCAGGTGATCCGTCTGCTCGTTTGCCGACCTATTCCATAAAAAAGCTGACTTAGTGTACAAGTTTGTAAGTATGGATAGGTCTTTGTTGCTCGTTCACTTAAAAAAAACACTGAACTAGACACACTGAAATAGAGTCTGGAACAACACAATACATATGCCACTTTCAATTCATTGTCTGTCTACTGAAATAGGAGATAAGCCTACTGTATCTATTTTGTTATTTTCAGATCATTAGCCGGAAATGTGGTTGTGGCATTCAAGATGAACCACCCCAATCCGAAGAAGACCATGCAGACGCCTTCACCAATTTTGTCAAACCATATTCACCTAACGATAACAAAAAACCAGAAGAAAATACACCGAAAGTTAGTGATACAGTGGCAACGAATGACGTGGACGCCAATGACACTGCGGCAATGAATGACACAGACGCTTTAGAGAAGAAAGTCACTATGCCAATGAATGACATGATACCAATTGAAATGAATGACACATTGCCAATGAATGACGCGGTCGCAACAGAAGTCAATGACAAAAATATATGTGAAAATAATGTTAGTATAAAACAAATTGATGTAAACAATGATATAGTGGAATTGAATGATAAGTTCGGTGATTTGTTAAAAATCGACGGTGAAAAAGAAATCGGTGATTATAAAGATGGCGTTTTATCTAAACTTGGTGATGTAGATAAAGAATTGACATCGCAAAATAATGAAACTGGTGAAATTGAATTGAAAACTGAAATTAAAAACGAAAACGATAGAAAAAACGCCGAGAATAACGTTAAAAAAGATGAAAACCGGCTAAAAGATAAAGATAAATCGTCAAAAGATAAAAAAGAAACAACAAAAGATACGTTATCCAAAGGCTATTGTAATAAGTGCTTTAATACCATTTTGAATGGCGTATGCTTGTGTTCAAATGTTAATTTGTACTACCAGTTGTTGAATAAGGCGAGTTTCGCCAACCGTGGCGATTATAAAAAGCCTCAAAACGAAGCTGATTCTTTCGCCAGTGTTGATTTGAGTACGGCTATTGCTTTGATTAATAGGTAAGTCGTATTAATAAGTATTTTTTATAGTTTTCGAGTGGAATAAAGTTCCTTAAGTGAAAAATTAAGACGAAAAAAGTTCTGACGACACCTTTTCTCTCTGTCTCTTTCTCTCTCTCTCTCTCTCTCTCTCTCTCTCTCTCTCTCTCTCTCTCTCTCTCTCTCTCTCTCTCTCTCTCTCTCTCTTTCTCTCTCTCTCTCTCTCTCTCTTTCTTTCTCTCTCTCTCTCTCTCTCTCTCTCTCTCTCTTTCTCTTTCTCTCTCTCTATCTATCTATCTCTCGTGTCTCGTTTCAAAGTCAAAAACATTTTTTTATGGTATAGTTCGGCAACAGATGGACGCATTACCTGAAGGTAACCGAAACCTAAAGAAGTTATAAATGCTTTGCCGTTTAGGGGTAAGGGATTCGGATACTTAAGGATTGGAGACGAATGGGGGGGGGGAGGTGAAGGATTTGTCCAGAAGTCTCTTCTCACATGGAGAAGGTATGAGCATTAGTCACCACGCTTTATCAGGGTGTATTGGCGATTTCAAACCTATAATGAGAAATTATAAATCCAGGTTTCCTCACGATGTTTGCCTTCACCGTATGTCAGTGGTGTCTAAATAATCATAGAAAGCACATATAACTTGGAAAAAGTCACATTGGCACTTGCCAGGTTTCGAACCCACATGCATGAGAACCGAGAACCCTAACCAACGCGCCACCACGACCTGCCTTTGTAAGTATATAAAATTTCTAATTGCCAGGTACTGCGGCAAGCTACCTTCAGACACCTTTACTCGTCTCGCTCCCCAATGGTGGATGGAGGAGGTGGCTTTACCGGTCAAGGGAACGGGGCAGGTCAAGCCAGCGTACATATGCACCCTGAGACTACCTCTGAACTGTCCCGTCAAATACAATATCGTTGTGAGTATTTTTTTTTTTGCAGATTACCTGATGGTAAGCAATCGGCTGCTGGACTCCTGCAACGCCAGAGGAGCTATCAGTAAGTGGCCGGCCGTTTGGGGATTTAGGGATGGGGGAGTCAGTCACATTGCGAAACACAACTGACTGCACGGTTGGTGCGGTGGCTGGACAACTGGCTGCCGTGCAACGTGTCGCGGGTTCGATTCCCGCACGGAACAACACTTTGTGTGATTCACAAATTGTTGTTCCGGGTCTGGGTGTCATGTGTATGTGACACTGTATGTTTGTAAACGCACCCACAACACAGGAGAAAATCTTAAAGTGGGGCAACGTTTTTAAAAAAAAAAAAAACTAAAACTAAAACTAAACAACGCTGTGGTTTTTTCACGCCGTGGTATCACTCCAGTCGAGCCAACCCATTCGCGCCGAAGCTTGGCTCTCCCACACTTAAAATAGATGACAGAGATAAAATATAAATACTCGGAATTTTAATTCCATTCCAGATTTGACAAATTCAGTGTTGCAACGTTATGACACGTAATAAATAGTGATGTTGCGAAACTATTCGATGTGGAAATCGAATATTTCTGAATCGATTCCTCTCGTTTATAAATTTACTCTCATAAACTAAGTTTATCAGGAAATAAAATATTTCTGAACCGATAATTTAGTTTTGACAAGTAATTAACGATCTGAGACTTTTCTTTTGTAATTGTGTGTGAAATTAATAAAAAATGTGATCATGAAGGAACATGACAAATAATACAGAAATTTTATAAATTGTCGCCGTCATCGCTATCGCTATCGCTGTTACTTTCTGTAACATTTATTATGAATTGTGTCTTACTCATTTTTTCCTCTTCTTTGACAACATGGGATACGCATTTAGACCATTCGGTAGCAGTATTTTTTTAAATGCCTTCCTGAAACTGATTCACTGATTGTTTATCGATTTTTGTGTTCATCACTACACTGTTAAATGTGGTATCATTATTTCACAAAATGACAGTAGGTCATGTCAAATCAGGAATCGAATTAAAATTCTGACTATAGATATGTGGTTTGTCCAGGGTCATCCAATGTCGACGAAGGTCTTAGCTCGCCGAATGGTCGCCCTACAAGCTTGCAGGATACTCCACAAGTCTGGCGAGCTAGATAACCAACTCATGCCTATAGGTAAGTGATTTTTATTACTGAGAAAAATATTTTGTTTCTAGTTGGATTTCCTGCACGTCGATTCTATAAAATTTGTTTGATTTTGAATCTTGTTCGAGTGCGAAGTGAGCGTCGAAGTGACGGGGAAATTACATTATAGAATGCCACTTTTAACGTCATCTCATACTTTATCTACCAAAATGTTGCTGTCAATTTAGTTTAACTCGCAAGTGTAGCGCTAGTGAAGTTACGAGTGCATGGCCGGCTTCTTGTGGATTGTTAGGGATTTATCGATAGGGGATTAGAGGATAGAGGATCAAGGAGAGAATACGGCCTCCGGTAACCTCACTTACTGGGTGAAACAAAGTCTCCTCCCATTATCTCTTAATATGAAACCCCTCATCCCCAACAGACCGGCAATGTACTCGTAACTCCTGTGAGTATTAAGTAACTTACAAATTTGTAGGATTAGGTATAGCTGGCATCCTTTTTTTTCCGATGGTAAGCAATCAGCGCCGCTCATGGACACCCGCAACAACGGAGGAGTTACGAGTGCGTTGCCGACCTTTTGGGGATTAGTGATTTGAATATTTTTTGTATTGGGGGAGGGAAAGGATTGGACTTCTAGTAACCTTACTTGCAAGGCGTAACGAAACGTTATGGTAGTTTCACGCCGGTTTTTTGTGAAGCCGTTGTATCACTCCGGTCGAGCCGACCTATTCGTGCGTAAGCATGGCTCTCCCACAATTAAAGACCAGTTTATTATAACTACATGTAATAACTGGGCTGGGCAACTGGCTGCAGTGCAACGTATCGCGGATTCGATTCCCGCACGGAACAACTGTGTGTGTGATCCACAAATTGTTGTTCCGTTGGTCTGGGTTTTTTTTTTTTTTTTTTTGTGAGGGGAAAATCATCAAATGACTTCTCCCGCCCAGGGCCGGGCAGGAGGGAGTGTCAGACTCTTACTGACTAAAAACCCCCCTGTTCCTTCTCCTGCTCTGTGCCGAGGTCGCGGTACCTTATTGCGCTTACCCCGCAACCCCGGCTGAACATCAGCCCTTTAGGGCCCCGTCTGTGGTGGTCTATTGGCTCTTTGAGGCGCGCGCGGAACGCTACGCGCCGTACGCTCGGGCCTGGTTCTGGTCGGGCGGCGAGCTGCCCTTACTCGCCGACCGCAGGCCCGTACTTACGGTGGCCGGAGATCGTCCCTCGATCCCTGACGCCCGTAGTGTCGCCAGTTGCGGCTGCTGGGGCGTGAGGAGGAGGATTGCTCCCTCACGCGGGCCGCCTCTCTCTTTGCGAGCATGACTGCTTCACAAAAGGAGGAGACGGCGTCCCAGTTCCTCTCACTCCGCACCATGGCCTCGACTAAGGCCGGGCGCGAGAGGTCGCCGCCGCCGATCACTTCCCTGAGGATACGGCGGTGCTCAGCCCAGGCAGGGCATACCGCTACCGTATGCTCCACCGTATCCTCTAGGTGGTCCTCACAATGACGACACTCGGGCGTTTCCTCCCGCTGGATCCGAAACAGGAACCTACCGAAGCTGCCGTGCCCGGTAAGCACCTGCGTCAGACGGAAGGTGAGGACGCCGTGGCGTCTCTCAAGCCACTCCTCAAAGAGGGGTCTTACCGCTGCTATGGTAGCGTGCCCGTCCGTTGGTCTGGGTGTGATGTGAAATTGTATGTTTGTAAACGCACCCACGACACAGGAGCAAATCCTAGTGTAGGGCAACCTATTTTGTTTTATTATGTACATTTAAAATGTTTCTTAGGTAAAGAAAACTTCAGAGCTGTGGAATTAGAAGGGGTGAACACTATCGGTACTTGCGCGGGTAATGAACCCGCTGACGCGCACGATTCTGCCCGCCCCGGCACCACGAAACGAAGACAGTATTATTATAAACGGGTAAGCTGAATTTTTTTTTATTGATTATAGGCTCGCGCTTGACCGCTATCTCACCTTATGGAAAGCGACGATGCGGTCGACGATGTAGCGCGCTTACCTAGAAGTAACCTATTCATTCTTGACTTAAAGATACCCGGATTGTAGCTATCAGGAAACACCGACTCCGGCAAGGAATTCCACTCCTTGGCTGTACGCATGATGAATGTGCTCCCAAAACGTTTTGTACGTATATGTGGGACATCCACCATGTACCGGTGGCGCAATGCCGTGCGTGAATGTTTGTTTGTTGTTTGTACGTATTACAGGGATGTTAGGGCGTAATCCGTAAACGTAATCGAAACTGTCGGATACCCGATATAAAACTCCTTTCTGACAATATCGAAAATGGCAAATAAAATATACAAAAGCCTCATTGAAAAACGGTGTGAAATAACGCCGCGAACGCGGGCGGACGCCCAACCCGCAAACGAGTAGACGAATTACCTGATGGTAAGCAATCGGCGCCGCCCATCGACAACCGCAACACCAAAAGATTAACGAGTGCGTTGCCGGCCTTTTGGGAATAAGGGTTGCGGATATTTAACGATCTGGAAGGCCTCCAGTAACCTCACTCACAAGGCGAAACATAATGCCTTATCCCAAATAATAACTTGGCGTCAAAACTGCTTACCATCAGAACCGATTTTGCCGCTCCATCCTTAATATAAAAAACTAGCTACTCCAGCGCACTTGTTGCTCTTGTTGTGGTTTCACCCGCTGCTCGGCTCCATTTTAATCGTAGCGTGATGTTTTATAGCCTACAGCGCTCAGGAACATTGTAGCTATCAATAAGTGAAAGAATTTTGGCAATCCGACCAGCGGTTCCAAAGATTACCCCATACATACAAACTAACAAATTTTACTTCTTTATAATATTAGTATAAATATACACTACTTTTATCTCTGATCTCCAGACGGCCTGGGCGTTCACGGACTGCCAGCCGGTAATAGACTCGACGGACGCTGAAATATATCCGGATGTCGACCCGGATACTTTGGATATAGACAGCGACGTCGAAGCTCCTAATCCGAGCGATGATGAGAAAGTGTCTTCGAAGCATAAGGAACCGAAGAAGGACACTGGTGAGTCATTAATACCATCTTAAGCTTTGGAAGTGTGGGAGAGCCATGCTTCGGCACGAATGGGTCGGCTCGACCGGAGTGATACCACGGCCTCACAGAAAACCGGCGTGAAATAACCACAGCGTTGTGTTTCGCAGTGTGAGTGAGGTTACTGGAGGCCCGATCCCTCCCCCTGATCCCTTCCCAGTCCTTAAATATCCGAAACCCTTATCCCTAAAAGGCCGGCAACGCATTAGTAACTCCTTTGGTGTTGCGGGTGTCCATGAGCGGCGCCGAATGCTTACCATCAGGTACTTTCACGCGGTTTCATCAGCTGCTCAGCTCCTACAGATCATAGCGTAATGTTTTAAAGCCTATATATAGCCTTCCTCTATAAATGGACTAACGAATACAAAAAGAATTGTTCAGTTCGAACCAGTAGTTCCGGAGATTAGTGCGTTCAAACAAACTCTTCAGCTTTATAATATTAACCCCAGGTTTCCGAAAGGCCCATCAATGTTAAAATCAATTTAATCTCTTGTCAAGTCATCTGATTCGTTGACTGAATTATCAACAACCAATCAGATGACTTGACAAGAGATTTAACAAGAGATTAGTTAATTTTAGCGTTGACAAGCCTTTCAGAAACCGGGTGTAAGTATAGATATGGATTTCTGATGTCGTGGTGGCCCTTCTCATTGAGGTTAAGTGCCTCATGCATGGGGGCGTGGGTTCGAAACCTGGCAAGTACCAATGTGACTTTTGCCGAGTTATATGTACTTTCTATGATTATTTAGACACCACTTACATACGGTGAAGGTAAACATCGTAAGGTAAGCTGGACTTATAATTTTCTAATTATAAGTTTGAAATTACCAACCCGCATTGAGCCAGCGTGGTGATTAATGCTCTAACCTTCTCCGAGTGAGAAGAGGCCTTTGCTCAGCAGTGCGCACTTATAGGCTGATGATGATGATGATGATGATGTATTTCTCCTTTTACAGGTAAACGGAATATGTTGTACGCAATAGTATCGAAGCTATGGTGTGCACTTCCCGAACGTTATAACACTCGGGGCCGAAGGTTGCATGCCCCTCAGCTGGCTAGCCAAGCAATTGGAATACTCATGGCGAGACAGGAGCCTGACAGGTAAGTCTATATAGTTTTTTTTAAGGATAGGTCGCCAATCGAGCCGACGGATTACCTGATGGTAAGCAATCGGCGTCGCCCAGGGACATTTGCAACAACAAACGAGTGTGTTGCCGGCCTTTTGGGGATAAGGGTTTTAAATGGTTAAGGATTGGGGTTGGCCGTGTGACTGAGATTACCGGAGTCCCAACCCTTCCCCAATCCCCAATCCCCAAATCTCCAAAACCCAAATCTCCAAACCGTCGGCAACGCACTTGTAAATCCTCCGTTTTTGCGGGTGTCCATTGACGGCGCTGATTGCTTACCATCAGGTAATCCGTAAGCTAGTTTGCCGTACTATCTCATAACAAATATGTAGAATCCTTCATTATATTATAATAATGGGATGATGTTCAGCTTACAGATACCAGCGTTCCCTGTTTATACGAGGTCCGGTGAGGTCCGAGTGTCAGTGGAACACGTCCCTGGGGCTGACGTCAGGATTTCACCACGTCGAGCCAAGCTGATTCGAAGGTAATAAAATACTAATACGGTAGTTTCCAACTAGTCAAATTCAATACTTTTATCCGAATGTCAAAAACGATACTTTTTTTAATTTTTTTATCTATTAAGCTACCCAATACGGTAGTTTCCAACTAGTCAAATTCAATACTTTTATCCTAATGTCAAAAACGATACTATTTTTAAATTTTTTATCTATTAAGCTACCCAATACGGTAGTTTCCAACTAGTCAAATTCAATACTTTTATCCGAATGTCAAAAACGATACTTTTTTTAATTTTTTTATCTATTAAGCTACCCAATACGGTAGTTTCCAACTAGTCAAATTCAATACTTTTATCCTAATGTCAAAAACGATACTATTTTTAAATTTTTTATCTATTAAGCTACCCAATACGGTAGTTTCCAACTAGTCAAATTCAATACTTTTATCCTAATGTCAAAAACGATACTATTTTTAAATTTTTTATCTATTAAGCTACCCAATACGGTAGTTTCCAACTAGTCAAATTCAATACTTTTATCCAAACGTCAAAAACGATACTTTTCTATGAAATTTGTATGAAAAACTGAGCTATGACGTCATAACATTTTTGCGTCAAATAGCTTACTTATTTCACAATAATTAGCTAAAAAAAATCTAAAACATGGGAGGTTCTTATACGGTAGTTTCCAACTAGTGAAATTCAATACTTTTATCCAAATGTCAAAAACGATACTTTTCTATGAAATACTGAGTCATGATGTCATAGTACTTTTACATTAAATAGCTTACTTATTTCTTAAAAAATTGTTAAAAAATATCTAAAATTCAGTGTATCGATCGATCGATGAATAAAAGTATAGTTATTTTTCAATATTTTATAATATTGAAACATCGAATTAATTTATTTTTGATCTATGAAGCTACCCAATTACACTGTACACCTTATTTCTCAGTTTTCAGAATTATAATGTTAGGCCGGCGAACGGACTGACTTGTCAAAAAATTGGATTGTTTCCTAGGTCGAAATAAATTAATTCGACGTTTCAATACAATAAAATATTTAAAAATAACAACTATACTTTTATTCATCGATCGATCGAAACACTAAGTTTTAGATATTTTTTAGCAAGTTTTTAAGAAATAAGTAAGCTATTTAATTTAAAAGTACAATGACGTCATAACTTAGTATTTCAAACAAAAGTATAGTTTTCGATATTTGGATAAAAGTATTGAATTTGACTAGTTGGAAACTACCGTATTGGCACCGCCCAGGTACACCAGAATAGTTTAGTACACGAGTCCGTTGACGGGCTTTTGGGGATTAGAGTTTTAGAGATTCAGAGACATGAAAGGGAAAAGAGGAGGGGATATATTGGGCCTCTAGTAACCTCACTCACACGACGAAACACAACACTGTGGTTGTTTCACGCCGGTTTTCTGTGAGGCCGTGGTATCACTCCGGTCGAGCCGACCCATTCGTGCCGAAGCTTGGCTCTCCCACACTTATTAATATATGTTTTTCTTGTAGGTTCATGCGGTTTGTCTTTGCTGAAGTTCTACGCGTACGTAGGCGTGGTATGAAGCTGCAGAGCGAGGGATCCACGCACAACAACTACTATATCGTGCCTACACTTAAAAGTAAGTTTTATTATGTAATACTAGCTTTAGGTTGCTTCCGTCAACCTACCCTACCTATCCGACCCTACGTACCCAACCCTACGCTACGTACCCAACCCTACGCTACCTACCCTACGCTACCTACCCTACGCGACCTGCTCTGCGCTACCTAATTTCCTACCTACCCTACCTACCCTTATTTTTGTGAGGGGAAAATCATCAAATGACTTGTCAATGAAATTTTCCCCTCACAAAAAAGGGAAAATCATCAAATGGAGTGTCAGACTCTTACTGACTAAAAACCCCCCTGTTCCTTCTCCTGCTCTGTGCCGAGGTTGCGGTACCTCATTGCGCTTACTCCGCAACCCTGGCTGAACATCAGCCCTATAGGGCCCCGTCTGTGGTGGTCTATTGGCTCTTTGAGGCGCGCTCGGAACGCTACGCGCCGTACGCTCGGTACCCTACCTACCCTACCTTACCTACCCAAGCCTACACTACCTACTCTACGCTACCTACCCTGTTAGAAAAGTGCTTAATTAAACGCAATAAAATTAAAAAACTTTGTAAATGCTCCTGTCATGTTGACAGTTGATATGAAATGTCACTTGGTCTTTTCCGTCCCCGGTATTTGGTGATACTTTATGTTCAAATTTTTCTCCTAGTTAAATCAGAGTTAATCTTAATATTAGTTTTCTTTAAGCCCATAAATTCGTCATACTGACCCCGTCTATTCCGGGCTGATGTTCAGCCGGGGTTACGGGGTAAGCGCAATGAGGCACCGCGACCTCGGCACAGAGCAGGAGAAGGAACGGGGGGGGGGGTTTTAGTCAGTAAGAGTCTGACACTCCCTCCCGCCCGGCCCTGGGCGGGAGAAGTCATTTGATGATTTTCCCCTCACAAAAAAAAACCCCGTCTATTCTATCCTACCCTACCTTACCTAACCTACCTACTCTACCTACCCTACCTTACCTACTACGCCGTATCCTATGTCCTCCTCCCAGTTCTTAGCTACCTCCCTTCGAAGTTTCAGCCAAATCGGTTCAGCCTTTCTTGAGTTATAAATAGTGTAACTAACACGACTTTCTTTCATATTATATAGATTTAGGACTTATGTTTAATCTACCATCAGCCGTCTTTGGCGGGTTCGATTCCCGTAAGGAAAAACTCTTTTGTCTTGTTCCACTTATTCTTGTTTCGAGTCTCTCTCTCTCTCTCTCGATACACGACACAGGATAAAATACTAATGAGATCCAATCATAAAAAATGTCTACCCATCCATTTCCAAACCTCAATAACTTGCTTAACCTTCGTTCCAGCGGTATCAGAGGACGGTACGCACAAGATAGACATAGACTGGGACTTCCTAGAACTCATTTATCAGCACACGGAAGAAAAGAAAGCGAGTGATTTAGAAAAACCTGTGCTATGGCAGGAAATGCCTGATGAGGAGAAAGTGGAAAAGGATTCCAATAGGTAAGCAGATTATACAAGATAAGGTAGATCTCACATGTGTGGGAGAGCCATGCTTCGGCACGAATGGGTCGGCTCGACCGGAGTGATACCACGGCCTCACAGAATACCGGCGTGAAACAACCACTGCGTTGTGTTTCGCCGTGTGAGTGAGGTTACCGGAGGCCTTATCCTTCCCCTTCCCCAATGCCTCCCCAGTGCCTAAATCTCCAAATCCCTAATCCCTAAAAGGTCGACAACGCACTCTTAACTCCTCCGTTGCGGGTGTCCATGCGGCGCTGATTGCTTACCATCAGGTAATCCGTCTGCTCGTTTGTCGACCTATTACATAAAAAAGAAGAAAACCAGCGTGAAACAATCTCTAAATCTCCTTTACCCTAAACCTAATCTCCAAAAATCCGACAACGCATTCGTAACTCTGGTATGCGTGTGTCCATGGGCGGCGCCGATTGCTTACCATCAGCTAGTTTCGCTACTTATTTGATAAAAAAATATACATAGGAGATTGCGAACTTCGCATAATGCACACTGCTGAGCAAAGGCCTTTTATCACACGGAGAAGGTTTGAGCATTAATCACCACGCTTGCTCAATGCGGGCTGGCTATTCCAAACTTATAATTAGAAAATATAAGTTCAGGTTTCCTCACGATGTTTTCCTTCACCGTATGTCAGTGGTGTCTAAATAATCGTAGAAAGTACATAATTATAACTCGGAAAAAGTCACATTGGTACTTGCCAGGTTGCGAACCCTCATGTATGAGAAGCGGGGTCCTTAACCTCGGGGCCACCACGACCCCCCATTGGGAACATATTTCTAATCAATAATTTATTTAAACAGACGCAGAAGAGGTAAGAAGAGAATGGCGAATCCCCTTCTGAAACAGGGCGATACGTTCGTCTTCGATGCGGAGAAATACAAGGAAGCTGTCGTCACGCCCTGGTATAGGAACCAGGATCAACCCCAGGTGAGTCAAAAACTACATATGACATTGATTTTTTTAGGATACCGTAGTAAACTAGGAACTTTTATAGTTTCGCTTGTCCGTTCGTCTGTCTGTCCGTCTCCTCGGCTCGGCTCCATTTAATCGTAGCGTGATGTTTTATAGCCTATAGCACTCAGGAACATTGTAGCTATCTATCAGTGAAAGAATTTTGGCAATCCGACCAGCGGTTCCAAAGATTACCCTCTACATACAAACTTACAAATTTTACCTCTTTATAATATTATAGTTCTATTAATCTTTATTTTCTCTACAGTTCTTCCTGGTAGCGGAAATATGTTGGAACCTGACCCCTGATTCCTCATTCCCGTCGGCGACGCACCAAAGCTTCAGTGATTACTACAGCACCAAGTACGGAGTGACGCTGACTCAGAGGGACCAGCCTCTCTTAGACGTCGACCATACTTCGGCCAGACTCAATCTTCTAACACCTAGGTATGTTACCACCGTCAGTCTTGACGCGGGTTTGTCATACCCGCAGTCAGTTCGTCAGTGAAGCTAGGTGCTCGTTCCAAATTGTAGTTTCGAATGGAGAAGAACGAGCAAGAAACTACATCTTTACTATGCAAATGACGATCATTGTAAAATTCACTCCAACTTACAGATACGTCAATCGTAAAGGCGTAGCACTCCCTGTCTCATCGGAGAGGACTCGGCGCGCCAAGAGGGACCGTCTCGACCAGAAACAGATCCTGATTCCTGAACTCTGCCGGGTCCATCCCTTCGCCGCCCCCCTTTGGTTCGCCACCGTCGCTCTTCCATGTGTTCTTTACAGGTAATTATGACAATTTCGTTTTATATTTGGCCTGCTACCTTGCCCCCTTTTTTTGAGTGGGACGTCATAAAATGTCCTCAAGTTTGAAAGAAATGCTTCGGCGCGTATAAAGCCTTACAGAATACCGGCGTGAAACAACCACAGCGTTGTGTGTTTTAAGTGTGGGAGAGCCAAGCTTTGGCACGAATGGGTTGGCTTGACCGGAGTTATACCACGGCCTCACAGAATACCGGCGTGAAACAACCCAGCGTTGTGTTTCGCCGTGTGAGTGAGGTTACCGGAGGCCCAATCCTTCTTCTTCCCCTATCCCTTCCCGTTCCTTTTATTCGCAACCCCTATCCCCAAAAGGCCGGCAACGCACTCGTAACTCATTTGGTGTTGCGGGTGTCCAGGGGCGGCGCTGATTGCTTACCATCAGGTAATACGTCAGCTCGTTTGCTGACTTATACCATAAAAAAAGCAATAAGAAGCAATCGGCGCCGCCCATAGGATGGTTATGGGCGGCGCTGATTGCTTACTGTCAGATAATCCGTATCATTGAAACAATGAAACAATTAATTTATTTTTGCAAATAGGCCATAAAACGGCACTTTTTCACGTCAATATATATGTAAAAAACTAGATTGAAGCCGGCATTTCCTATCTGACTACTCTGAGAAGAAATGCCGAAACAAACTCAGAGGTCAGTCTCTTTTCAAGTCCAGACAATGTAAAAATAACATAATGTGAGAGAACCGTGCAAGTTCATTCTGTAGTGGTATTTTGAAGAAAGAACCACACCAGTTTAAGTGGGCCCGTTCTGAAGACAGGCACGCAAGTGTCAGTTTGCAACCAGTATAGCTAGTGCTGCTGAGTTGTCCGACGAACAATACCGATCAAAAGAACATGGATGCATCCGAATCACGTAAATTATAACATATGTATGTCACCGGAAAATAATAAGATCCGTAAGTTTATCAATTTACTAGGAAGTTTTCGTAAATTTATCAATTTCCGACGTCATCTATCGACGTCGTCAAATTGATAAACTTACGAATCTTGTTATTTTCTGGTGTCATATACACTACAACATACAATAACAACATATATAACAATAACATGCGGTTCGAGTTATAAATAAAATATATATATCTTTTATATATAATTATTTTGTGTCACGTGTTTGTACGCGATGGACTCCTAAACTAAACCGATTTTAAATTTGATTTGCATTCCGTGTGCATTTTGATCCAACTTGATCGATGGATGATCTCCGACCACCGTAAGCGCGGGTCTGCGGACGGCGAGTAAGGGTAGCTCGCCGCCCGACCAGAACCAGACCCGTGCGTACGGCGCGTAGCGTTCCGCGCGTGCCTCAAAGAGTTAATAGATCACCACAGACGGGGCCCTATAGGGCTGATGTTCAGCTGGGGTTGCGGGGTAAGCGCAATGAGTCGCAAGTCGAAAGCGCAGAGCAGGAGAAGGAACGGGGGGTTTTTAGTCAGTAAGAGCCTAACACTCTCTCTCGCCTAACCCTGGGCGGGAGAAGTCATTTGATGATTTTCCACTGACAAAAATAAAGCAATACGTGGCTGGGTCTGCTAGTATTTTTATGTGTTTACAGGATAAACGCCCTACTGATCGCGGATGAGATTCGACGGGCGGTCGCGATAGATGTAGGTCTAGGCATTCCCAAGATCAACGAACAGACAATGCCCGGATTCCAATGGCCCGCGCTAGACTTTGGCTGGAGTTTGGCAGAGGTGAGTTATTTAAAATTGTTTTCAATACTTATAAGTATTTTTTAATGTAATGGTTCGGCAAATGAGCTTACGGATTACCTGATGCTAAGCAATCAGCGCCGCCCATGGACACTCGCAATGGAGGAGTTTCGAGTGCGTTGCCGACCTTTTAGGGATTAGGAATTTGAAGATTTAGGGATTGAAGAGGAATTGGGGGAGGGGAAGGATTGGGCCTCCGGTAACCTCACTCACACGGCGAAACACAACGCTGTGGTTGTTTCACGCCGGTTTTCTGTGAGGCAGTGGTATCACTCCGGTCGAGCCGACCCATTCGTGCCTGAACATGGCTCTCCCACACTTTTTATTTACTAGCTACTCTCGCTCGAATCCATTTAAGGGTGATTCTTCACATCAATTAAAAAAAAATTAATAATGTCATTATCCTCAACCGAAAATTAACGAGTCTGCTGATTAAAACACAGATAATTATTTTATGAAATTAAATCTCACCACTGCTTACAAGCAACCGATTAAAAATATTGTATAAAATAAATTACTAAGATGCTTAAAAACCTGGGAGGATAATGACTTGTTAAATAAAAGTTAAGGTTTTTTGGAGAATCACCCTTAACCCTAGCGTGTAGGGTGATGTTTTATAGTCTATAGCACTCAGGAACATTGTAGCTATCTATCAGTGAAAGAATTTTGGCAATCCGACCAGCGGTTCCAAAATTACCCCCTACATACAAACTTACAAATTTTACCTCTTTATAATATTAGTATAGATAAAATATTTTTCTGTAACCAGGTATTAAGCGCAGATTCAGAGAAGATCGACAAGAAGAAGGACGAAGAAGAATCAAAGAAGGAATTAAAAGAAATTAAAGATAATGAAAGCAGGTATGTTTATATATGTATGTATACATCTAAATAAAATCTATATATATAAAAAAAAGTCGTGTTAGTTACTCCACTTATAACTCAAGAACGGCTGAACCGATTTAGCTGAAAATTGGCAGGGAGGTAGTTTAGACCAAGGAGAAGGACATAGTATAGGATAGAATAGAGTAGGGTAGGTTAGGTAGAGTAAGGTAGGTAGAGTAGGGTAAGTAGTGTAGGGTAGGTAAACAGTAGGGTAGGTAGAGTAAGGTAGGTAAACAGTAGGGTAGGTTGTGTAGGGTACATAGAGTAGGGTAGGTAGAATAGTGTAGGTAGAGTAGGGTATTCAAATAACGGGAGCGACGCCGCGGGTAAGAGCTAGTTCAATTATAAAACAGTAGCTTTTGCCCGCGACTTCCTTCACGTGGAATTGTGACTTTCCTGCAGATTTTTGGTTTAAAAACTATCCTATGTCCTTTCTCGAGTTCCAAACTATGGCCGTACCAAATTTCACACAAATAGGTTCAGTAGTTTAGGCGTGACGAAAAGACAGACAGAGTTACTTTCACATTTATAATATTAGTTTCGATTACATAGTATAGTATAAAACAAAATCGCTTATTTGTTCTGCAAATATCCCTATGTATGCTTAAATCTTTAAAAATACAGAAATTTAGTATCAGCATTGTATCCATGCGAAACCGGGGCAGGTCGTCAGTCTTAAGAATCTAGCTAACTAGCTCTGTCCCGCAGTTTCACTCACATAGTATAATATAAACGATCTTATAATACACGAACTTCATGCTGCTAAAAATGGTGCAATCAAGAATGGAAATGAACATAATATCCTATGTTGACCGTGGATTGTGAACCTTCCCAACAATGAAAGTTTTTTTTTAAAACGGTTAAGCAGTTTTTGAGTTTATTTAATTCAAACCAACAAACAAACAAACAAATCATTTCTCTTTTTTTAAACATTGCCCCACACTACGTTTTTCTCCTGTGTCGTGGGTGCGGTTACAAACATACAATTTGACATACACATCACACACAGACCCGGAACAACGATTTGTGGATCACACAAATAGTTGTTCCGTGAAGGAATGTTGCCCAGCTACCGCACCAACCGTGCAGTCAGATTTGATTGTAATGATTTATTAGTATAGACTATAATCTATCTCTGTGCCAAATTACATTAAGATCCATTGAGTAGTTTTCACGTGAAAGAGTAACTAACATCCATCCTTACTCACAAACTCTCGCGTTTATAATCATCATCATCATCATCATCATCATCATCATCATCATCATCATCATCTTCCTGCCCTTGTCCCGTTTTATTTGGGGTCGGCGCAATATGTTTTTTTCTTCCATTCTGTCCTGTCACCCATCACGCTATCGCTAACTCCTCTGTCTTCCATATATATAGTTTATAATATTACTATATATACACTCGCGTTTATAATATTACTAAGATATTCTGTGCGTTCAGGTTATAAGGGACATTTAAATTTGATTTTTTTCCAACTAGTGAGAAGGAGAAGACAGAAGCAGAAGGTTCACAGAAGAGCACAGATGAAGACAAACCTCTAGAAGATGGAACGCCTGTAGAGAAGACAATTAATGATATATTGCAAGAGAAAGAAGATGCAGAGGCTGATGCTGCGGTAGGTAGACCTTCAGGCAGGGTTTCGGATATTTAAGGATTGGGTTGGGTCTCCGGTAATCTCAGTCATACGGCGAAACACAACGCTGTGGTTGTTTCACGCCGGTTTTCCGCGAGGCCGTGGTATCAATCCGGTCGAGCCGACCCATTCGTGCCGAAGCTTGGCTTTCAAATAGACCAAAATAGTATTTTTTTTTGTTTCTATCAGAATTTTTTTTGCCGGAGCCATTGAAAAGGGAGGATGCTCCGACCAGGCGGGTGTTGTGTCTGGTGGGCTACTGCCCGACGGTTGTTGTCGGGATTTTGTATCAGTTTTAATTGCGATGAAAACTGTAATGTTACGATGTACAAACTTGAACGTGATTGGTACTGTTGCTGCGTGTTGTGCGGTAGATGTCGCTACACGTACATTAAAGTTTGCGCTTACAAAGACATCACAAGTGTGGGAGAGCCAAGCTTCGACACGGATGGTTCGGCTCGACCGGAGTGATACCACGGCCTCACAGAAAACCGACGTGAAACAACCACAGCGTTGTGTTTCGCCGTGTGAGTAAGGTTACCGGAGGCCCAATCCCTCCCCTTCCCCTATCCCTTCCCAATCCTTATATCCGCAACCCCTATTCCCAAAACGCCGGCAACGCACTCGTAACTCCTTTGGTGTTGCGGGTGTCCATGGGCGGCGCTGATTGCTTACCATCAGGTAATGCGTCTGCTCGTTTGCCGACTTATCCCACAAAAAACGTGTTTGGTGCTGTTACTTTGGTTGTGCGGTAGATGTGACACGTACATTAAAGTTTGCGTTTACAAAGACATCCCAATACTTAGTAAGACATAAAAGTTATTATAGCTTTAATAATGAAACTATTATATTTTTGTTTCAGTTTGAAATAGGCACATGGAGTAACGACATGGCCTCCTCGATCCCCGAGACCTCGGAGTACGACGAGCTGATGGAACCTCTTCCCCCCAACCTTACTTTCTGTACCTCCGCTTCGGGTGAGTCTAATGTAATACGTTTACAACTAGTCAAATTCAGTACTTTTATCCAAATTTAAAAAACGATACATTTCTATGAAATTTGTTTGAAAACCCAAATTACAAGATCTATTAATAAAAGTATTCTCATTTTTTAATATTTTATTGTATGTAATGAATTGATTTTTGACCTTAAACTACCCAATTGCTAAGACCGTGACAGTGGCTTCTGTTACTGTCACACGGCCGGAGTTGCGGGGTAAGCGCAATGAGGCACCGCGACCTCGGCCCAAAGTAGGAGAAGGAACGGGGGGGTTTTTAGCCAGTAAGTCTGACACTTCGTCTAGGAAATTTTCCGTGGTTCCGACTGGGCTTCTCCCAGTTGTAAAGGCTATTCTGTGCGTTTAAGGCCTAATTCATTACTCAAGGAAGTTCTTTCCCTCAAATAATATCTTCTGATTTATTTTGTTGCGGGATCCAAGACAGTCATACATGTCCCTGGGACGCGCCGGACTTCAGTGTTCCGGTGTTTTCATGGTTGTATCTACTGTAGATCCTGGTGCACAGAAGTTGCAGTGGTTGGGAGAGATTGCGGGCTAGTCCCATAAAGAAAAATGACACTTCCTCTCTCCTCTAAATCTATTAAAAACTGACCAGTCCTAGCGATTACATAGCTATGCACCACCTTAAAATTTTAAACCCAAACCATATAGTATTATAGATTCGAAAGTAACTCTGTCTGTCTGTCTGTCTTTTCTTCACGCCTAAACTACTGAACCGATTTCTGTGAAATTTGGTGCAGACATGGTTTGGAACTCGAGAAAGGACATAGTAGAGTTTTAATACCAAAAAACTGCAGGAAGTCAGTATTCCACGCGAACGGAGTCGCGGGTAAAAGCTAGTAATAAACAAAGTTAATTTTATGTTAACAGGAGGTTCGAATTGGTGCGACCCTATAGGCAAGCCGAAGTACAACCAGTATGGCGGCTCGAAGAATTTCTCAATGGCTGACAGCGATGATTCTTTCATGTCTAGGTAAGTAAAATTAAAGTACGACAACGTTGAAAAGCGATAGGACTGCCCATTTTACATTATATCTCAAGTCTAATCTTGGAAATCCACCCCCAATCACTTAATCTCCAAATCCCTAATCCCCAAAAGGTCGGCGATGTACTCGTAGATCATCCGAGCAGACGGAATACCTGATGTTAAGCAATCAGCGCCTCCCATGGAAATCCGCAACAACAGTGGAGTTAAGAGTGCGTTGCCGACCTTGTGGGGATTAGGGATTTAGAGATTTAGTGATTAGGGGAGGATTCGCAAGATTAGACTTGAGATAGAATGTAAAATAGGCAGTCTTTTTTGATTTGGAGATTTTGGGATTGGGGGAGAGGAAGGATTGGGTCTCCGATAACCTCACTCACACGGCGAAACACAACGCTGTGGTTGTTTCACGACGGTTTTCTGTGAGGCCGTGGTAGGTATCATTCCGGTCGAGCCGACCTATTCGTGCTAAAGCATGGCTCTTCCACAATTTAAGGCGAGAATGAGGTGGAAGGGCTTATTATAATAATAATCCTTACCCTTTGTTTCCATTATTCACAATAGTCCTACACTAACCGGGGACTGTCCTTGGGTGCATTCCCATAGTGCATACAGGGATAGTTGCCGGTTTGTGTCCCATTTCAATTAGATTGTTGTCTAAAGGGCCTCTGCGCAGTTGGCTCCGGCCCCTCGTACAGATCCCGGCACGTAACTTGGCAAGAGTCGTTAAATGCGCAGAAGTCATATTTTAGATGTCTACGGTACGCAAGCGGGGCGCGGGGTGTGTGACAACGCCGAGCCGAGTGCGTGATTGGTGCGTCAGTAGACCCTTGCCCCCCGCACTGTGTCCACGTCCCGAATACACTTGCGTGCCCTAAAGTTGATCTCTTTGTTTTTGTTAAGTTTAAATTTTATTGTTTGGTTTTTGTTATATGTTATTGTTACGAATTGTTGTTGTTTTTTTTAACTTTGCTTTTGGTTATTACAATGCCTTGATCAAACGTTATTTTACATAGACAGGCCAGAAAAATGGTCTATGATGTGTATTGTTACATATCAAAAGAAACTCTCACTGAAAAAGAGACGGTTAAACGTTAATTTTAAATTAATTTAGGTATTTTACTAGCACCTAATAAATATCACGAATTAATTTCCTTCCATTTAAACAGATATTGTAAATATATTATGGCAATAATCATAAAAAAATTACAATCACTAAAAGGGACCACTTTTTTTTTCATTAAGTGCACGATGCGCGAACTTGCCCCCACTACTCCAACTTCTTGCCAAGTTAGGTGCCGGCTACTGTACGCCTTCCAAATGACCGGGACCCTGTGGTCCCGTGATTGGTAAAGACATACATAATAATTATTATTTTGTATGATCCTTTCCGTTCACGAAGGCCGAAGCCAACTCGCAGAGGCCCGTTGAACAACTTCAATATAAGTAAAATGGGACATCAGCCGGCAATTATCCCTGTATGCACTATGACAGAGCACCCAAGGATAATCCCCGGTTGATGCAAGACTATTGCGAAATGTGGTAATAATTCAAAGGGTTATGGGTATGGGTTGCTATGGACTGGTGGATATGATAACTATGGAAATACTATGGCCCCTGCCCCTGACCAATATTGATACATACGGATAAACAGGCAGGGGGTGACTGGCAAACTCAATTAATGGGCCCCCGGAAACGGCCGCTAGCATGTAGCGACACGGGGGCAACATACGTTGAGCTGCTTGGGGAAGGAGAGGCATCCCACGGCTATCAGAGCAATCCCGGAAGTACGGTCAAGACCCCTACCAGCACCTTACTGAGATACATCCTTCCCCCGAGTCTCCTTCAACTCCTACTCTTGCGAGTCTCCACTCAAGCCAGCCAATTAAGGCAAGAATGAGGCAGGAGGGCTTGTTCCTCATCACTGATGATGATCACACACTGATGAGTCATCAGTGTTCACTCCAGCTAGTCACGGGGACTAACCGGAGATGAAGGACAAGACACCTCCCAGGAGTCAGGTCCGTGGGGTCGCCACTGCCCAACAGCTCGCCAAAAGCTGCCTTGCGGATTAATTATTATTATTATTATTTGTCCCCAGTGACCTTGATTCTGACGATACGGATCTAGATTACGAGGGTAGCGATGAAGATGCTGACGCGAATGGATTCTGCAGCAGCAGGAATGCTAACAGTAAGTATTACCCATTACCCACGTTTTTGTTTTTTTTTTATTTTTAAATAGGTGGGCAAACGAGCTGACGGATTACCTGATGGTAAGCAATCTGCGTCACCTATGGATATTTGCAATTCTAGAGTAGGTACAAGTGTGTTGCTAGCCATTTGTGGATTAGAATTTTGGATAATTTAAGGAATGGAGAGGGATGGTGCGAGGGTCCATCCTTCCACTCATACGGCGTACAATGCTGTGGTTGTTTCACGTCGGTATCTCGTCAGATAAGTTCAATCAAATTCATTCTATTTTCTAATTAATTTTCTTCTACAACTACTGAACAGTTCTGAATGTAACAGAGATGAAATATATAGTCTGGAATAACACAAAACCCTGGAAAGCACGGTCTGCGGGCGGCGAGTAAGGGTAGATCGCCGCTTGACCAGAACCAGCCCGAGCGTAGGGCGCGTAGCGTTCCGCGCGCGTCTCAAAGAGCCAATAGACCACCACAGACGGGGCCCTATAGGGCTGATGTTCAGCCTGGGCTGCGGGGTAAGCGCAATTAGGCACCGCGACTTTGGCCCAAATCAGGAGAAGGAACGAGGGTTTTTAGTCAGTAAGAGCCGGACACTCTGTGCGGGAGAAGTAATTTGATGATTTTTCCCCTCACAATAAAAAAAAAAACGATGGAATTCGAATTTACCTCTGAATAATTGGCCATTATTTTTCAGCGACAATGGGCGTCCGTATCGAGTATAAGACAGCTCATGAAGCCGAGGCATTCGATATAGAACGAACGAAGAAGATCAACCCTGCGCCCATGCCTGATGAGGAAGACGATGCCAGGGATAGAGCGCAGCATGATGAACTAATACGCCAGGGTAGCGCTCCTGAAGAGGTCAGTGACACTATTTAAACTCCTGTACTTCTTAAACCGTAATGAGATGCCACTTCCTCTTTCTGTCAAGTATCCTCAATGTTTTATGATCGTTGCCTGTATAGTCTCCTTCGATAAATGCACTGGATGGAGTGGACCAAAACAAAAATAATACGGTAGTTTCCAACTAGTCAAATTCAATACTTTTATCCAAATGTCAAAAACTATACTTTTCTATGAAATTTGTATGTTACACTGAGTTATGACGTCATAGTTTTTCTGCGTCAAATAGCTTACTTGTTTCTTGATAATTAGCAAAAAGATAAATAAAACTTAGTGTATCGATCGATCGATGAATAAAAGTATAGTTATTTTTCAATATTTTACTGTAATAGTTGAAACGTCGAATTATTTTATTTTTGACCTAGGAAAGTACAAAATTGTTTAAAGGAGATTAACACGTTCAAAAAACACACTCTCCATCTTTTTTTGCGAACTATTATATTAAATTAAATAAAAATCTTAGTTTACTCACATGAATATGCTGAAGAAGCCCTCTGTGGTTCGAAAGTTCGGGATTTTTAGTTACTAGCTATTTTTGCGCGGTTTCACCCGCTGCTCGGTTCCATTTGATTGTAGCGTGAGCTTTTATATCCTACAGCACTCGGGAACATTGTAGCTATCTATCAGTGAAAGAATTTTGGCAATCCGACCAGTGGTTCCAAAGATTACCCCCTACATACAAACTTACAAATTTTACCTCTTTCTTTCTTTCATTCTTTCTTTCTTTCTTTCTTTCTTTCTTATTGCATTTTTATGCTGACGGTCCCAGCTCAATGCGCCGCCATTTCTAATCCCATTCTTAATTGGCACGGGTAATAAATATGTATGATCTTTTGTATACTTACCTATGTTTCACAAAAAAACTTTTTGACTTTCATAAAATCTAATTTCTATCCACAGTACATACAAAAATTCCGTTCAGCCGTCTCCCAGCATAAGCAAGACATCATAGACAAACATCAACTAATAACCAAAGAGGATGACATAACAGAAATCCTACCGGAAACAAAAGAAACCTACCACAGCTCTATAATCTGCAATAAAACAGAGAGACAAGCCATAGACGAACTATTCCCCTTCGGCACAGAGGAATTAGAAATTAAAAACGGACAGATCGACATAGAGAGTATTGAACGAAACAAACGGGTGTTGCTAGAGCGAATAAAGAAAAATCTACCAAACTACCAAGTGAACAAATTGAATTGTTTCTCAATGAAGGATATTAATATTGATTCGAAAGATTATGTTAATGAGAAACTTGTTAATGTTGGTTTTGATACCAAAGACGGGTATCAGAGTGTTTCTAAGGGGGATGGGGAGTTCGTGCCTTATTACACGGATGGGAGGGGGGGCAAGGACTTCGATTTTGACTTCCAACCCGTGCTAGAAGGTCACCCTGGACCGAGTCCTAGTGTTATTTTGCAAGTAAGTTTTTATTTTTATTATACCCAACCAAGTTACCTACCTACACTTTTCACGCTGCCCTACCTACCCTACTCTACCTATCCTACCATACATTACCTACCTTACCCTACACTATTACCTACCTTACCCTACCCTACTTTACCTACCTTACCCTACCTACCCTACCTACTCTACCCTATCCTTAGTCCTTCTTCCAGTTCGTAGGTACAAACGGAACAACTCTCTGTGTGATCCACAAACTGTTGTTCCGGGTCTGGGTGGGATGTGTATGTAAAATTGTATGTTTGTAAACGCACCCACGACACAGGAGAAAATACTAGCGTGGGGCAACGTTTTGTTTAAAAAACTCCTTCCGTCTGCCCTCCATACTCCTAAGTAACTATTTAGTTACTAGGTATTGATTTAATTTGGTATTATTTGATTTGATTCGATTTAATTTGATTTGATTCGATTTGATTTGATCTTATCTATCTTTCATTATATTTTTCAGGCACTTACAATGTCTAACGCAAACGATGGGATAAATTTGGAAAGACTCGAGACGATCGGCGACAGTTTTCTGAAGTTCGCTATAACAGCTTATTTATACTGTGCGCACCCTACCGTACACGAGGGGAAACTTAGTCATATGCGGAGTAAGCAGGTATGTCATATTCATTTTATATATTTTACTAGCGACCCGTCCCGGCTTCGCACAGGTAGACAATGCTGATACTAAATTTCTCCACTATTTAATGGATGTTATTATACATATAAACATTTCTCTTTAATCACTCTATCTATTACAAAGCCGCATCAAAATCTGTTGCGTAGTTCCAAAGCTTACATAGGGATATAGGGACAGAGAAAGCGACTTTGTTCTAAACTATGTAGTGACAATGATATCTTCATTATAATATGAATTCAATTTACACTTCAGTCTAAGTAACACGTCAAAAATTTAAAAATGGAAATAATTGAATTATGCGGTATTTCGTTCACTACAAAATAAATTTAATTAATTTTATAGCGTCAACAACACGTGATAATTATGCTGTTAAAATGTAGCTTAAATGACACGTTCATAGATTTTACTATTGATTACTTACTCAACCCAGTCAACAGATAAATGTGACTGTCAAATAATAACAGACAAATAATTAGCAATAAATTAAAATTGCGACTATAATTTGAGATTAAAACTGACCTATATCTCAAGTTGGATCGAACTGCACATGGTGTGCGAATTTTTGTTTATAATCGGTTTAGTGGTTTAGGAGTCCATTGAGGACAAACATTGTGACGCGAGATTTATATATATTAAGATTTATTTATTTATTATAAGGTAGGCTCACAGCTTATGTATACAAAGTAGTTAGAAGTATTCGTTATAGGTAGTAGAACTTATAAATTAGCCAGTTACGAGCTAACCAACATTCATAAAATACGGTAGTTTCCAACTAGTCATATTCAATACTTTGATCCAAACGTCAAAAACGATACTTTTCTATGAAATTTGTATGAAAAACTGAGTTGTGACGTCATAGTATTTTTGTGTCAAATAGCTCACTTATTTCTTAATAATTAGCTAAAAAAATCTAAACAGGACACAACTACATTGTGGTTGTTTCACGCCTGGTTTTCTTTGAGGCCGTTATGTCACTCCGGTTGAACCCACCCATTAAATAATGGGTGGGTGGGGCCACGCTTAAAATACTCGTTCTTCTCCATTCGAATCTACAATTTGGAACGAGCACCTAGCAACACTGACGAACAGAATGACAGACTACTATTCTATTTTGACGTTTCAAAAGTACCTATAGTTTTTTTTTTGTGAGGGGAAAATCATCAAATGACTTCTCCCGCCCAGGGCCGGGCAGGAGGGAGTGTCAGACTCTTACTGACTAAAAACCCCCCTGTTCCTTCTCCTGCTCTGGGCCGAGGTCGCGGTACTTCATTGCTCTTACCCCGCAACCCCGGCTGAAAAAGTACCTATAGTGTGGTTTACTTGGAATAAAAGAATTCGATTTTGATTTTGACTTTGATTGCCATGCTCTTGCCTAAGAATAACGTAGTCACGCAGTTTTGTCAGTCAAAAATTAATTATTTTCACTTATAAAACAATAAACATATTTACTTAAAAAATAATCACGTTTTCATTTATGTGTTGTTATCACATACGTAATTTATAGAAGCTTTTGCCCGCGACTTTGTTCGCGTGGAATAGTGACTTCCTGCAGATTTTTGGTATAAAAACTATCCTATGTCCTTTCTCGAGTTCCAAACTACGTCTGTACCAAATTTCACAGAAATAGGTTCAGTAGTTTAGGCGTGAAGAAAAGACAGACTGAGTTACTTTCGCATTTATAATAATAAGTCTTTACCTATGACTTTTAAAAAATTTAAAAGATTTTTTTGATTTGAAATGCGATGTAAATGTAACACTAATCAATAAACAAATGACTACTTTTGGAAAAAGAATCCCATGTTTTTAAAACAAACTTAATTAGCTTTAGCCTAACAAAAACTATTTTGATTTGAAACGGCCAGTACTGCAGAACGGCAATGTCATAGGTAAAGAACTATTATAAGTTTTGATATTTTAGTATAATTATTGAAATTGCATTAAGTATTGGTAAATTGTCATTTTTTTTTTCTTCAAACAGGTATCAAATCTGAACCTCTACCGTTTGGGACGCAATAAAAGACTGGGCGCTCGTATGATTGCTTCCAAATTCGAACCACACGACAATTGGTTACCCCCGTGTCACAAACCACCCCCTACATTACATCCCAGATTGAATGTAAGTAATTTTTTAACCATTCTCCTGTCTTCATAGTTATACACCGGCTCCACACGTTGGCCCCGACGTTGGCCCTTAACTCGCAGTAAATATTGGCCAAAGGTATTGGGCCAACTTATTGGTCGTGTTGGCCCGGAGGGTCGTGGTGGCCTGGAGGTTAAGGAGCCCGCTTCTCATGCATAAGGGCGTGGGTTCGAAACCTGGGAAGTACCAATGTGACATTTTCCGAGTTATATGTACTTTCTATGATTATTAAGACACCACTTACATACGGTGAAGGAAAACATCGTAAGGAAACCTGGACTTGTGATTTCATGGTGATTAATGCTCAAACCTTCTCCGTGTGAGAAGAGGCCGTTGCTCAGCAGTGGGCGCTTATAGGCTGATGATGATGATGATGATTGGCCAAACGTGTAGAAGGCTACTTGGCAATATTTTGGTAGCGATGTACGGGTTGGCGCCAATATTGGCGAGAAAACTGAATGTTGTCGGTTTTGCGTCCACGCATCAAAGAATCTTGGCGCGCCGCTACATTCGTCGAAGGAGGAGCTACGAGTGCGTCGCCGACCTTATTAGGATTAGGGATTTGGAGATTTTATGATTGGGGGAGGATAAGGATTAGGGCCCGGTAACCTCACTCACATGGCGAAACACAACGCTGTGGTTGTTTCACGCCTGTAAGGCCGTGATAGCAATCCGGTCGAACCGCCTTATCCCTTCCTAATCCTTTAATATCCAAAACCCTTATCCCTAAAAGGCCAGAAACGCACTCGTAACTCCTTTGGTGTTGATTGCTTACCATCAGGTAATGCGTTTGCTGACTTCTACCATAATAAAAAAGGAGACTTAACAAATTCTCCTTAAATTTTTGGAGGTATGAGAGAACAGGTTGGAAAGTTCTTCATCCTCCATTGAAAAGGGAGGATCCTTCGACCAGACTGGTGTCATGTCTGGGGGGCTACTGCCCGACGGTTGTTGTCGGTATTTTTGTATCGGTTCTAATTGTGTAAAGAACTCTTATACCGCGATGTAGAATCTTGCACGTGATTAGTGCTGTTGTTAATGTTGTGCGATAGATGTCGCTACAAATTATCGTTGCAATTAATATAATTTTTTATTCACAGGGTGAGGGTAAAGATATGATGCAGCATTTGGAAACTCCTCTAGACGCCGCTGGTTGCTTCATACCGTATAACCTGATAACCCAGCATAGTATACCTGGTAAGTGTCTTTAGTCCAATAGCCAATCCGCCTTTAGCAAGCGTGGTGATTAATGCTCAACCCTTCACCGAGTGAGAAGAGGTCTTTGCTCAGCAGTGGGCGCTTATAGGCTGATGATGAGGGCCAATCAGAGTTCATAATTGTGACAATTTTATATTTACTTTATGGAATGCAGTAAACAATATGAAATCTTTCGACTAACATTAGAATAATTTGACAGTTTGGTTGGGCGCGAATTGTCGAGTATTAAACGAAGACATACTGTCTTCCTTAAATTTTGTCTTCAATAATAAGTTACAAGAAGAATAATAAGTGGCAACTCTTGATATTGCAATAACAATTATTACAACTTAATTAAGGATGATTAAGATAAACTTGGATTTGAACTAAACGTCCAACGAGCACGTGGCTGCGTGCGCGTTCTATGAAGGTCCAACACTAAGTGTCCTGTTTTACACCTACCTAGGTGTGACCAGATTCTGGCCATATGGTCGTATGGTCCATATCCACCTATTTGAAATAAATAATTTGACTTTGACTTTGACCTTTGACTTTTGAATTTGACTTTGACTTTGACTTTTGACTTTGAGTTTTGACCTTGACTTTGACTTTGATTTTTGAATTTTGACGTTTGACTTTGATGATATTTCAGATAAGTCAATAGCGGATTGCGTGGAAGCCTTAATAGGGGCTTATCTCCTTGAGTGCGGGCCTCGTGGAGCCCTGCTGTTCATGTCCTGGCTAGGAATCAGGGTGCTACCGTGTCACCATATAGAACTGGACGAAAACCACCCTTATGTCAAGCGAGCTAAGAAAGTGGAGAAAGAAAATCAGGTGAGAAATTAATTTTATTTATTTAGACTTTTCAATGGTTAGATAATAGTTACCCGAGGAATAATAATGATTCTGTCGCGTCAGAATGTTTGTATAAGACAGTGACGGCAACAATTTTATTCCTCAGATAACAAAATTTATTTGACTTTTGAAAAATCACTACAGAATAAATATATTTGCACGGTTCTCGCACATTATATTATTTTTCACATTGACCTCTGAGTTTGTTTCGGCATTTCTTCTCAGAGTAGTCAGATAGGAGCTCCATCTAGTTTTTTTTGTTAAATATAATTTTGACGTGTAAAAGTGCTGTTTTATGGCCTATTTCTAAAAAATAAATTAGTTTTTTTATTGTTTTATTAACAACTAGCGGCCCACCCCCGCTTCGCACGGGTCAACTATCTCGTTAACAATGTAAGGGTCTCTTTTCCCCAATTTTCCCCTCTACTTTTTTAATATTTTCCTTCACAAGAACCTTCTCCTGACAATAATAAATACAAAATAAAAGGGTTTGGAAAAATTGGTCCAGTCGTTTTTGAGTTATGCGCTTACCAACACATTTTGCGATTCATTTTTATATAACAGAAATATATGTATAATATACCCCACCAGGAGAAAACAGCCCCCTCAAAAGCAGACCTCAAGCGCAGTTCCTCAACATCCTCCTGTTCTGATGATGAGAGCCCTCCTCATCAGGAAGTATTCCCAGAGGAGGACTGGTCGTGGCCCTCCAGAGCTGTGGGATCGTTGCAACCGTATAGAGACGCGCAGGGGAAATGGATGCAGGTAAACATTGATATATTTATATCTATACTAATATTATAAAGAGGTAATATTTGTAAGTTTGTATGTAGGGGGTATCTTTGGAACGGCTGGTCGCATTGCCAAAATTCTTTCACTGATAAATAGCTACAATGTTCCTGAGTGCTATAGGCTATAAATGATACTGATTTGCTTATTTTAGTAGGGTTGGTAGCTATCGCTTTAAACGCTGCTTATTTATTTATTGGTATACCAACAGCACACATATTATAAACTATATACTAGTAATAAATATAACAACCAAAGACCAAATAAGCATGCCTATTACACACAGCGTTCAAACATAAACAACTTAATTATTTAAGAGAAGAAGAAAAGAGATAATCTACTAATAATATAATGAATAATATTGACAATATTAAAGAACCAATAATAGCGATCAAACAATCTACACGTCCCCGCCGTCTTGCTTATTTTAAAATCCCTAGATATATTACTGTCATACGCGTGCGAAGCCCTGGGCTGTAGCTAGTTTCATATAAAATTGACATGTTTCAGATTTCCACGTATACATTTGACTTGTTTAGATTATAGCCTATAGCACTCAGGAACATTGTAGCTATATATCAGTGAAAGAATTTTGGCAATCCGACCAGCGGTTCCAAAGATTACCCCCTACATACAAACTTACAAATTTTACCTCTTTATAATATTACTATAAGTAGCTTGTTGTAATGTCTATTTTTTAACGTTAATTAGCAGAAAAATTACCTTCACGAAGCACATCGTAAAATTAATTAATGAAAGTTTTATTATTTTCAAATATTGATGTAAGTAATAATTTCTTTTGTGCAAAAAAAGTTATCTTATCCCAAACTTAAATAAATCGTTCGCTAAACAGAAAAGAGGCCTAACTCAAAAAATAAAGTATTTGACTCTTAAAAATTATACTTCAATAATAAGGTTCAATTTTGGAATATCCTCTTTTATGAGTTAGTCCTTTTTTCTATTTAACATGCGAAATATGATCCTGTTACGTCGTTCTTTATCCAAATTTTTTTGCAGCCGATATTTGGTGAGTTGAGGGCGCCACCGTCGCCTTTGCTCCGATACATCGAAGACCCTGAAGGGGAATTGGAGCAGATGCTGTCAGGTGAGATTTTTGCAATACGGTAGTTTCCAACTAGTCAAATTCAATACTTTTATCCAAATGTCAAAAACGATACTTTTCTATGAAATTTGTATGAAAAATTGAGCTATGACGTCATAACATTTTTGCGTCAAAAAGCTTACTTATTTCTTAATAATTAGCTAAATAAAAATCTAAAACTTAGTGCATCGATAGATCGATGAATAAAAGTATAGTTATTTTTTAATATTTTATTGTATTGAAACGTCGAATTATTTTATTTTTGACCTAAGAAACTAAGCAATTGTTATTCGTAATATATAAGAAGCTTTAATTTAACTAACAATGTATGTAAGTATTTTTGTAATAACAATACAAAATTTTCCATGGTGTTTGGCGACTGGGCTTGTTCTATAGGTCGGCATACGAGCAAACGGATTACCTGATGGTAAGCAATCAGCGTCGCCCATGGACAACCGCAACGACGGAGGAGTTACGAGTGCGTTGTCGACCTTTTGAAGGTTTTGGGAAAGGGAACGGATTGGGGTAGGGTAAGGATTGGGCCTCCGGTAACCTCACTCACACGGCGAAACATAACTCTTTGGTTATTTCACGCCGCTGGCCTTCTCCCAGTTGTACAGTCTCTTCTGTGCCTATAAGGCTTAAGTCATTCTGTCTCCTGCATTTATTTTACCGAGGGAAGTTGAAACTTAAGTGTGGGAGAGCCATGGGTCGGCTCGACCGGAGTGATACCACGGCCTCACAGAAAACCGGCGTGAAACAACCACAGCGTTGTGTTTCGCCGTGTGATTGAGGTTACCGGAGGCCCAACCCTTCCCCGCCCCCAATCCCTCCTCAATCCCTAAATCTCCAAATCTCTAAAAGGTCGACAACGCACTCGTAACTCATCCGTTGCGGGTGTCCATGGGCGGCGCTGATTGCTTACCATCAGGTAATCCGTCTGCTCGTTTGCCGACCATTTACATAAAAAAAACTACTTAGTTTTATAATATCTTCTGATTTATTTCGTTGTGGTATCCATTGTCATTTCAGGGTGTGGACAACATGTATGGCGTCTATAGTTTTATACAATCATAGTTAATAATGTAGTGTCTTGGAGGCCCGGGTTTGAAACCTACCAAGTACCAATGTGACTTTTCCGAGTTATATGTACTTTCTATGATTATTCAGACACCACTGACATACGGTGAAGGAAAACATCGTGAGGAAAACCTGGACTTATAATTTCTAAATATAAGTTTGAAATCGCCAATCCGATTTAAAGCAAGCGGTGTGGTTAATGCTCTAACCTTATCCATGTGAGAAGAGGCCTTTGCTCAGCAGTGGGCACTTATAGGCTGATGATGATGATGAGTTTATAATGTATATTTTCTCCTCAAAGGTTACGACGCCCTTGAAAGGACCCTGCAGTACAGATTCAAAGATCGCTCTCTATTACTTCAAGCTTTAACCCACGCCTCACATCACAGTAATCGACTTACGGACTGTTATCAACGACTGGAGTTCCTGGGAGACGCCATTTTAGGTAAGTTTGTTTTTTTTTCGACATGTCATAAAGTATTCTAGGGCTTTTTCTTGGTTTCTATTTTTCATTTTAGCGATATTTTCAACGTGATTTTTTCTTTAAACTTTGGGAGTTGCGTAAGTAAGACAGCGTAATACGATCTAAAGAATTTGATTTGGAAATCACAGCTTATATATACAGGGTGTAAAAAGACACTTAACGAAGCCGAAAGCCACGTATTCTACCCATTATTTGGATATTTTTTTTCTTTAAGACTATAGCTGGGACTCCACGGGTGCTCGAGGTATTGAAGGTCAAAGATGCATTTTTATTTTTATTTTTTTTTCGTGACATTACATACAAATTTTTTTGCGCAATCGAATTCTAAGTATCATTACAAAACTTTTTTCCAAACAAACATTACCTGAATTTTCGAAAGGGATTTGGAGATTTAGGGATTGAGATTGGGCCTCCGGTAACCTCATCACACGGCGAAACACAACGCTGTAGTTGTTTCACGCCGGTTTTCCGTGAGGCCGTGCTATCGCTCCTTTCGAGCCGACCCATTCGTGTCGAAGCATGGCTCTCCCACATTTATTTTTTTTCTTAGTAAAATTATCATTGAATTCGCGCAACTTGATCCAGGTTTGATTCCCGCACGGAACAACTCTTTGTGTGATCCACAAATTGTTGTTCCGGGTCTGTGTGTGATGTATATGTGAAATTGTATGTTTGTAAACGCACCCACGACACAGGAGAAAATCCTAATATGAGTCAAAAGTTTATTTATTTATTTATTTATTTATTTATTTATTTATTTAGTATAAAAAATCTTCCTACACTCTCATTACAGGTTATGTTCCCAATACGACAGTGAGGCTTAACCTAGTATAAAATGAACTCAAAGTACTAAAAAGAAATTATACAAAAAGAAAACAAAAATAATAAAAGTAACAACAATAACAGCAATAACAAAGAGAGACTTTCGATATATATACATCTTAACCTATGTTTTATAACACTAGATACTAAATTACCTTACATAATAACTACAACTAACCTAAGATTAAATGTAAAAAAAAAAATACAACATGAGGAACTATTCACTATCGTAACTTAAAATAAATAATAATGCTCTTGCGAATTCACTCGAAGGAGTTGTAAATATATCAATCCGATTGTGGAGCTTATTAATGATATGGATTGCGCGAGTCAGTGGTGCTTTAGCGAGAAGGTTGGTCCTCGCCGTTGGCACTGCCAATATTGGCGGGCGCCGCCGTCTCCACACGTAGCGGTCTGGTACAGATATATTCAGGTGACGCAGTACTCCCGGGTTATGCTCCAGACCGCGGAGCAACTTCACCAAGTAGGCAACTAAGGCAAATTTTCGTCGTACACCGAGTTGATTGTATCCCACCATGCCTAGCACAAACAGAGTGGGATACATCAGCGGGTAGTACGGATACACCCCATACAGTTTCCAGTACAAATGTCTCGTGAACTTATTCTGCACCCGTTCCAACATTACATTGTACTTTGCCTCATATGGATCCCATATGACAGCACTATGTTCGAGATGACTCCTGACTAATGCGTCATACAGGACCCTAACTGTTGCAATGTTGGTGAAGCTCCTCGTCTGCCTCATAACAAAGCCAAGGTTTCTAAATGCCCTTTTGCAGATCTTTATAATATGGTCGCGAAATGATATTTCCTTCGTTACCACTGTGTAATTATTATTATTATTCCAGATTATCTAATAACTCGTCACCTATATGAAGACCCGCGGCGTCACTCGCCGGGCGCGCTCACCGACCTACGCTCAGCATTAGTCAACAATACGATATTTGCAACTTTGGCGGCTCGACATGGTTTCCATAAGTAAGTATATATTTTACTAGCTATTCTCGCGCGGTTTCACCCGCTGCTCGGCTCCATTTAATCGTAGCGTAACGTTTTACAGCCTATAGCACACAGGAACATTGTAGCTATCTATCAATGAAAGAATTTTGGCAATCCGATTTGAGGTTCCAAAGATTACACCCTACATACAAACTTACAAATTTTACCTCTTTATAATATTAGTATAGATGACCTGATGATAAGCAACCAACGCCACCCATGGACAAACGTAACACCAGAGGAGTTACCGGCCTTTTAGGGTTTCGGATATTTTGGGATTGGAGGAGAGAAAGAAGGATTGGGCCTCCGGTAACCTCTCTCATATGGCAAAACAACGCTGTGGTTGTTTCACGCCGGTTTTCTGTGTGGCCGTGGTATCACTCCGGTCGGCCTTGACTCTCCCACACTTATTATTATGATGAGATTATCGGAGGAACTCCAAATCCTCAAAAGGCCGGCAAATGCACTGCTCCTCAAGAGTTGGAAAAGTCCATGGTCGGCGCCGATTGTTTACCATCAGGTAATCCGTCTGCTCATTAGCCGACCTATAAAAACCTATAAGTAAAATGGTATAGATAGGTTTCTTAAACAACATTCGCTTTTCAAAAACGACACACTGATACACACTTGAATAAATCGTATGATACACGTTAAAGTGAGATGGCATGATTCAATAATCGCGAGTGAAAAAGAGACAAATATGAAAAAGTGTGGCTAGTTAGCCACATTTTAATGTATCACTTGCTGAGCGCTTGTAACCTATCTACACCTTCTTACTTATAATATCATTGTAAAAAACAGTACTTTTAATAAATATTAATTTTTCGACAGATATTTCAGACATATGTCGCCTGGACTGAATGAGGTTTTGACTAAATACGTCAAAATACAAGAGGAGAATGGTCATTCTATTAGTGAAGAGGTTTGTCAACATTTTTCTAAATAATTTCCCAATCCTTCCCCTCCCCCAATCCCTCCTCAATCCCTAAATCTCCAAATCCCTAATCCCTAAAAGGTCGGCAACGCACGCGTAACTACTCCGTTGCGAGTGTCCATGGGCGGCGCTGATTGCTTACCATTGTGTAATCCGTCTGCTAGTTTGCCGATCGATTACATAAAAAAAAAATATTTATGCACATTACACATATATATACATCTGACTGCACGGTTGGTGCGGTGGCTGGGCAACTGGCTGCCGCGCAACGTGTCGCGGGTTCGATTCCCGCACGGAACAACTCTTTGTGTGATCCACAGATTGATGTTCCGAGTCTGGGTGTGATGTGCATGTGAAATTGTATGTTTGTAAACGCACCCACGACACAGGAGAAAATCCTAGTGTGGGGCAACGTTATTTATAAAAAAGAAAAAAAAGAAAGAGAAAAACATAAAGTTAATAGGAAAACGAATACAGAAACATAGATAATACATAAGTAATATATTCGGCAGGGATGTCTAATTCCGGAGTGTATCCCATGCCTGTGCCAAATTTCATTCAGATCCGTCCAGCCGTTTTGGCGTTATTGAGTAACAAACATCCAATCACTGTAACTTTCGCATTTATAATATTAATAAGATGAGTTTTTGTTTATATTTTTCAGCATTATTTAATCCAAGAGGATGCTATGGAGCAAGCCGAAGATGTAGAGGTTCCCAAAGCGTTGGGTGACCTGTTCGAATCAGTGGCAGGCGCTATTTTCTTGGATTCAGGTAAAATAACCAATTAACTTTTGTAAATAAATATCTTACTATATAGGTATGTATCGGGCACGCTACTATAGCAGCGGTAAGACCCCTCTTTGAGGAGTGGCTTGAGAGACGCCACGGCGTCCTCACCTTCCGCCTGACGCAGGTGCTTACCGGGCACGGCAGCTTCGGTAGGTTCCTGTTTCGGATCCAGCGGGAGGAAACGTCCGAGTGTCGTCATTGTGAGGACCACCTAGGGGATACGGTGGAGCATACGGTAGCGGTATGCCCTGCCTGGGCTGAGCACCGCCGTATCCTCAGGGAAGTGATCGGCGGCGGCGACCTCTCGCGCCCGGCCTTAGTCGAGGCCATGGTGCGGAGTGAGAGGAACTGGGAAGCCGTCTTCTCCTTCTGCGCTGAAGGAGGAGATCGATTCGAGAGAGCAATTTCTTCAGCTTTATAATAAAATAATAAATAATAATAATATATAGTATAGGTTTATCCATATGTATAATAACGTCCATTAAATAGTGGAGAAATTTAGTATCAGCACCCGTGTAAAAGCGACTCCCCCCGCCATGTTGGTAGTAATTGAAAAATAATGTTTCCAGGTATGTCTCTGGGCGCTGTATGGAAATCGTACGTAAACTTGATGGGCGCTGAGCTCGAGGCTTTCAGTGCGGCGGCGCCCAAGTCTCCCGTTCGTGAACTGCTCGAAGCTGAACCCGATACCGCTAAATTCGGGTAAGTAGATTTAATATAAATTTATGTTTTTTGAACAAGGGTTTCATCCAATTACATTGACACAAAAATTAAAAGCATAGAGAAAAAACTCAACATGAATATTTTTTAATAAAAAAAGACTGACTTCAAAAAGTAGACTTAAAGGCAAAAATTTTTTTTTTAATGTAATAAGTCGGCAAACGAGCAGACGGTTTACCTGATGGTAAGCAATCAACGCCGCCCATGGACACCCGCAACGGAGGAATTACGAGTGCGTTGCCGACCTTTTAGGGATTAGGGATTTGGAGATTTAGGGATTGGGGAAGGGGCCAGGAAGGGGAAGGATTGGGCCTCCGGTAACCTCACTCACACGGTGAAACACAACGCTGTGGTTGTTTCACGCCGTTTTTCTGTAAGGCCGTGGTATCACTCCGGTCGAGCCGACCCATTCGTGCTGAAGCATGGCTCTCCCACACTTAATCTCGATTAATTTGCTTTTTTTATTTTTTTTATTCAATAACGTTCATCAATAATATGTATGACAGAATATACATAAAATACATTTTCTTAATTTCATGACTGAGACAGAGTTCTTGTATGTATATCCTTAACAGATGTACACATCATTTACCGCATGTAAACATAAACATTAAACTAAGAAAAATTACGAATACATTAAAAATTAAATAAAAAATAGTACTCACTTACTTTGTACAAAAATGAAAATAACTATTTTATAATCTTGGTGCAAAGCGATCACCAATACGAATTATTCAAGCAACTACTCCAAATAGTCAAGGAGATCCCTCGAATGTCTTCCGGCTCCATCGCCAGGTCGAGTTCGACCATCGGCAAGTTGTAGTGTTGTAAAAAGCCTACTAAACAACATACAAAAAAGCACTACTCGCACCTACATTTTTTGAAAGTTCCCCTCGATTTCTCTGGTCTTCCATCCTCAGATCCTGATATTCCGGAGTATCTCCTTTCCAACAAAAAAAGAATTATCAAAATCGGTTTATTTATCAATAAAAATATTTAATAGTTTATTTATCAAATAATTAATTTATCAATAACGGAGATATCGGCGAATAAGATCTTTTAACTATACCAATATAAGTTATCACCTCCAAACACACACACACACACACACACATACAACCACACACAAACACACACACAACCACACACACAACCACACACACACACACACACACACACACAAACACACACACACACACACACACACACACACACACACACAAACACACACAAACACACACACAAACACACACACAAACACCCTGTCACACAAACACACACTCATTCACGTTTCTTTTTTCTTTTTCTTTTTTGTAAAAAAGTTAAATTAAAGTAATAGTAATTAATATCTAAATTAGGAACAAAAGGTCTTAAATCTGTAATGTTCTCGCTGTTCTCATGGGGGGGCCTGGTAATCTGTGTGACAGGGCTTCCTAGTGCAAATACCAGTCTCCCACAAAGGCAGAGTCTAACAAATAATGTTTTTAATTATGTTTTTAAAGTAATTGATGTAAGACACCTTTGTGGAAGACAAATAAATACATAATATTATTATTAATAAACATAAAAAAAACATGTATACAGTCGATTTGAGAATCTCCTTCTGTTGTACTACGCTATTTGACGCAAATATACTATGACGTCATTATTTGGATTTTATGGAAAAGTTACGTTTTTGACATTTGGATAAAAGTATTGAATTTGACTAGTTGGAAACTATAGTTTTTGTGAATCACACAAAAAGATGTACCGTTACGTATAATTCTGTTGTACGTGTGTATGTCATTGAACACCTCCTAAACGTCTTGACCGATTTAAACGATTTTCTCTGCATACATTTGAGTGGCGCCCTGGATGGTTTAAATTCGCAAATCAGCCCAGCAGATGGCGTTGACTGCTTAAAAAAGAACCTGATCTCGGAAACGGCCCTAACGATTTCGTTGAAATTTGACATGTAGGGGTCTGGATGGGTCTGCTAGTAATTTATGTTTTTTTTCTCCACAGTAAACCGGAGCGCTTGGCCGACGGACGTCGAGTACGCGTATGCGTCGAGGTCTTCGGTCGCGGTACATTTAAAGGTGTCGGAAGGAACTATAGGATAGCTAAAGGCACCGCCGCTCGATGCGCACTCCGACATCTAAAGGTCCACAGAACTCGCTAGTTAAGCAGCTCAGTTAATAAGGTAAAATCTATACTAATTCCACCAGACCCAGCCACGCGTCGCTGTGGCTAAGATTCATCTTATATGACATACTAACTACTCTCGCGCGGTTCCACCCGCTGCTCTGCTCTATCTCATCGTAGCGTGATGTTTTATAGCCTATAGCACTCAGGAACATTGTAGCTATCTATCAGTGAAAGAATTTTCGCAATCCGACCAGCGGTTCCAAAGATTTCCCCCTACATACAAACTTACAAATTTTGCCTCTTTATAATATTAGTATAGATGGACAAATAATTTGCAATAAAATAATATTGTGACTATAAATTGAGATGTAAGCTATCCTATCTTTCAAGTTGGATCAAAATGCATACGGAATGCAAATCAAATTTAAAATCGGTTTAGTAGTTTAGGAGTACATCGCGGACGAACATGTGACACGAAATTTTTTCTATATAAAGAAGATTATAAACCTGTACCCCCTTATTACAAAACAAGCTTTATCTTTAGTCCAGGTTTAAACCATTGAGTCGGGTTTTGAATTTTGAATCTTATTGTCATCTACCTTCAATTCGAAATACAAAAACTGGCTCAATGGTTTAGCCCTAGACTAAAGTAAAACCTTGTTTTGTAATAAGGCCGGTAGAGTTTGTTTCAACGCGGTAATCTTCGGAATGACTGGTTCGAATTGAACTATTCCTTTTTTTGTTTGTCAATCCATTTTTAGAGGAAGGCTATGTTTTATAGGCTGTAAAACATCACACTGCAATCTGAAGGAGCAGAGCAGTGGGTGAAACCGCACGAGTAGCTAGTAATACATAAAACCAGCCTATAAGTGCCCACTGCTGAGCAAAGGCCTCTTCTCACACGGAAGTTTGAGCATTAATCACCACGCTTGCTCAATGCGGGTTGGCGATTTCAAACTTATAATTAGTAGCTATAAGTCCAGGTTTCCTCACGATGTTTTCCTTCACCGTATGTCAGTGGTGTCTAAATAGTTTTATGTGTTAAAGTTTCATTAATATAAAAGTTATTAAGACTATCTGGAAAAACATCCCACTACTGAATATTATGCTAGCTTCTATTAATTAATTTTGTTAAATCCTTTTTGTTGGTACTTATAATTTGTCCCATAATTGAGTACTTGGCTTATAAATTAATTATTTCGTCACTAGCTTTTGCCCGCGACTCCGTTCGCGTGGAATAGTAACTTTTTGCAGATTTTTGGTATAAAAAAACTATCCTATGTCCTATCTCGAGTTCCAAACTATGTCTGTACCAAATTTCACAGAAATCGGTTCAGTAGTTTTTAGTTAGCGTGAAGGAAAGACAGACAGACAGAGTTACTTTCGCATTTATAATATTACTTTGGATTATCTTCGGTCAAGTGCTCAATTATGTGATAAACGGAAGCAATTTCATGTCAAGTCTTTTCTAATGCATACGGAAAGACTGATTTTTAGATTAAGATTTAGATTTATCTAGATTTTTAACTAAACAGGACACCGTAATGACCTCACATAAGCTTAAAGTAGATATTTGATGTGAAATTTGAAAAGAAATTTCTTTTACGTAGAAAATAATATAATTAATGTAGTGTATCTTATAATCAGTGATCGGAGTAGGTAGATTGAAATGGGGTCATTGATCCGAAACGTATATATTAATATGGACATTCCTCCGGAGTTAGTGGATTATTAAAAAAAAACGAAACTTAAGTAGGAATTTTATTCTGCCAGAGTGGAAGGAGTCATTTGATGATTTGCCATCCTCTAAAAAAGGTAAGAATTGTAATAAAATGAGCAATATTATTCTTTAAATCCCGGAATATCGGAATACGGTAGTTTCCAACTAGTCAAATTCAATACTTTTATACAAACGACAAAAACTTTACTTTTCTATGAAGTTTGTATAAAATACTGAGTTAAAACACCGTCAAAACATTTTTGCGTCAAATAGCTTACTTATTTTATAAAAATTAGCTAAAAGCTAAAAAATCTAAAAGTTTGTGTAATTGATCGATTGATGAATAAAAGTATAATTATTTTTCAATATTTTATTGTATTGAAACGTCGAATTAATTTATGTTTACCTACGAAACTACCCAATTACCGTGATTACTTTACGGGAAATGGCTTATCCATATTATTCTTTCTGTGTGCTTTTATGATACAAGTACCAAAAATCAATCTACCTACTCAAATCACTGGTTATAACAGTGCGTTGGGAGCATCCATATTTTACCTATAACAGCTTATGTTAGGTTCAAGTGTGTAATCTTAGTGATTACGGCTGAGGCGAGAGTCTTAAGGATCCATCCATAATCATCAATACACACGGGTATTATACGACGTTATATTCAATGATATTAGAAGTAAAATGGTGTAGATAGGTTACATAAACAACATTCGATTTTCAAAAATGACACACTGATACACACATGAATGAATCGTATGATACACGTTAAAGTGAGATGGCATGATTTAATAATCGCGAGTGAAAAAAAGACAAATAATGAAAAAGTGTGGCTAGTTAGCCACGTTTTAATGTATCACTTGCTGAGTACTTATGACCTAGCGACACCTTTTTACAGTAAGGCCGCCGTATCTTGGCGAGTCTGAAGTTAGCCGTTTGTCTGCGCAATGGATCTTTTAGGAACAAAATTGTGTACTGCGCAGCTAATCGGCTAACTTCAGACTCGCCAAGATACGTCGGCGGAATTGTACTTATAATATCATTGCTTATATTATTTCGAAGATTCCCAAAGTCCTCCTGGCAATAAATATATACTACTCAAATCAAGAATTTGAGTGTGTTTTACCTTTGATTTAGAATAGTGCAATTTAAAATTTGATTTTATTTTAATTAATTAAGGGTTGATTTTTCAATGGTTAGATAAAAGTTGTCTGCGGAATAATTATGATGCTGTCACGTCAGAATGTTTGTGTAAGACAGTGACAGCAAAAATTTTATTCCTCAGATAACATATATCTGATTGTTGAAAAATCAGCCCTAATATATGTGTTAGTTTAATAGTTAGTGTAAGGAGAATTGAAAATATAATTATAAACTTTTAAGCCAATTAGATGTCTTTTTTATAATTATTATTACCTATATAAGGTTTTTGTAATAAGCAAGACAAGGTTTTTAATGTGGTTTTTATAAAATTTTACCTTTATTTTGAGATTTCATTACATTAATATTGTGTCACTGTAAGCAAATCTAACATGATCTGTCCCAATTCGATTGTAACGCCATCTACCTAAAACAATTTTTTTTATGGAAACTATAAGTAGTCTTACACCCGGTTTCTGAAAGGTTTGTCAACGCTAAAATTAACTAATCTCCTGTTAAATCTCTTGTCAAGTCATCTGATTGGTTGTTGATAATTCAGTCAACCAATCAGACGACTTGACAAGAGATTAAATTGATTTTAACATTGATCGGCCTTTCGGAAACCCGGTGTTACTCAATCACCTCATTCATTTATGCGGCAAGAAAGAATAATGTTATTTTAAATGCAGATGAGATCTCAAAATAAAGGTTTAGTATTATATTTTGAACTGTGAAAACGTTTGAAAATCTAAAAATATATACTTTTTCATGGCTATATTTCTTCTATGAAGGTAGGCTAGTCCATATTCAACAGTAATTTTATACTGCATTTGTTTCAAATATAAACTTTTTCTCATGGATACTTTTGCTGTTTATGGCAATTAAATACTTTTCTCTAATCAAAAATTAATTATTTCGGCTCTTCAATGCCAAAAATTATTAAGTAACCAACTTTATACGAATCCAGCTTTCGTCCGCGGCTACGCCCGCGTGGTACGTTTAATAAAATGCAGCCTATCTATTAATCCAGGTTGTAAGGGTACTTATCTATGGCTATGAGCAGCCCGTATTATCCACCAAAAAATGCTGATTTCAACGCCATCTAGCGGGAGAATGGCCATCAGCAGACTGTGTCATTCACTAATAATGAAGATTTTAACGCCATCTAACGGGAGAATGGCCCTAAACAGCCCGTATCATCCACTAAAAATGCTGATTTCAACGCCATCTAGCGATAAAATGGCCACGAGCAGCCCTTATCATTTACCTTAATATATTTCTATGATATTTTACGCAAAAATCATGAAGTCACAACTTACTGTCTTATACATAACCCATAGAGAAAGAAGGTTTACTTATTGACAAATAGACAGACAGTTCGAAACTATTGTTGAAACCTAGTTAATATAGTAGGTAATTATTAGGTTAGTCACATCATCAGCCTATAAGTGCCCACTGCTGAGGAAAGGCCTCCCATTAGTAAAAATTTTGAGTATTAATCCCCACGCTAGCTCAAGGCGGATTGGCGATGTCAAACTTAAAATTAGAAATTATAAGTCTAGTTTTTCTCACGATTTTTACCTTCACCGTATGTCAGTAGTGTCTAAATAATCATAGAAAGTACACATAACTCGGAAAAAGTCACATTGGTACTTACCAGGTTTCGAACCCACCGGGCGACCACCACAACGTTAGGTTAGTACCGATGTTCAAAATAACAAACACGGCACAATTTTTACTTTTTCCTCCAATCCGAAACTGAAGTCTGAATGAAATAGCCTCATCGTTCACATTATTAAACCATTCATTCATTTTCAAACGTACCAAGAATTGAAAGTGAATGGAAATAGGTTCAATCCGAACTGTACGGGCGAATTTCATTCAGTCTTTGAATGAACATTTTTGAATGTTTTCACAGTTGATAAGTAGATTTATAAGGTTGGCTTCCGCCCGCGGCTTCCTCGTGAGGTATGTTGATAAAATAGCAGCCTATGTGTTTATCCAGGGTATCTTATGTGTATTTTTAACCTGATAATATTATTTAATGCTTAATTTGTTGTCTGTCTTTGTACCTAATAAATAAATAAATCACCTATCTACATAACAAATTTCAATCAAATCGGTCCAGTCGTTTTCGAGTGAAAGAGTAACAAACATACATTCATAAAAAGTCAAAAATCATTTATTTCAATTAGACCTTTACAGGCACTTTTGAACGTCAAACAAAATTTTAAAGATATAG